CGAATCTCCAGAGGTGGGATCGTGGATGCGCACTACTGAGGAGTCCCACAATAGGACGAAACGGCCGTCCAGTGGATCCAGGTTTTCCATGGTGGTCTAGCTTCAATTGATTCATGATTTCAACCACAAAATTACTAAAATCTCCACAAAACCCCCTTCTGATAAATATTATGCCCCTTAATATATTTAGTTAAATCAAAAATATTAATAATAATAACTTGTGGTTTAGTAATTCGATTACATTCTTATTTTAATTACACTAAGTAAAACATAAATTAAAACAAACATAGAAAATATTCACTGAATAAGAATTTCACGAAACCGATTGCTACTCTTTTATATGCTTAAACAAACGTCATCGTTTGACATGCTTAAATATGATTAAAATAATGTTAAACGTCATTGTTCATATATCGTTTAGATAACAGGAATTTTGCTTCATTACTTATCAGAAAAATAAGAACATACTGATGTAAGAAAAATGGATTATATTTGTAGTCGTGAATCTTTCAGTGATAAGATTAAAATTATTATTTACTCAAGTAAGAGATATGCAATTGATCCCTTTCCAGTTGTCCTCCAAAGTAGTTTCTTGTTCTTTCAGTAGATCCTGTAGGGCCTGGAACCTGTTGTTGAGAGTTATCTTGAATTCGTGGAGCTTGTCAGTAACTCGAAGGAAGGCTGTATTGAACCTTTGTAGTGCTGTTTGTCCAGTTGTCCAGTGTTTCTTTAGCTTCAGTCACATCTTGGCCACAACCAGTTTGTGATCTGAAGCTATGTCAGCTCCTCTCCGGATTCTCACATCTTCCATTGATCTTCGGAATTTTTGTTGATACAGATGTGATCTATCTGGTTCTCTGTGGTGTGGTCCGGTGAGATCCATGTAGCTTTGTGTATGCGCTTTTGTGGGAATATTGTGCCGCCTATAACCAATTTGCTGAATGCACATAGGTTTGCAAGTCTCTCCCCATTTTCATTTCTCTCTCCTAGTCCATGTCGTCCAATTACATCTTCATATCCTGTGTTGTCCACTCCAACTTTAGCATTTAGATCTCCCATCAGGATGGTGAGGTCCTTTCGTGATCACTTCTCTATAATTGATTGCAGCCTTTCATAGAACTGTTCTTTATCATCGTCGTTGCTATCATTAGTGGGTGCATAACATTGAATAACGTTCATTGTGATCCCTTGATTCTTTGTTCTGAATGATGCTTTGATTATCCTGGGTCCATGAGATTCCCATCCTACAAGTGCATTTCGTGCTTCTTTGGACAGCATTAGAGCAACTCCCTGAGTGTGTGGAGCGTTTTCCCCTTCGTGACCGGAGTACAGCAGCATCTCTCCTGTACCTAGCCTTTGTTGTCCAGATTGTGTCCAATGGGTTTCGCTGATTCCGAGTACTGCCAAGTTGTATCTTCTCATTTCCATTGCTATTTGGCTGGTCTTTCCTGTCTCCCACACTGTCCGGACGTTCCATGTACCTATAAAGAGTGTTGCTCTGGTTGTTAGAAGGTGCATCGGTCTCGTGACTTCCGAAGAATTTCGGCTTTCATCATGAGATGTCATAATTATTCCTTCAAATCCCAGGGCAGAGTTTAAATGGTTTGAATTATTTTTTCTGGTTAGCGTTTTTTTAGCGAGTTAGCTTTTCTACGGGATGGGGTCGCTAACCCCATGCCCAACCCTCCTCCTTTACCCGGGCTTGGGACCGGCAGTAACCCTAGAAGAGCTACAGGCGGAATTAAGCTCTTCACATAGATACTATTAAAACACTTGATATTAAATTTAATACATTGTTTTTTCATATAAATTAACCTTATGACAAAATCTCATTAGTTGACAGATCGAATATAATCAAATATACAAAAAAGAAATCTGCTTGATTATTATAGACTGACTATTTCGTGTGTTGATTATATATATTGATGGGGTTCAATAAATGATTTTTCCTGTCATTCTTCTATCAAACTAGTAATGATTTGTACTTATTCTTAAATACTAATTTGTGGTCTAGAGGTTAAGCGCTCGCACGCGAGACTGATAGGTCCTGGCTTCGAATCTCCAGAGGTGGGATCGTGGATGCGCACTACTGAGGAGTCCCACAATAGGACGAAACGGCCGTCCAGTGGATCCAGGTTTTCCATGGTGGTCTAGCTTCAATTGATTCATGATTTCAACCACAAAATTACTAAAATCTCCACAAAACCCCCTTCTGATAAATATTATGCCCCTTAATATATTTAGTTAAATCAAAAATATTAATAATAATAACTTGTGGTTTAGTAATTCGATTACATTCTTATTTTAATTACACTAAGTAAAACATAAATTAAAACAAACATAGAAAATATTCACTGAATAAGAATTTCACGAAACCGATTGCTACTCTTTTATATGCTTAAACAAACGTCATCGTTTGACATGCTTAAATATGATTAAAATAATGTTAAACGTCATTGTTCATATATCGTTTAGATAACAGGAATTTTGCTTCATTACTTATCAGAAAAATAAGAACATACTGATGTAAGAAAAATGGATTATATTTGTAGTCGTGAATCTTTCAGTGATAAGATTAAAATTATTATTTACTCAAGTAAGAGATATGCAATTGAACACGTACTTGCTCAAACTTTGTGCTCACTCTTATTTCCGTAGAACTTAATTCAATGTAGTTATATACAATAATAAATCTACTAATTAAAGATATCAACTCCTATATCGTTTAACTACTGACTAGTCAATAATCTTACTCGTAATAGCTTGGTTTTTTATTTAAATAGTGATCGGTTCATGATCTCAATAAAAAAGTAAGTATTTACAACCCTATGCTAATAATTGTCAATTGCTCAGTAGTGATTAGCCTTGAGAGATAATTCTCGAAGTTTTAGTGAAATTCCATGACCAATGGAGTTCAACCGTGTCGAATGTGGGGCAGTTACTCACCGAAGACAACGGAAGATGGTAGCGCAATATCATGGATTGGTTAAAGTCAGACATCAACACCGTCGGAAATCTGTTTAAGGGTCTACAAGTTAGGTGTTCGCGCGAGACTGAAAGTCCTGGGTTCGAGTCCTGAGTGCATGATTGTGGATGCGCACTGGTGAGGAGTCACGTGCTAGGATGAAACGGCTGTCCAGTGCTTCCAGGTTTCTAATGATGGTCTAACACTGATCAGTCCATGATCTTATTAAGAACTTAAATAAGTAATTAGATATTTACAGTAAAGTATGATGAGACATAATACTAAGAAATAGAGAACAAGTTAGGAAACAGGTCTTTTGATAAAGTTGTGAAAAAGTAGGCTGATTATTAGGAGTCTGATAGATCGAAATCTAGCAGAGAGCCAGTTTCCACAAAGTCAATAATCGTCTCTTCACATAAAAAATACTTGTTGATCGTGATCCAATTTTCTTACTGTTTGAAGATCTCTGGCATGGAGATCCTAGTTTGAACTGATGTAGTGTTGAAATAAATGTTTTCATTAGATTTGATAGTCGACATATTATATTCAATCTATAATCTGATTCTAGAAAACAACCCGTAAAATACAGATAATTCTTGTGTCTCTTATCAGTAATGAGTATTTGAAAACTCGATGAATCTTATAGACTGACTTGAGAATTTTTTTATTTGACACTACAATATAAGCTATCAGTGACATACTGTAGTCACGATGATATTTTTTCATTAGTGCATATGGATGGAGCAAGTCGACTTTCGACAGCTTTATGTGACATGAATTATTTTGGAAATGTGTTCACTGATATTTCTTGACTGTATAATCAACCAGTTAAATTTCCCCTCTTTCATTGTCTGTAGCTGTAAATTTAACAATTGTTCAGGTTTCTACCACTTCAACTATCACACTAATAATAATTCATTGGCTTTCATCAGGACAATATGTCGTTGTTTGTAAAATAAAGCCACCCTTATACAAATAAATATTCATATTGTATTAATTCTTATGCATGAAAATTTAATTTCTATACATAAACCTTTTCTTATGAGGAAGACATAAAGGCGGGAAAATTTCATACTAAATTCGTACTACTTGATAATAATTCAGTTGCTATTTTTGCGTTGTGAATTTACTTTTCTACCTGTGTTTATAATGACAGCATAAATGAAAGGAAATGCTACTTTCAATTAACTTGTCAGTATGTGAAAATAAAGATTAGACCTTACTTCAAAATATTTCATAAATAGTAAATCCCATACAGGATAGTGAGTGTATGTTTATTAAATGAAATCAATACATCAGAAAATTTTGTTAAAGTAGATATTAACTAAATACTTTGATGAGTGTACAAAAGACACATTTCATGTAAAACCAAGTCTTTTAATTCAGAATTATTTCGAATTCATATATAAGGAAGAAATAACTGCTTCTATTAGAAAGAATGATAGCGTATTTGTCATTAAATGAAGCACTTGAACAACAACTTAGTTTCAAATAACCAAGCCCAAAAATGGATAACATGATTGATTTCAAACCACGTCTTGTAGACCGTTCCTTTTTAATAATATATAACAGTGTAATAACAGTGTGATAAATTTCACCACTAAAATGACTTCTTTCACCTTAAGCAAGTACATTACTTACATTACAGGTTCATATAAATTTGGACACATTCCGTAAAAATCAGTTGGAAATAATAAATACTCAAATCTTTTCTCTTAATGAAATAGAATATGTTGTCTGAAACAAAGTAAAAGAAAACAGATTATAATAAAAATATGTTTAGTTGTATCCTCATACCAGTTCATTTGTACGATCAATGAGGTAAATACTTAAAGATTATAATCACCAGTAACTAGGGTATTTTAAAAAAATCATCTTAAATCATTAAAAGACTTGTATTGTGCAAATGATAATCATTGTCCATTAATAAATACAATAAAATGGTTATGCATACATATTTTAAAATAATAATCATACAAAAGATAAGAACTGTACATTTATTTTTTGTCATAATATAAATAAAATGCCTTTCATTATAATAGTAAGAAATTTACGATTTTATTTTACACAAGACTAACATCATCTCTAACCATATGTTATGCAAAAAATTGGCGTTAACACAACACAATATCTGATCCATGGTTAAAAGAGGATCCTTAATTATTTCAGTCAGTTTTCATAGTAATCTAGACGATGAAGAAATTCATATATACAAAGGTGTGCTTATGAGTGATCCTAATGAATAGAGAATCACTAAATATAAAATTAGTCAAAGAATAACGATGTAACTAGGGGTCACACTTGAATAAATATACATAGAAATCAACTGTGCATATCGACACAGACTAGTGTATAAGAATAACAAACGCTTTTAGGAACCACTTGTGGACATAGGTCGCTGACCACGATCTTATTCGCAACCCCTTCCTTTGTCTAAGCTAGGGACCGGGGTTAACTTTAGAAGCACTACAGGTGGTGTTAAGCAAGGTAAATATGTTAGTTGCTCAGTGATTATCAGGCATATAGATAAATTTACTTGTTGTGACTTGTATGACTACCACTAAACAGGATTCATCCAATAAATGAACTTAACATTATGGGACCTTGCTTTTACAAACTAAGAAATAAGTTATCAACTCTGCGAACTAAAAGATGCCAGATCCTATTGCTTGGATTCACTACAAAATACCGAGTAAATATCTAATAACGGGCCTTGTAAACATAGGTTATCAACAGTTTAATTTACCGACGCTGTGACTGGTCGGAAGAATCGGTGACCAGTTGCAACATATAACCGTCGTACGAAAGCTGTACAGGACTGGAATGTCTGACCTTCACGACTCCCTGGCAGGCCCCAGAGATACACAAACAGCGGTTCAAGGTGTTATCAGACATGACTCAGAATAAAAAACCAGTGGGTATCCTGCTGAGACTTTCTTTACTGTCTTCCGATAAGTGTGAGGGACTTCTCTAGCTAGAATCCTTTCTGGTCGTACTTTGTCTAAACTATTTTTCCTATTATTTTCATTATTATATTATACTCATCTCTATCTATTCGCAATCTCATTATGTGGCACACACATGTCGGAGCTCCTTCGTGCCATTTGTGTTTAAATAAATAAATAGTTCTGTACAAATCTGTTTTGCCCCTAATTTCAATAAACACTTTTAAGTGCTATTTACAAGGCTAGAGCCATTTTCGGGATTTCATGATGGAGGATAGCTAATAACTCGTAATATCCCATATAACACCATGAATACTCAAATACCTTGCTAAGAGTTATTAGTTCCTGTGAAGGAATACTCATGGGATGAGGATAGGCGGTATAAAGTGACCATAGAGAACGTACTTCCGACTACTTAACCACAACCTTTTTTGAAGCTGAGTCAGCAATATAAATGTAAGGGGTATGTGAATTTATGTCACTATCTTTGGTTCCCAGTGAACAGAATCCACTGGCAGCAGTAGTGTTACCTAAACACCCAAAATACTTAACCGCATTAAATACTCCTAGTTCTCAATCTGAACTATATTGAGTGGACATTGTTGGCGAAAACAGAGGTTGTAACCACTCCGAACGCCAAACCTATATGATTTGGTGTCACTGTATTATCCAGTTCCTGAAAAAAGCTGGTAACGGGTCTCTTACACTTTTCCTATGCCTTAACAAAAACATTATGCCAGTGACAACAAAAAGATTGTAAGGGTTTAAAACCTGAATCTTCAGAAATACAGACAAGATAGCATTATCCGAAACACAGCGGTAAATCTTCTAGACAGAAAACAGGTGTGGCAATGTAATTAGTCACAAGGTTATTCAGCGTACCGCAGTTACAAGTAGGATGTGACTTAGTCTTTCTCTCGCGTTCCATCTGTAATTATGTTAAGTTTTTCCTGAGTTTTGTCATTTGACCAACATTACAATGAGTACATTATTCATCAATAAGATACTTAATTGTATTAATTTACTACTCAACTCGATGGGATTTCCCATAACTTATGAAATATTCAAAACTGAAATGCTATTCCGATTCAAAAGACGTGCAGCTCCTTACACTGCTCAGAATAACAGTCAACAGCTCAGTGGGTGAATGTCGTCTTAGTCTTTGTCATTAAAAACTCTACCATTCTATTCCAACGCCTGCCGCTAACAGCATAAAAAAGGGTGAGGATGAGCATATCAAGATCACTAGTTCATAAACAAACAAATTCACTACTTCGTCTGTGTCTAACATGAGTATTACTTCAAAGATACCCACAATTTTGATCTTAGAACCTATGTATACCCTTCGACCTTAATCCCCATGTTTTGTGTACATAGGGCAAGGCAAGCATGATTACTATTTACTAGACCATTGGTAGATGAGCTAAACATTAATGCAATTTGGTAGAATTCGATTCAATTTATCACCAAACATTATTAATCTAAAAGTTTTTAAATCAAAATATTCAATCATTATTTGCGAACTCGACAAATACGAGGATTGTCATATTTATTTGTAGCAACAATTACAAACTCATCTTTCCATCATCTCAGTGATATTTGCACCTAGTCTCGAGTAAATGTATAACCCCGAGCACAAATAAATTACATTTGTTCTGTTTAACACTAAAATCTATTCTGTCACGTCCAGCATTCTAATTTATTAACCGAAAGCAATCGAATAAAAACCCAAACATATAATTTATGCACACATTTCTCATACGAATCATTTTTATTCTATAGAACAGGTCATCTGAAAAGTGAGCCAAATACAATAAGAAGCACAAAGATTTTAACTTTATAATCAAACAAGCTTCATTCAATTTTACGAGGTAAACTGAATCATCTACTAATTGGTCGTGAAAATGCAATTTTTAAACAGACAATGTGCAGTGCAAAACATGACTGCGTTCATTTTTAAGCTGACAACAAAATACCTTCGGAACCGAATCAAACAAGTAGATAACCATGTCACTGATGAAAAAACACTATTTTAAAAGGAATACACCTTTAAAGACAGAAGATACAGATACACAAAAGTCGGACCCATTGTTAAACAAAAGCGCTTCACTAAGTTATAAAATTTTATGATTGGTGGATGCAGTAAAACAACCGGGCTTTATACAAATCCAAACAATTGGAGAATGGAGATTATCCATAATCGCATAGTGGAACGTTAATGGAAATAATTTTCCTTGATAATAGCAGATATTACGTCGGATTCGTACTTGGCGTGGTCGAACCTAAACAACAGAAATATACGGAGATGAGGCTTACCAGGTTTCTTATTACCATCATTATTCTGCTGAGCACCAACAGGAATTCGACCACCATGGTCCTGAACAATAGCACCTAGAATTATTAAGTTGTGAAGTAGACCATGATGAGAACAAAACTTACGAAAATACACATGTTCCATAGCTTCTCGAGCAGTTAATCGTTCGGCATGATCATAACGCAATAATTTATCTAGAAGATCAAGTGACTCTGGGCTAACAAGGTGTTGGTTCTCTGCATGTACAAAACGTTCCCATCTCTTTTTCGTATGTCGGCCTAAAATTTCATTAAATCGAGGATCCAGAACTATTTCGTATTTGGTCAAATATTGAAATAGCTCCTCTGTACCAAGAACTTTGGCAATTCGAACTAGTTGATCATAATTATCGTGACCATGGAAGAAAGGTTCTTTCCTGAAGATCATACTAGCAAAAACACACCCCAAAGACCAAAGATCTAAAGAATAATCGTACATCTGCAAATCCATAACTTAGTTACAGAAAATCATAAACTCACCTGGTAATCAACCAACAGCTCCGGTCCCTTAAAGTATCGTGATGCAACACGAACATTATATTCTTGTCCAGGATGATAAAATTCTGCCAAACCCCAATCAATCAAACGTAACTAAACTAAATAAAATACAGACGAAAATTACCTTTCTTTGGGAATGATTAATCATAACATTATGCGGTTTTACATCTCGATGCATAATTCCCATGCTGTGACATGCATCAAGTGCACGTAACAATTCGAACATGTAGTACCGAATGTCGTAATCTGTTAAGGTATGATACAACTCTTTGAAATCCCGATTTTCAACGTGTTCGAAAATGAGGGCAGGTGTGCGAGACTGAAAGAGATATACATCAGGAACAACGTTTTTCTTACAATGGGATCCTTTACTACTGCTTCAAGACATATTACATTTGTCACGCCACGTAGATTTTCCAAGATCTTAATCTCACGCTTGATTTTCTTTTTTTTGACAGGCTTAAGGCAGCAATTATGTGTTGAGATGACTTACCTTCAACACCTTAATGACACATTTCTCATTGTTTGTTATATTTAACCCCTCGAACACTTCACTGTATTTGCCGCGGCCCAATTTTCGAACAATTTGGTAATCATCCTGATCACTAAACATGAGGTATGTTGATTTACGATATTATAATGATTTACCCCCATTTCACTTCATATGATTCATAATCCCAATATTCGCGAGGACGATTAAGATTTACATCTGCATACACTCGAGCCTTGCTCGATAAAGGCATGTCTGGAATAAAAGTGAGCATAATATTGATCTGTTATCGGAAATAGGTATTATTTTATCATAAACTAAATAAGGAACGATACAACCAGAATAAATGAAACACAAACCACTTTCGGGGAAATTATAACGGTCAGTGGATTGCATAAACTAGATGTAATTATCTAAATTTCCAGAGTTGAACAGCACGTTAAATTAGTTGTCACACGAAATAGGAAACCATATGCGTGTGTATGGGTAGTGATTGATACAACATTCCAACGCTAACCGGAGAAATCGACTTAGCAAAATCCATATGAGGTAAAAGTTGAACAGCAAAAATGTCGTTCTAAAGAAAAGGAGTCTAAAGAACAAGCTGCATGGGATAATAAAATGCCCAATGCAAAAAGTGAACACAACTATGAGCGACTTCAGACTACCTTACTGGTATCCAACTTCAAATCATGACCATTACTCGTAGTTAAGAATTCTACATCTCTACACTAAGTCCAGAACAAGAGATAATACCCCCACAGACTGATATCACTTATGCAAGACACCAGTGCGAGTTGCATAAACTCTAATGGTGGACATAGCTCCATTATTGGAGTCTTACGAACTCTATATTACTTACTCGATGGTTCCACCATACCTATAGTTTTAAGATAGGAATGATCAATTATTATACGTTTATATTTTGCCAGGTTTACGGTCATAAAGTAACACAAGGCAGAATGCTGTGAAGTACATCTGATCAGAAGTAACCAGGTTGACATCTGTTCAATGTAACAAAATTTACCAAAATTCAAAAAAGGATTTGATTAAATGTAGTTTTATTAAGCTGATAACACACCAGAGCTGATGAGACAAGTGAAATGGTCAACACGCTTGACAACTTTAATTATTTAATGACCCATAAAGCAACATTCTACATCTAGAAAAACGACTCAAACCACATCAGTTTACCAGGAAAACAAGTAGTATGTTGGTAGCTGTCCTTTGATTTCAGTTCAGTGAGGAGCTATCAGTGCCATTTTGTATTACCTAACGAGCAGTTTTAGTCATTTTAACGGCTAAAACGCTCATCCGATATCTTAACACTTCTGATGCATAAAAATCAAAAATATTTTTCCAATTTAACTGGTCAGAATTCAGTAGGTAATATAAGCCCAGTTTCAACATTAATACTGTATTAGTACAAGTGGATTAAACACTGTTGGCATTAAAATTAAGTTAGTTAAGAAATTAATCTGAAGGTTATTATTAGCTGGTAATATGGATACTTCTACGCTAATAAAGATTAACAAAAACCTTATTCACAATACGCTTGCTGAAAAACAAACTCGAGTTATTAAAATATTGTGGATTTCTTAACTGAAGTGTCTCATTCACAAATCAAGAGAATGTACAATCAGATTTACTGAGTAGCAAGAAAACCAGTCAAATATCTTTATGACGTCAGCAAAAGCAACTTTTGTTTACGATTAGAATAAAGCTAATTCCAATAGTAAAATATAACTATCCTTCAAGTAATTTAAGTTCAGTAGTTATATTAGAAAGTAAATATATCATTTTTGATCACACGTTTCACACAGCTAAATACAAGTGAGAAATCAATTAAGTAGGTTCAGAATGACTGAATCCCCACCCATATATTCTAAATAACCTAGTATCCACAGATTTATATCGTAATAAGACCACGTCCTCTAGATACTCCAAGATTGACTTAACCAGCTAAATGACCACTGCTTTAGAAACAGCTTTATAACATGTGAAATATTGCAAGACAGTGGGGATGTTGGTTACTACTCGAAATGATTACATTGAGGGCGTTTACAGGTAGGTTTTATTCGGCCTGACCAAGGATACACTACTCGTGATTCGGTTTAATATCTAACCGACACATAAATACGTTGTCTTGAATAGACAAAGAGATTCGTTTGTCATTTATAACCGCTTCAATGCACTGGAGTGTGAAAACAAATGACAGCAACCTGTCATCAAAGCTTTGACAGATGAAGCACTGTCTAAGCCAGAAACAGGAGCTGAGAAGTGTGTATAAGACAACATCGCGGTTAGGACTGTATATACGGCATATGGCCTGATTCAATAACAACTTCAACACAGCACTGGCAGTGTGCGAATAAGCATTTTAGCATTATTATTATTCATTATTTAAACACATGAACACAGGTACAAGGAGGCACCAAACAGATATGTGCCACATAAATCATTCAATCGGTGTAAAGGCTGAGATACTGCCTAGACGCCAAAACTGAAGCAGGCGTTTTTTATAGGACATACCCGGAGCCCTTAGCCTAAAGGTCTAGTCCATAAGGCAGTGGAGCAACGTAAGGAGATGTAGTCGCCAGTGACCAACAAAAGGTTCATACGCCATTTGATCCCTCAGGATTGTGGAGTCTATGTGCACCGTTGGTTCGGGATCAGAGTTTTCCAGGGCACGATACAAATGTAGAAGCAGAGTACACTGACTTATTTATTTATTCATTTATTTAAACACATATATATTGGTACAAAAAAGCATAAGATATATATGCGCCACAAAAAATAATGAAAGTAGCAAGAGAAGGGATGAAAAGATAAGGCGGACTGAAATGTACAACCAGAAGACTCTTTCAGTTAGGAAAGTTAGAACCATTCGTTATGTAGAAAGTAAAAGAAGGTTGCAGCAGGATCGCCACTGGCTTCTATTCTGAGCCATATCTGATAACGTCTCTAGCCACTGTGTTGCACCATCTCTCAGACCCAACCCAGCGAGTCGTGAAGGACCAACAGAAGCTAGCCCTTTGCAGCTTTCTTTCATGCCACGACACTATGTCATACACTGACCTCCTCTCCGCTTTTTCCAATCAGTCCCAGAGTCGGCAAATAATGCACGACGTGGAAGTCTCTGGGATGACATTCGTCGAACATGTCCAAGCCACCGAAGTCGGTGTTTCAAGATGGTTACACCAATCGAATTATCGTCCCTGACGGCCTTGAACCACTACGTTCTAGCCAACTGTTTGGTTATGAAACAATAAGTGGTAAAAACACGACTGATAAACAGATTTTCACGACAAACCGACACTAGCTATGACACAAAAGTAGTTTTTAGCCACGAATAAATTAATTTTGCGTCGAATTATGACTGATTCGTTCACAAACTTTTATTTATTTATTTATTTAAACACATAAATATTGGTACAAAAAAGCACCAGATAAATATGCGCCTCACAAATCTCAATCGATTTGTGTGAGGGCTGTGATACTGCTCAGGTGCCCAGACTGAAGCAGGTGGTTTTTTAGGGGGCCACACCCGGAGCCTTTGACCTGAATGTCTGATCCACAAGGCAGTGGAGCATCGTGAGGAGATGCAGTCCCATGGAAGCCGGTGATCAACGGTTGATTCGTACGCCATTTGTTCCCTCAAGATACTGGAGCCCATGTGCACCACTGGTTTGGAATCAGAGTTTTCCAACTCCCCTAGGTGGACCCTCCATGTCCACCAACCCGGTTATAACGCCGGACATTCGCTTTTCGTCCTCTCACTTTCGTAAACAACACCCCACCACGAGAAGGCAGTGAGTAGGACTTCCCTGGCAGAGGCTATATATTCGCTGGCCATATGAGAGTATTTCGAGAGGGAGAGGTGACTCTCCCCACTCTCGGCCGTACCAGGGCATTCGGGGGCTCACAAACTACCTGTACCCATGAAAATCGTAAGAACACAATAATTTTGACACCGTTCTTATATCTTTGGTAGGAAGACCAACATTCCTTTCATGTACTGACATCAAGTTCAGACTGAATATATGAAGTAACCTCAAAAAGTTCTATCGAATCCCATAGACTGTGTCCAGAAACCCATACAACTAGTACAAACGACAAGGGATAGTATAGTCGCAGAAACTGGGGGATATATGGTTATATGGATAAGACGAAACCTAAAACCAATCATTTACAACATTCGCGAGATATGATACTCGACTGTTTTTCCTAAAAGTTTTGAGGACACAAAATACGAGATCGCTCGATCCTCTTACAACTGGATACATTTAGTCTGAAAACTGTTTATTTGAAAGACAATTTATTATACCATATCATCGAATTCAGTTGTTATTCAAAGCTATCATATTTTAAGGAACAGTGGTTGGACTGAGTAATGAAAATCATATGCGTTTAGACTTCGCCACAATACCTTTGTATGAAGAAAAGGCAGAAGGCTTCCGAGTGTAGTAAGTGTAGTGAGATATTCCTTGACACAAATTCACTAACATTATTTGTTGGAATAATTTCAGCCAAATTATTAACTCGTATATTCTTAACAAATTCGACATCCATAATCTATCTCGGTTGAAAGCAACTCACACACTAGGAACAGAATTCCAATCTGAATCAGAACGAAGTTCCACTTTTAACAAAGATCATTCATTGAATGAGGCACAAAAGCGTCAAGCTTTAGATTAATAGCTCCTAATAAGATAGTCAACATTAGCTATTAGTAAACAGTTGCTTATAAGCACAGAGTATGAGAATGTTGGAATGCTGTGAGCATAACCACAAAAACTATGACTAAAAATATCAAGAAAACCGATTGCATCGCATTCATAGTAGTTTATACACGAAAAGCCAGAGAACAGATGAATGTCTTTTGCGTGGTAAATTTAGAACAGCCAGTATTAAGTACTAGCCTGACTATAACGATTTCTCCTCACCCACTGTTTACAGAATTCAATCAGAAATGGTAGATTAACGTGACAACCGGTTGGGTAACATGACAGTCAGATCAAATGATACAAAACAAATAATTAATCGCTTAACATCGAAATTAATACGATTCATCTGGACACAAGACTTTTTAAAAAAACGAAAAACAAATGCACAAGAGTTGGCTTTAAACCCGTTTTGTGAAATCACCTTCACGATAAAGTATAATTCAGTTAATGATACAAACGTTGTAGGCGTAAACTGTCCACTGTAACTTTTTCTGTGTGACTTGATCAGCTTCATCAAAAGAACAGCTATAAAGCTTCAACGGTCATGTACAGTGTACCCACGTGCATTATCATTGTTGCACCAGATAGTTTCTACGTTACCACAATTGTATCAATAAGCGTCAGGACATTAAAAACAACCATATGACATGAAACTATGATAGTTGACATACCACAAACTTGTCCACTGCCTGGCACTAACCTTCGACGCAGAAACGAAAGCGCCAATTTACAATTGGCGGACACTGTGAGCATCAAAACAAACTATCTGATGGATTTAAAGAATAAACTCAACTAAAAACATTTCTTGTTGACTGCTTTGTCTCAAACTGGTGTACAACCTCAATATGATGTAACGTTGTAGCAGGGAGAAACAAGCTTTTATTAAGAGATCATTATGATTGGTGATATCCAGCACTCTTAGTTACGTCATCCATACAGTTATTCTATTGAAAGTCATTAGTGAAAGCCATGGTATCAGATGACAAAAGTTTCATCAACTACTCAATGAACACGAGTTAGGCCACAAATTATTGTTTCGATTAATGCATCAGATGAATTAACTTACTGTAGCTTGAAGAACCATCCCATTATGGTTGATAGATAATTTAAGTAACTCGTAGTCGTAATCCGTATGTACAAGCACTCGTCGATACACAAAATGTTTCAGTGAACTCTGAGAGTTCTACTGCTGGAGGTGTTGCGTTCCCATTGTGTCGTTGGCATAGAGGATATTATGCAAAAAATAGAAACATTACAGAAAACCATTCCTAAAACGCCAGCAACTGACGTCCACTGCTTCGCGGACGGTCGGGACGAAAAACCAAGAGATACAAAAACTATTAGTTGGTAGCCCCGCAGATGTGGAAAGAGAGCTGAAAGTCGTGCATCGACTTATAAGCTTCATGAGGCCTTCTTAGTTTGGAAGACGTGGAAACCAGACAGTAATTACAACAAATGTGAGTAGTCAATGCTCTGACTGGCTTTCCTAAGCACAGGACTTCAGGTTCTGAGTTTCTAGTTGACAAAGAAGTAGAAGTCAGTATGATTACAGTTACTCAAGCTCGATAGCCGATATATAGTAATAATAAAGATTTACTGGGTGGGAAGGCAAAACACAAATGGAAAAGTCCGAAAAGAATTATTATTTCGGTTCTCTGAATTAAATGTAATCGAAGTAAATTGTTAACTTTAGCGAGTACTTCTTATTCTATCTTAAGTGTAGTATTTTTAGACTCATATAGTTTGCGAGCTGATACTGTGAGAACAAGGCCCACCGAATTATGCACACCGAAAATGCTAAAGCCTTTTTCAAACTACCAGGTTCCTAGCTTAAAGAGATGCACCCTGATAAATGATGATTTTCCTGCTGCTTTCCGAAAATATCCGGAAATTACAAAACTAACTCGCCAAGACGATAAGGCAAAAAACTCAGCAATCTCTCATACTGTAAGCACAAATTAACCAACAAGGACATTTTCATCACCGTTACCAAATTACAATCCAGCCCTATCCAAAGCAAGTAATGAAACTGTGATTCACTCGTTTCTAAATTGGCCTGTAGTGATCTACTTTTATGATGAGAACGCGATTGGTATCATTGAAATAATAATAATAATAATTAGAAAGGGATTTGTGGAGATTTCAGTATATTTCAAAGTTGCAATAATGAATCAACTTAAGCTAGACCACCATCGAAAATCTGAAAGCACTGGACGAACGTTTCGTCCTATTATGGGACGGGGGTCATGGATGCGCACTTCTGAGGAGTCCCATAATAAGACGAAACGGCCGTCCAGTGCTTCCAGGTTTTCGATGGTGGTCTAGCTTCAGTTGACTCATTATTTCAACTTTGAAATATAATAATAATTATTATAGCCAATCGTGCCAGTGATTGCTTTGCTGTACTTGTTTCTTAAGTGTACCAAAGACACACATTCTTCGGTTGCCTGTGAACTTGCACGAGCTCAATTACGCTCGGTGGGTCAGCTTGTAAACTTTGGCACAATCTCGACTCTTTCGATACCACGAGATTGCCAACAAATATACCCTATTGCAACCATCAACAGTCTTCTGGGTTTTAGCCTACGGACTGATCCAACTCGATATGTCGCACGTAATCTTCCTGTAGTGGTGATCACAGTCAATCGCGACTCGACGTCAACTACATGCACATGGGCTTCTAAGCTGCATATAGCAGTCTAGAATGTCTGGCATTCATGTGGCGAATATGACAGTCTGAATAACTTGAAATTAGCTGACAGATACCATGTCTTAAACATTCACGGTTTTTCATTGACTATAAACGAATAAACCATTACTTCTTGAATCGATCCACCACTGGCATATCGTCAGATAACGATAGCCCCAGATGTATGAAAGACGATATTCTCTACTCTTTTCAGCCTTTTCGTAATTCCTCACGTCCCATTCGGACCTAGGAACGCTGCACAAACGGTTCAGTGCTATGTGTACAAGATAACTTGAAGGTGTAGGCCTGTAGAACGCCTCGGGCAAACATGTCGGTCCATATAACGATTCCAATAGTATTTGGTGATTATTTATTTAAACACATCCATATTTGTACAAAGGTCACCAAGTATATATCCGCCACAAAAAATAATGCGAATGGGAGGAAAAATGGTATTGCCACTGGATGTCAGCAATCCTTCGGAGACAACGATGATCGAACAGAGAGAGTCGTCTAACATCCTCAAATCGGAGAGAACAGGTTTCACATGCATAGGGAAAAACTGTTCTCTCCGACGCGTGAGAGTACATAATTCCATACTTCTTCCTGAACTACCTTCATTTATACAGTTCCTTATCCACTCATACCTAGTTCACACTTATTTCTCTTTAACACATTAGTACGCTCTTACCTAATAAGAACTTCAGTAACAGACAAATAGACTAAATGGTTATACCTTAACTATTTCTCCATGAATGTTGTGTGCTCTGCTTTCGTCCTTTCTTTCTCTTACAAATTTTTCAGCCCCCTGGAGATACCAGTTATAGGATCTGTACATGTGACTGTGTAAAATGTTCTTCCGTTGCTAACTAATATCAAACCTTGTAGGTTACCGTGCCTTAATAGGCTACATCCACGCTTTTTTCATTGCTTGCGGACATTATTTCGAGACCACTCGGAGCTGACATAGCTTCAGATCACCACCTGGTCGTGGCCAAGATGAAACTGAAGCAACGGAAACACTAAACAACTGGAGAAACAGCATTACAAAGCTTTAATACAGCCTTCTTTCGAGATACTGACAAACTCGGCGAAGTCAAGATTACTCTAAACAACAGGTTCCAAGCTTTACAGGATCTACTGGAAGAACGAGAAACTACGAAGAGGGACAACTAGAAAGGGATCAAAGAAGTACTAACTTCAACGTTTCAGGAGGTTCTGGGCCCAAAGAAGCAGCATCATAAGGAATGGATCTCTAACAAAACCCTGCACAATATTCAAGAAAGGAAAAACACAAGACAGCAATTAACAACAGTCGAACAAGAACAGAGAAAGTCAAGACACAGAGCAAATACACACAAACAAATAAGCAAGTAAAGAAGAGAATGAGAGTCGTCAATCAGAAATTCGTGGAAGACCTAGCAGCGACATCAGAAAAAGGAGTAAGAGAGCGAAATATTGGACAACTATATGACTCAACCAACAAACTAGCATGGAAATGGAACAAACCATAGAGAACAGTCAAGAACAAAGAAAACAAGTCGATCACTGAGATTTAAGAACAGTGGGTAGAGCACTCGGAAGAACTCTCAAACAGACCAGTCCCACTGAACCCACTAGACATCGAAGCAGCACACACAAACATTCCTATAACTATCACTTCACCAACAATTGAAGAAACCATCATGGCAACCAGACAAAGGAAGAGTGGGAAAGCAGTAGGGTAACGCAACCTACCATCCGAGACACCCAAGTCAGAAGTACAGGTGACTGCAACGATTGAGGTAAGATGGTGGTTGAAGGTGGTCAACAGGAAACCCTGGACCCGGGTCTCGTGCTACTTGGCACTCGTCAGCAAGGTGTACCTGTAATCTTGAGGGAACTGATGCTCCCTGGCGAATTCGATCCCGTGTCACCCAGCTTCACAGTCAGAGACCTTACCATCTCCAACCACTATCTTACCTCAATATATATAGTTCACGCAGTGTCGAGCCACCTAGACTGGTGGCCACATTGCAACTCGATCGATAGCATTCGATTAGCACTAAGAAGGACCTGACACGCATGACATTGATCACCACCCAGTGATCAATCAATTGTGACTGCAGCGATTCTCCACATTCTCTTCAGAATAGTTTGAGAGGAACAACAAGTGACGACAAACCAGAGTGAAGGATATTCCATCAAGACATGAGCAACTGTGAGAACTTCAGATGTGTCACACTACTACCACTACCATGAGAAGTTCTCGACAGTGTTGTTGAAACGAATGAAGGATTCAGTGAACGCACAACACCGAGATCAACAGACTGGATTCCGTAAAGACCGAAGTATACAGACAACTTTGGAACACTATGGATCACTGTCGAGCAGTCAATTGAATGGAATTGTGTATGATGTGGAAGCTTCCACGTAAGTGGTCAACAGTAGTATCATCGAAGAAGAAGGATGATGTGATGTGGATGTGAAGGCAAGGGTTGGCAAAGCAAGGACGGCATTCTTACAGTCGGAGAACATGTGGAACTCAAAACAACTGCCAACCAAAATCGATTTCACAATTTTCTTTACATACGTCAAGATAGCTCGAGCTGAAACTTGGTGAACTATCACAACTATCACCAAAAATGTACGCGTGTTGCAAAACAGTCATCTCCAAAAAATACTCCATATACGTTAACAGGACACCATCAGCAAAACAAACATATTTTGGTAGAAGACAACTTTATGGGTTTAAAATATGTATTTGTTTTATAAGATTAGATGGACTATCAGGTTTCAAAAACACAGTATTTCGTGTACATAAATCTATTTGAGCAAGAGCTGATTCAATTTGTTCCTGTACAAATAAATCCTTTTCAATGACTCGACGTGTTGACAATAGCCTATGAAGGTCACGAATCACATCAGATGGGATCCATGCAGGTAATTCGGTGATACTAGTTTCTGATAAAAATAAAGAACGTGCTAAATACGCTGAAGCTTTACGAACTACATTTGATACATCTTGAGATAGATGAAATTCGATCAACAAAAAAATCTGTAAACGTAGAATAAAATAGAAACACTAGAACAAAAGAAACTAATAGAAACTATAAAAAGCCTCTAGTATTTCTCATCTGAATAAACATTCAACGTATTCATGAGAACTATAAGTTACAAATGCGATAACCGTCAGCAATTATAGTTACTCATTTTGTTTATACACAAAGCTAAAGTAGAGGAACAAAAAAAATGAATAAGCAAAAATTACGTCTAAGCATTCCTAAGTAAATAACCGAATTATTAGTTTTGTTTACGTAAAATAAAAGAGAGAAACAGGTTCGTGGCTAGTGCAGATGATTTTTGATCAGGAAGACGAAGATAAAACGCAAACTTTAGATAATTGTGCACTAACTTGAATGGTTTTCTGAATGAGAATGCAAAAAGATCAACAGGTCAATCCTTGAACACATGGTTACTCTGATCATATGCCACCACGAGAATCGTGGTGCAAGATTATATACATAGTTAAAATAACTAGCTTGAAAGATATTTGGATTAGGTATTTGTGAACAGCTGAAGCCATATAGCAATTTATCATTTCTAATCCAACATCTTTGTACAAAAGAGTTATGCTTAATCCCTTATTCTTCCATGATCATAGCTTCTCTCTTAATTTTGCAAATTTTAACTGTTAATTATCATCATTAAACCTGCGAGAGTGGGTTCGTGGATGCGCACTGCTGAGGAGTCCCATAGTAGGACGAAACGGCCGTCCAGTGCTTCCAGGTTTTCGATGGTGGTCTAGCTTCAATTGACTCATGATTTCAACTTTGAAATATACTGAAATCTCCACAAATCCCCTTCTAAATATCATCTTATTAGTCAACTTATTCTTTATAATATAGGCAGTTGTCTTTTTCATTTATTGTATCAATTATTATTTACTAATACATTTGAGACTGTTACATAACTTAATTTTTATTAATTTTTGACCACTTTCCTAAATGATTCAGCCTCCATTTCATTCAATACTTGGAAACCTTCAATAACCTTAATTACTTTGAGATAACCCTCATATTTATAAACTATTCTGTTCAGTACTTTACATCTTTTTGTAATCTTTGATTTCACTAAATTATGCAGGAACACTTCATTTTTATAAACTTTTACATTCGATCCCTGAACACATTTAGCTATCTATGATAATTCTGTAATATTTTAACAGTTGAAGTTAGACATTAACACCGTTTGATGCCGGATCAGTAGTTTAGGGGTTCGGCGTTCGCGCAAAACTTAAGGTCATGGGTTCGAGTCCCGCGTGTGGGATCGTGGATGTGAACTGCTGAGGAGTCCCATACTAGGACGAAATGGTCGTTCAGTGCTTCCAGATTTTCAACGGTGGTCTAGTTTAGATCGACTCGTGAATTCAATTGTTAAAATACTACAGTCTCTACAAGTACCCATACTGATAATTTTGTAATACTCCTCTATTTTATTATGGATCACAATATGCAAAAAGTTACCTATAATTAACGATTATACAACTCAAGAAAATGATATCGTCGAAAAATATTTTTATGTTCGCCCAAAAACCTTCATTTTTCAATAAAAAAATTAAAAAATACCCCGACAGTAATAATAACGACTTTTGAAAATGTCAAACTCAGTCTGTGATTATATTAAGGGCTTTCATCAAGTTGAGTGTTCCACTGAGGATATTTTCTACTATACGTCCTAATTAAGATGATCAATCAAGGTTACACTATAGGAAATTAATTATACAGTTGATAGCATTATAATTGTTGCGAAATCTGAAAATCATTTGTAAGATCGAAACAGGTGTACATAAACTTATGGTTTATCGAATTGATGTTAAGCTGGTGATTAAAATTATCTTCTTAGATATCGGAAGAACCTACTTATATTTGAACTTCGTCAAAAAGCGATGAACTGTTTTAGAATAAACAAAGGACAACATTTTATGAAAGAAGGTACGAATAATAATGAGGATGTCATAGATGAGATAACATTTATGGTGTAAATGTTGATCTATTCGCATGGTAGGTTAGGATTAAACCAAACGACGAGAAGCAAAGATAATTTGTAGTTGAAATTCTAGGGGGATTGTACTGTCGATACACTACTTACGAACATATAGAGGTATTCGCCACATAGAAGTAGTACTTTTAGAACTTTCATTTAAATATCCATCCGTATTTATTTGAAATACTGATCATTCAATGCACAAAGTAATTTATGAATTTATGTATATTGTTCTTGTTTCACGTAATTAGAAGTTAAGTAATATCATAGGACTGAATATGCTATTTTAAAATCACTTAAACCATTGACTAGCAAAAAATATTTCATGATAAGCTGATTATCAGAGATTATATGATAGAAACCACTCACTCACCTCATAAACGATTGGTTGGATAGAATATTTTAACAATCGAACAAGCTCAGCAATATTTGAAAGACAAGCTGCTCGTATTAACTCTTCAGATGACTTAGATCCCATAACAAACGAGTTAAACACTTCTGTTCGATACTTTGGTGCCATCTCACCTTAAAAAAGCAATACAAATAATAAGATTTCTTTTTTTTGAATATTTAGCACAAAAGATATTTAATGCATTATAGTTGAAGTTTATATAATAAGACTAGTTTTTAGATTGCACTTACAAACAAAAGTATGAATAGAAGACAAAATATAGAAACATTACATTTTGATACAATTCTATCTTGGTTCAAATTCCAACAAGACAGTTGTTTTGAAAATTATCAAGAACAATAATAATTTATAAAACGCACACATAAACAAAGTTAGATTTATCCAAAGAAAAACAAAACAATTAACCTATAATTTTATTTTCGAAAATAACAATTAAAAATTACCTAAATTTGACAAAACACGCATTATAGATTCAGCTAATTTCAATTTATATTCAATATCATAATCGCCAGTAGTACTAGTGACAATGGTACCAGTGGAATTTGCCGGTTTATTGGTAGTCTGCACGATTTTGGTGAATTGATTTAATAGTAGATTTAATACTTTGTCCGTTAATATGCAGCCCATAGCTGATAGGCATCGAATCGCATTCAAATAAATATAACTATCTGTATGTGACAAATATTTAGTTAAAACCTAGATTAACGAAATATTGGAAAAAATAAACGGCAAAAAAATGGGAATTACATTAAACAAAAAAATTAAATATAAGAATTACACGTTTTTGTATATATTTTTTCTGATGATCAAGATGTGCTTATTGTTGGTTAGCCTCAAGGTGAATGACTTTAACAAGCGAAAAAAGAGGCTCCGATCTAATTACCTTGGTGGTTAAAATACCTAAGACTATAGATTTTATGACAATTTAATGGAGTTTGATCCAATCAGTAAATACCTCCCTAATTCATTTAATTATCAGAGTTATATGTCAGTATGTAATCAGTCATGGAAATAGTAACTAAGTAATCGCAATAACATCTGTAATTTATGCGTGAATAAACAAACTGAAGCATAAAAATTACCCATGTGAAATTGTTATGAGTAAAGAAAAGAAATAAAGACCAGTTAGTTGTTACTAAAAGCCGAATGTTAGTGCGTAATTGAGTTTAGTTACGAAATACCATTGAATTTATTGAAAGAATAATTAAGTTAACTGTTGGATTATGTTTCACTTAGTTATTTATAATCTTGTCATCAACAGCAGTACACTAAACGGTGCTAAAAATCACAAATAACTAAATTATTTAATTACCAAGTCTAACATGATAAGTCGAAAATAGTAAAGTTTTAGTGGTATATGTATACACACATATATGTGAGTGCAAAAACAAAAGAGGGGAATTTCAAAGTGGACATATAGTTTTAAAGGTCAATGCCGAGGTTGAGTGGTCAAAAGCACTCGATTTTCAACTAACGGATTAGAGTCTCTCTCCATTCAATTAGGTTCGGATACTTGAGTAGTACAGTCTCACCAAAGAGGATTTAAGAAGGGTTGAACTGTCAGAACTATCCTAAGGAAAATTATTAATTATATATTCACTGCGTAATTGTTAGACGCTCGGATCATTGTATTTTATATTTTCCTACTGTAAGCTTTCGTCCTACTATTCTAGATATTTGCTTCGTTTTGTATCACTCATAACTGAGTTGAATATCTATAGTAATTTCTTATTTCCGTTGCTGTGCATTCAGGTATTTGAGTTAGATTATTGTATCAGTTTTGACTGATAGATGAATAAAGTACAGTAGGGAATCCATCTACTTGCTGTCTTTATCTTCCGATAAGGCGAATATAGAGGTGTGTACTTCTTGTACGGACAATATTTATCAGGAATCGAGAGTATAATTCTAACGGGCGGGAGAGGAAACTGAATAGAAAAGAAAACAGGAAGCAATTGAAATAAAAACAGGAATGAGAAAACAATAGAGTTTGTAAGGGACAACTCGCGGAAGACCGGTAAATAATGTATTTAGTGTATTATTTTCATATTTTACAAATACTGCGTGCGATTCTGCATATTACTATAAAATGGCTTACTACCCAAGACTTCGTTCATTACATTGTAACTGCTTGTTTGTTGTGTTATTAGAAATAAAGGTCACTAATCTTAAGGGAAATATGGGCGAATAAACCGATATTCTGGCTAGATGATACAATACAATCCAAAAACATGTTAGTCTTGAAGATACAACAAGCACCACTGAACACCACAAAACTAATGTGGTTCAAAGTTGGTGACATAAGCCTGTACTAGGTAAATGGAACCAAATTTAAAACAAGTGTAGAAAAATTCTCCACACAAGCTGAAAGATTACGACAGGATTTATCGATCGAGTTTCCAGAGTAACGTGACATAATAATCAAATTCCAAACCATCATTTTGTTTTAAGATGTGATTAAGATCTTCAAAATTTAAATTCAGGATTTTAGAAAACCACTTTAATTTCAAATCATTGTATCACCTGAAAACTCTTCATTTAATCAGAGGACTTTGTATAAGTGGTTAGTGAAAGGTATAGTGTAGATACATCAAACGATAAAGATGAAGTTTAAAGAAACTCACTTCAAATATGAGTTGTTCATGGCCCATTATACATGAATCTCTGGATTCCAACAATCGACTAAGCACAATCAATGCATGACCTTGAACAGGAACCAAAGGATCATGCAATTCTTCGAAAATCTTTTTCAAAGTTGGATCCTCTAGCTGGTTGCAAGCAGATTGTTGTACATCCTGGAGGTTGGAGACAGCAACTTCTTCGATAATCTTTCGATGATATTTTGATTGATAGGCTTCAGCTTCTACTTTGTCAAAATCACATCTAGGGTGAATAAAAAAATTCAATGACTTACAGTAAACTGTTAACTAAAATTTTTAAAAATTTTACTACGGCAGCAGATGACTGAATTCCATTGTGAAACTAAGTGATTAATCAAACGAGAACATTAAATTTACCAACAGTTCTTATCCCAAAACAACATAAACTTGATAACTTCCAAAGTCACACAGTAGATAAAATTGCATAGTTGTCTTTTCTAATACACAGTGGTAAGTACATAGAAGCTTTATGGATTTACAAAGTAAGAGAAAATTTTCAGTTTAATCAAATTCGACTGTGTTTAAATTGCTTTCATGTATTATACAAGCTTACTGACTTTTGAAGCCAAAAGTCATTATTTAGAACCTACATATGGATTACAATAGAATAAGTTTTAATGAGCTAAACATCACTGGCGAATACAAGGCTTGTTTTCGCTAAAACCTGACACTAAACAAAACTTGTCTTCAAGTAGACATAAGTGTGCATACAGAAAGAAATAAAGCTACCAAATTAAACCAGTTAATATTACATAATATGAGTATATTCTACTACAATCAAGTATGAAAGTGAAATTCATAAAAAGTTTCATAACATCTAACCCATAGTTTGGAAGTGACAATAGCCAACCATTAAAACTCTTTCTTGTCATCATGCCTACAGTTTAATTGGTTTATAAAATATGTGGGGAACTCTGGCACTGGAGTATCACAAGTGTGACATTTTATTAAATGTAGAGTGATTTTTCATCTTTACTTGGATACAAAGAATAACACGATAGTACAGTCTTCTTCATGGATTAATAAATATGACTTGAATTTACGCCTTACATTGTTATTATTTTTATTTATTTAAACACATATATATTGGTACAAAAGGGCACCAGATACATATGCGCCACACAAAATAATGAAAGTAGCAAGAGAAGGGATGAAAAGATAAGGCGGACTGAAATGTACAACCAGAAGACTCTTTCAGTTAGGAAAGTTAGAACCATTCGTTATGTAGAAAGTAAAAGAAGGTTGCAGCAGGATCGCCACTGGCTTCTATTCTGAGCCATATCCGATAACGTCTCTAGCCACTGTGTTGCACCATCTCTCGAACCCCAGCCAGGGAGTCGTGAAGGACCAACAGAAGCTAGCCCTTTGCAGCTTTCTTTCATACCACGACACCATGTCATACACTGACCTCCTCTCCGCTTTTTCCAACCAGTCCCAGGGTCGGCAAATAATGCACGACGTGGAAGTCTCTGGGATGACATTCGTAAAACATGTCCAAGCCACCGAAGTCGGTGTTTCAAGATGGTGACACCAATTGAATTATCATCCCTGCGCCCGAACACACGATGCCGAACCTCTGCATTACTAACATGGTGTTGCCACTGGATGTCAGCAATCCTTCGGAGACAACGATGATCGAACACAGAGAGTCGTCTAACATCCTCAACTCGGAGAGGCCAGGTTTCACAAGCATAGAGCAAAACTGCTCTCACCGACGCGTTGTAGATCCGATCTTTTACAGCCAGACTAACATCACGAATGCGCCAAAGATGGCCCAGATTGGCATAAGCCGCTCTGGCTTTCATTATACGTGCATCAATCTCATCACTCACGCCACCACCAGCACTTATATAGCTACCTAGATACACGAACTTCTCAACTACTTCAATCTGCTCACCGTCCAGGGTGAGTACAGGATGAGAATCCTGCCAATCTTGTAGGAGTACTTTGCACTTGGAGGGTGCAAAGCACATGCCGTACCTGCGGACACTGATTGCCAACTGATTAAGTGCGAATTGCATGGCTTGAGCATTATCGCACAGTAAGATAATATCATCCGCATACTCGAAGTCGAGAAGTCGTTCTCCAGGCAACATATCCACACCGCCATTACTTACATCCATCAGAGCTGTTTCCAGGATGTCGTCGATAGCAAAGTTGAAGAGGAATGGTGAGATCGGGCAACCCTGCCTAACCCCACTGCTTGAATGGAACAAGGGAGAAAGGTGGTTGTATGCCCTCACTCTGCCTGAGGTGTTCGTATACAGGGCCTTTAAGATGTTAACGAACTTCTCAGGCACACCCTTCTTCAATAGACAATCCCAGAGAACAGTCCTGTCCAACGAATCGAAGGCCGCCCTGATATCAAGAAACACTACGATTGTTGGCCTGCAATAAGTATGACGGTGTTCTAACATTTGGCGGAGGGTGAAGATGTGATCAATGCATCCTCGACCAGAACGAAAACCAGCCTGCTCCTCGCGAGTCAATCGTTCTCGGGTTTTAAACAACCTACGAAGAATGATAGAAGCCAATAGTTTGGACGCAATCGAAAGTAGACTTATCCCCCGATAGTTATTACAGGAACAACGTGAACCCTTTTTAAAGATAGGGACGACTATTAACTCATTCCATGATGTTGGAACACTTTCTTGCTCCCAAACCTTTCCAAACAACACAGTCAATTCCTTAGTCAGAAGGTCACCACCATCTTTAAAAAGAGCCGGAGGTAAGTCATCTGGGCCCGGTGATTTGTAACGTTTCAAGAGTTGGAGTTCCTTGCGGACTTCCGCCTCGTTTGGTGGATCAGTCGTCACCGGCCATGGGGGGCGGGACAAGCTGGTTGATGTTGCCGGAGCAGCAGGCCAGTTGAACTGCCCTTCGAAGAATTCCGCCCATCGTCCAAGACGTTGAGAGATGTTAGTGATTGGCATCCCATCATCCTCGTAGATTGTTTCACTCACACCAGACTTCTTGCTGCCAGTGGCTCGGATGAGTTGGAAGAGCTTCCGGCAGTTACCAGATGCAACTGCTTCTTCCATCATTCACTTAGACATTTGATTGAATTTGGTCAAATTCAATTATCAAATATTTTATGATATTCTGACAATTATTTCACTCAGTTTTGATATGTACAGAATAAAATTTGTTTAGTTCATAACTACTTACTTACGCCTGTTACCCCTCGTGGAGCATAGACTGCGGACCAGGAATCTCTAACTTACTCTGTCCTGAGCTTAGGTCATAGTTATTTAAATACAATAATTAATCACTGAAAAGGGTATATGTATGTAAAATGATATATTTTTTCCAAAAAGATTCATTTATCCTAACCTAGGCTTTTTTTAATAGTTGACAGTTGAGTTAAAAGTATCAGTGACATGATGTTGAAAGATAATCGCGGGTGTTCATTATCGCCTTAACATTACCAATCGCATATTAAGACTTAAGTTACAATATTGGCATTAAATCCCCCCCCCTAGATTAAAGATAAACACTTCACTGTAACACAACAGTATAGTAATTTGACAACCTATGTTTTATAAATATTTCATTTCATATAAAGATCAATCATTATTGTTTCTAAAAACAGAACATCTCAAGAAGTAATTTCATTTAGAATAAAACAATGGAGATTTCATCACTACCGTTGGGAAGTGAGACTGAAGTGTGAAACTGTCATCTATTATGAAAGTAACAAATTTGAGAAACCATCTAAATGAATAAGTAAGGTCACATTTCTCGCTACAACTTATTATAATTACAATCGTAAAGTTCCTTCAAATTTGGACAGAAAGCTTATCAATATAAATTTAAACAGGTTCTTAATAGTGACTTTATTAGAACTTCAAAACTTACTCAGTAAAATACAAATTGTTTACAGGCGAAGATGAAAAAGAATCATGACAAGGAATAGCTCCACGTGTGGCTAATGTAACTTTAATACATTGTAGAAGATTTAAAGTCGAATTGCCCATCGAGTGTGATGTAGAGTTTATTACGAGTTCCAACTTATTTAGAATTGGCAATAAACGACTGAATTCATCTCGTGCAGTTATTATTTCATTATCTTTAGTAGACTATGTTTAAAATGAATAAACAAGAAATTAAAAATTCCTAAAGTCAATGAACAGAGATGTGCAAAATACCGAATTAAAATAAAGTAATGAAAAAATAAATATCTTTTCATACAAAAAGTGTACTTAGTAAGATGATCGATATTACATGAATAGTTCTCTGAATATTTACCACGATTATTAGTTTATTGCAGAACGATATATTTGAATTACTACATAGAATACCTTAAGAATAAGTAATTCATGAATATGGGCGTTGTCTTATTGGTAATTTTTAACAACAATCTTCAATTAACGGATGACAGTTTTGAAATAAAACCAGTTTCATTCAGTATAGAAATTTGGATATTATCACTAAGCTTTATATAGGTATATAGATCTGTAATTAGCAAAACAAGCTGAAGTGTGTAAGAATACTTGAGTGATGATATGTGCACGTGATTGGTCAGAAAACAGCTTTCGCTTCTAAGGAGTGAGGCATAAATTATTGGTAGTTTAGTTTTCGAAGATATTGTGACTTGCAGTCTGCTGAACATCACTTGGTTTATTCGCCGATCAGAATACAGCATATACAATCTTAGCACTGTGCCAAATCAATGACGTGTTGACCGGTACGAGCAGCCTTGCGTCCTTATTGGTCCTCTGTCTTCCTATCCTTCCACTATGTGAATCATTTATTTCAAACATACTTGGTTTATATACCAGCTAAACAGACCACATAACACCATAAAATAGGAAATAACATTTGTATAAGATCAAGCCAAAAAGTGGCTGTGATTGTGGGAGACTTGTGTACAAGCACAGTGAACACTGCACATCACAAAACTGATTAGTCTTACAAATTCGGTTGGAAAAATTTATTATCATATGAACTATTCTAAGTCAAAGAAACGATGAGAGTATTCACGACTTAGTAAGAGCATAAAATCTAGATAACATAAATACTTACCCCAAGTTTATTAGCGTAAAAGGCTAAGATTCCTAACAATTGACTTAACATTTGATATAAAAACTCCACGTGTTCATGATTTTCAGCATGTTGAAGTAAACAAATGAAACGATGGAACAATGCCTAAAATATATAAACACAAAGGAAAATCAAAAAATTCCGAAGGCGTTTACATGAAGTAATAATTTCCATATCAGTAAACAGATTGAAACACAATCTAGTTTTCGTGTAATAATTATTCAAAAGAATCAGTCAGTCAGCTACAACGTAGCACCAAGCACACATATGCATCGGTCCAAGTTGCCATACCTCGTTAGCACAACAAGATGAACACCGGATTCATAGAAATAGTTAATTTAGTGGTGGTAGTATATAAAAGATAAGTTGTATATAAGGATATAGTATAGGAAGGAAGAACGTTATGAAGCAATTTTAATCTTTCCCAACCATCCCCTACACTAGTCAGCATTGCGCATCGTGGTAATCGGTGTTCAGGCATACGTAACACGTGGTCCAACCATCTCAGTCGATGAAGATTTACAACCTCATCAACTGATTTACCATCATTCCCTAATACCCTGTGTCTAGCCTCACTATTACTTACACAGTGATCCCAACAGATGCTAGCAATACTTCTAAGGCATCTGTGGTCAAATACTAGTAACTTACGAGTATCTTCTACTCCTATTGGCCACGTTTCATAGCCGTCAAATAGAACAGAGCAAACTGCTGCGCAGTATACTCGTCACTTAATTGATAGACGGATATCTCGTCTTCGCCATATGTGACGTAAGTTAGCAAAAGCCAAACGAGCCTTTTGAATCCGTGTTGAGATTTCGTCAGACACCAACCCATTAGGGCTGATCAGACTTCTAAGATAAGTGAATTGGTTGACGCGTTCGACTACTTCACGCTATCCTTTGTTCATGTGTTGACTAAGGCCTGAAGATTTACAACCTCATCAACTGATTTACCATCATTCCCTAATACCCTCATCTTATGTAGTGAGCGGATAGAAGTGGTTGAGAAGTTCGTGTATCTGGGTAGCTGCATAAGTGCTGGTGGTGGATTGAGTGATGATATCAACTCACGCATAATGAAAGCCAGAGCGGCTTAAGCAGATCTGGGCCATCTTTGGAACCTTCGTCATATCAGTCTATCTGCAAAAGATCGGATCTAAAATGCGTCGATGAGAGCAGTTTTGCTCTATGCTTGCGAAACCTGGCCTTTCCGAGTTGAGGATGTTAAGCGGTTCTCTGAGTTTAATCACTATAGCCTCCGAAGGATTGCTAGCATTCAGTACCAACAGTATGTTCGTAATGTGGAGAGCCGAGAACGTGCGTTCAGGCACATTGACGATAATTTAACTGATGCCAACATCTTGAAACACCGACTTTAGTAGCTTGAACTTGTCTTACGAATGTCGTCCCACATCCTGCATTATTTGCCGATGCTGGGACAAGTAGGAAAAAGCGATGTGATCAGTGTATGATATGGTGTCGTAGTGTGAAAGCTGTACAGGACTGACTTTTGTTGGTCAGTAACAACTCTCTGGTTGGGGTTCTGGAGGTGGTACAACACAATGACTAGAGATGTTACCAGACATGGCTCAGAATAGAAGCAAGTGGAGATCCTGCTGTAAATTTTTTCATGAAAGTGAGCGTAACTTCTTTTCCTGAAAGAATTCTTTTAGGTTGTATTTTCCGAACTCAACTGTTTCACCTTCATACACAAATTTCTGTTCTTTTTTATCATACGCACTTTACACTTCTCATCTCTCTACAACCTCCTTGTTATTGTGTAGCGCATTTGTATTTGGTGCCCCCTTGTACCAATGTTTGTGTTCAAATAAATAAACAGTCCACGATAAAAGCTATTCATTACAAACAGATTAATAGGAAAAAAAGAGGTGTGAAAATAAAGACGTATGTTTAAATTTTATAATAATACAAAAAATATATTATTAAACACTTAAAATTACCTCAAATAAATTACAAGCTTGACTGATATCTTGAGGCCAAATTAAATCATCTAAGCTTTCAATCATAGCAGAAGTAATCAATGAAGAAACAGTTCCAATTTCAATAATGTCTTTTTCATTCTGTGGTATAAGAACTTTATTCATTGATTCAAAAATGGCTTGAAAAGTGAAATGCATGTCCTAAAGCATAAAATTAAGTAGAAGATTCAACAAAAGATTAATAACAGTTAGTGAAATATGGCTTAACCCACCTCTTAATGCAGAATTTCAACTAAATATGGAGAGACTAATATTATTAAGTTAGAATAAGTCATATTAAGCTACAAGACTGCTATTACATCATCAGCTAGATCCACTTAGATTAATGTTGACAAATTAGTAAGTCAACAGATTTTTAAGCACTAGGGAATTAATAACTAATATGTTGGCAACAAATGACGCGGTTTCGATTCTCAAAAATATTATGCTTCTTATCAAAGTTGCAAACAAACTACTGTTTGTAGTATGAGTGAGCCAGTTACAACGTAGAACACTTGGTATGTATGTACATCGGTTCAAGTTGTCATACCCCATCAACACAGAGAGATGAGGTTGTCAGGACAAATCCTAGGACAGTAGAGGTAATAACAGTGCCAGTGGAGATCGGAAAGATTAAGCATCGACAATACGATTTTGAAAGAAAATACGAATTCCTGGTAGAAAAACAAAAAAAAAGTCATGAAAAATTTGGAATCTCAGGATTTGGGAGGAGGCAAATAATAGATGCACCTGCATTAACGCATACGATTTCGAGTCATTCAAGCTCTCAAACCAGTTATTACGATAATCACGCGAGCCCCAACCAGGTAGTCTATTGACATAGCTTAGTCTGCACAACATGGGCTGATGTCATGTTTTGGTTTGAACCCCTAGTTTTCTTTCCGCTTACTCCTGCACCAGAAAACATTGTCTGTCGAGGTGGTTGGTGGTTGGGTATACGTTACATATGTATAAACCACCTCAGCTGATGAAGATTTACTGCCTCACCAATCTATTATCCATCTTCACTTAGTAATCTATTCCTAACCCAGGCAATACTTAATCTTGATCTAAAAGTAAACGAACAATACTTCGTAAACACCTATGACTGAATACCAGTAACCTACGAATATCCTCTATTCTTAATGACTATGTTTCACATCCATAAAGTAGAATGAAGCGAACTCCTGCCCAGTAAACAACTTAGAAAATAAGAAATAGAGGCTATGACCCTTGTAAATATCATTAATAAATTATTACCAAAATGAACTATGAATGTAAACTTCAAATTCAGTGGCGAAATATATGGACAAATAAACAGCGATGCAATGGGTTCACCACTAGGTAATATATTAGTTGACATTTTTCTCACATACATACATATTGCAGCCTTCAACGCACTCACCCCATGTTAAATCGGCCAATAGGCCTACTTGGCCAAAACCCTAAAATCTCGTACGATTGATGTATGCTGTGTCTCCGAAACACACATACAGGATCCTAGTATGGTCATTCACTTGACCTCACAACGCCAAAGCGGAGAACCGACGAGATATACCCTCCGTGTATCTGGCGACCCAATGACTACTTCTCGTGGACTTGCAGGTGTAGACATAGCACTTAGTACGAAAGCAGAACAAGCACTATTGGAATGGATCCCCGTTAACAGATGCCTATGTGCTGTTCGACCAAATGGCTCCGTAGGAACTCGGAAGGATAGCGACACACGTTGCCTCTGCGTCGCTTCTGCCAACGCTCCCATTAACTACAGCTCGTATGAACACTATCAATCGACTGAGAGCTTATGGCGAACAGTCATCAGACTTTATAACCTCAAGTGTTGTCCTTACAGATGGAAATAACGCCCTCGTCGACTGAATTTTCCAGGGCATTGATCTCCTACCAGGGGGTCCAATTGTTGACTTAGAATACGCAGATGACATAGTCCTGTTTGATGAAGACGCTGACAAAATGCAGAGTCTTCTGTTAGAACTGAGTAATAATGCCAGGATATTTGGAATGCGTTTCTCCCCCTCTAAATGCAAGTTGTTACTCCTGGACTGGCCTTAGTCAACACATGAACAAAGGATAGCGTGAAGTAGTCGAACGCGTCAACCAATTCACTTATCTTAGAAGTCTGATCAGCCCTAATGGGTTGGTGTCTGACGAAATCTCAACACGGATTCAAAAGGCTCGTTTGGCTTTTGCTAACTTACGTCACATATGGCGAAGACGAGATATCCGTCTATCAATTAAGTGACGAGTATACTGCGCAGCAGTTTGCTCTGTTCTATTTGACGGCTATGAAACGTGGCCAATAGGAGTAGAAGATACTCGTAAGTTACTAGTATTTGACCACAGATGCCTTAGAAGTATTGCTAGCATCTGTTGGGATCACTGTGTAAGTAATAGTGAGGCTAGACACAGGGTATTAGGGAATGATGGTAAATCAGTTGATGAGGTTGTAAATCTTCATCGACTGAGATGGTTGGACCACGTGTTACGTATGCCTGAACACCGATTACCACGATGCGCAATGCTGACTAGTGTAGGGGATGGTTGGGAAAGATTAAAATTGCTTCATAACGTTCTTCCTTCCTATACTATATCCTTATATACAACTTATCTTTTATATACTACCACCACTAAATTAACTATTTCTATGAATCCGGTGTTCATCTTGTTGTGCTAACGAGGTATGGCAACTTGGACCGATGCATGTATATGCCTGGTCCTACGTTTTGGTTGGCTGATTGACTGTTATTCCGAATATTGTCAGATTCTGACAGGATCGTTTACACACTAAACTTAGTGTACGTTTATCGCAACAAAGAATCAAAAGCAACGTTACTTTGTTTGAAGGTGATATTTTTGAAGCATTGGAAGTATGAATGTACCGCTACAAGATCATCGAATGTTAATTGACTTTTACTGTTTAATATAGTGATGCTGAAAGTGTGTTTTGTAATAAACTAAACAATATTCAGTAGAACTTACTGTCAATAAACTCAGAAAAAGATCTGCGTGAGTAGTGATCTCGTTGATTTGATTGTTTTCACTTTGTTTTTCATCTATCAGAATATGCAAATGATGTCCAACTTGTTTATTAGAAGAATTATTTTGAAATGAAGATGGGCTCATAAAGAAAAGCAATGTGACAAGACTTTTGATACTGGAAGATAAATTCTGTATTCCATTAACAGTAGGTATTTTCTCGTTTATTATGACACAATTATATGGTACATAAACTGAATTATGTTTTCTCATTGTAATTTCATCTAAAGATGTGGATGAAAATTCTATAGGCTGAACTTTGGATAATAACTTGAATATTAGACTTTCTTGACATGAATAAGCTGAAAGCCAATCAGTAGTACTACTCATAATTGATATTTCATGTTGTAGTTCTGATGGCATAAATTTCAAGGATGGAGTGGGTAGATTAAACCAACTACGTATTAATGACAAACGATTGAGACGGGAATTTAAATTAGAAGATAAAAGACGAGTAAGAATCCAGATTAAGCATTCTCTGAAAACAAAATGTATACTAACTTGGTTAGTAGTAAAAAGTTAGTTTCAGTTTCGTGATAATATTGTGATATAATATGCAGGAATTTCAAACTCTTGATTACACAAAGGAGGTAGTACAGTCTACTGATGATTTAGAGGTGGTTTCATAAAACGAGGCTAGATGATGAAACTGTCTGTAATTGATGAAGTGTGGGAATGAAAGAAAAAACGATTGATTTGTAGCTGTTTATTTACTCAGTTCTAAGAAAATACAGTCACTTATTATCGACACTAACTGATTTTAGAATATTAAAGATTCCCATTGTGAAAATTAGAACAACATATGTAAGCGAACAATTGTTTTCAATTAGATCGTCATCAGGCTTTACTCTAATATACATGAATATTTATATGAAAATGTTAGACCAATCAAGGCTATTTGAGTCAATAATCACAATGAAATAGAATACGTTACCAAGCATAATAATAGTCAGAAGGGGATTTGTGGAGATTTCATTATATTTCAAAGTTGAAATCATGAGTCAATTGAAGCTAGACCACCATCGAAAACCTGGAAGCACTGGACGGTCGTTTCGTCCTATTATGGGACTCCTCAGCAGTAAGCACCCACGATCCCGCACTCGCGAGATTCGAACCCAGGACCTACCAGTTGCGAGCCAGAGCCCTTAACCGATAGACCACTGAGCCGGCATAATAATAATGTCATTTATTAAGTTATGTCCGGCCATGGAAGGGATAGGGGGGTTACGAATTTCTTCTGTACACATAAATTGGGATGGAATGTACGAATTCCTATGGCTTCTGCTATATGAAGTAGACGGGAGCGAACTCCGTTGGGAAACGATGGAGGTATACGATAGATCACTTGAAATGATTTCAATTTATCAACAATATGACCACTATCAATTAGATGTGCCAAGATAGAACTGTGTATTGTTTTTATTTGGCCCTTTCCAAACCATGCTGGTAGATGTTCACTCATTCGTTGGTTAAGTTGCCTAGTAGTACGCCCGATATAGCTATCTCCACAGGAGCATCTGAACTTATAAATGCACATAAAGGAGGCCAACTCAGGTAACTTATCCTTCGTTTGAGTAGACATCACTGGTCGACTCGAGAAAGTCAATGCGAGATAGGCTGCGTAGAAAGTTCTACTAATTACTTTTGTTGACCTATCTTTCAGAGTTTCACTAGCTACATCCCCGTTGAATGGTAATTTCATGTATAGAGGCTTCTTACGAACAGTTGAAATCTCCGACTTCTTCCTTGTATCATACATGTACTTTTTGATGAACGTAGCAGGGTAGCCGATCTCAGTCAGTGAATTATAGATAAATTGCAGATGGCTCGTTAAGCAGAAGCGTGTATAGAAAAAGACCCTCTGCCTGCCAATACACTCACTTCTATAGCTTTACAACTATCCAATATAAGAGAAACTTGGTTATATACCACACTAGTAGAGCAAATAAGATCTGTTCTGTTGATACTTTAAGTCAGGCCTGGACCTTAGAAACTGCTGAATCCTACCACGTAGATTTACAACTTCGAAACGAAGATACGTGACTGAAAACTACAGTCCACTATACGTGTCGTATAGTAAACGTTAATCGACAGGAAGCTCTGGGTCAAGATATTTTGATTGTCAGTACAGTAGTAAGTGTTTGTCAATTTTGTTTAACGATATATAATATATGTATCATCTATTCATTCGTTATGGAATTGACACCAGCACCCATTACATTAACATAATCATTGTCTTTATGTTTGAAGTTAGTAATACCAAACAACAGATTAATCTAAGAAAACGATTGTTATTATCAGTTTTTTAGTGCATAATTCCGAAATTCAACATGCTCTTCCACTTGTATCCATCACACCTAAGCGCTTATTGGAATTATGAATTAATATTTTCGAGTAGATAAGGTTGGTTGTTTAGATTAACACTGACAAATTTCGATAAAAGCCATTCTTCACTTTGTTCAAACTATAATCACGTGCGTAGAATAGTACAGGGATACTTTTGAGCTGTTTAATTTGCAGAAGTTAACACGTCTTTGATGTGTGGAATATTATTTAAACCAATTTCAAAAATGTACAACCGAGAAAACTGCATAAAAAAATAGAACTTAGTGAGAACAAATGTTTAAAGTTCACGTGAAAGCTCGCAATATACAAAATGAAGGAAGTTAAGATAATCAACTAACTTGAGTGAAGTGAAGCTTTCTGAATCATTAACGCTATCTTCATCTTCAATTGTTTGTGCAAGCAATATAAATAATGGTCTAGATAATTTACATATTTCTGTTATAACAATTTGAGATGGCTCAGGACAATCCAATAGCTAACAGTTTAATAAATTGAAAAAAAAATTAAAATAAAGTTTGTAGGTAACAATGCCAAGGTCGGACTTGATAATTTCATGACTCAATGTAAGCCACATCTTCAGAGTAAATAAATAACCGAGGTAAAATTAACAAAAGTTTAAATAATACGAAGGAAACCTAAGAAGTCGTTTACATTAAATCACGAAACGTCAAAAATGAAATTTTCTACTAAATGGGATAAAAAAGGTATGCGTCTTATTAAAATAAAGTTATATATATATATATATATATATATATATATATATATATATTGGTTAAAGGTAAAATTATCACAAAAGACTTTTATTTAGCAGTAACAATTGTCATAGAGCTGAAAGGTTGTGGTACATAGACTTTTTATTTAGTCGAAAAATCCCACTCATTTACCAAAAGTACAATGTTTATACGCAGGGACTTTCGGATATAGTCTTATATGAGGGATGGTAGTATCACTAGCTTAAGATCAAAATAGTTTGAGAGCGTGTTAAAAGATATAACTCAGTCAGTTACAACGTAGAACTTCGTACGTACGTACATCAGTTCGAGTTGCCATACCGCATTAGCACAGAGATGAAGTTGTCGATTCAAATCCCATATTGGTAGAAGTAGTAAGAGTATAAGTATTATGTGAAAGATTAGGGTTTGAAGATGTGATTAAAGGAGTATAATACAGTGAAATAAATTTGGAAAGAGAAAAAGGATACGGACATGAAGAATTCAGAGAATTAGAATTCGGGAGAACATAAAGAGTGGATGCACCTTCGCCATTGCAAACGATTTTGAGCCATGTCACTCAAGGTCTCTAACCATCGGCTGCTATCATCTCGCGAATCCCAACCAGGTAGTCTACACCTACAAACAAGGCTCAGTCCACTTGTCAGCGACTTCATGGATTTATGCCATGTTTTGGTCTGGCCGCCCCTAGCTTTCTTCCAACCTGCTCCTACACCATAAAGCATTGCACGTCGGGGCAGTCGGTGGTTGGGCATACGTAACACATGTCCCAGTCATCTCAACTGATGAAGTAGTAAAACTTCATCAGTCGATTCGCCATCCTAAAGATATAACTCAGAAATCAGTATACTTATAAATTTTAAATCGATTTCATGAGATTACTGATTAAAGGCTACATTAGTTACAGTATACAGTACATACTTGAAATGTATACACTTCAGTTTGATACATTTAATTTCTGATCTTCAACACTAGAACTATCAAAGGAAGATATAGTACCAATCCATTAAGTCTATTATTACTGAGCTTCAAGCTGTAGAAAATTGTTTTTTTAACTGACAGATATGAAATGGTAATAACTTATCATGAATATAATTCTGACCAAACCGTCAAAATTCTACCTTCTAAAAAGCTACCAAACAATACATTTATAAACTGTAAACATCAATCTGAGTAATACCTATTTATGAAAAAATCATTATTATTGACTGTTATCCAGAACTTTCCTGAATACAACAACACAAACTCACATATGACGGTGCACTGACCTATGTTGAAATGGCTTATAACGATCGGAAAAAAATCAATAAAACTAAGAAATATACCAAAACTGTCTTATCTATTATAATAATGTTAGATAGTTTATCTGATGTAATTGAAAAACTTAAATTATCATTGGTATTTACATCGAAGTATCTGACAATAGAATTTTATTTTAGAGGTAGCTTAATTCATGAGCCCTCAAATGCCTAGGTAAGGCAGACGGTGAAGAGAGTCAACTCTCCCTCTCACACGGCCTCGCGTAAAAATCCACTGCGAGGGTAACCCTACTCTCGCAACAGGGGTGTTGTTTAAGAAATCGACAACACGAAAAGAGAATGTTCGATGCTTTAACCCGGTTAGTGGGTACAGAGGATCCACATAGGGAAGTTGGAAAACCCTGATTTCAAACAAATGGTGCACATGGGCTTCCGGATCCTAAAGGAACAAATAGCGTATGAACCTTTTGTTGGTCACCGGCTACCATGGAATTGCATCTCCGAACGTTGCTCCTCTGCTTTGTGGGTTAGGCTTCTAGGTCAAAGGCTCGGGGAGTGTCCCCCTAAGAAAGCCATCTGCTTCAATTTGGGCGTCTGGGTAATATCCCAGTCCTCCCACAAATTGAATGACGAAGAGTGGCACATATATATTTGGTGGCTCCTTGTACCAAAGTTTAAGTGTTTAAATAAGTAAATAAAACAATTCATAATAAAGTATAAAATGTGAAATTTTTTTAGATTCATATATTATTCTATTAATTAGCTGGTTATTCTAATTATTGTTAGTAGAGGGTTGTGAAGATTGTTGAATTTCATCGAAATCACAAACATGTCCAAGTGAGACAAACACTGGATGGTCATCTTGTTTCATTATTTAACATCGATAATACAATAATTAAACAATCTAATTTATAGATTATAACCCATTGTGAATAATGGAGGAGAAAATGAAATACAAGTTAATATTATTTACTTACATCTTTTATAATTTCTAATACGCGAGCTAGATCATGATGTGAGGCAAGTTGACATTTTGTAGTAAAATCGAATCCCAAAGCTAGTAGAGGTGAGCATATTCAATTCATTAAGTAAAAGTGTTAAATTGATTTTTTAGAAAAGAGAAAGAGGTATTATTACTTAAAAATAAACAAAAAGATGAATGTAACGCAGCTTAGTTTACTAAAATACCCCCAGCAAGAGGATAAAATACTTTACATGATACGTATTTATAACGTGAAAAACGAATTCAGTGCATTCAGCACTCAATAACTGAGGAAATCATGTTTAGTTTATTAATTACCGTCTCCCACAATCACAGCCACTTTTTAGCTTGATCTTATACAAATGTTATTTCCTATTTTATGGTGTGATGTGGTCTGTTTAGCTGGCATATAAACCAAGTATGTTTGAAATAAATGATTCGCATAGTGGAAGCTGGTATTGGTGTTCCGGACCCAAGTGGAAGGGCTAGGAAGACAGAAGACCAATAAGCACGCAAGGCTGCTCGTACCGGTCAACACGTCATTGGTTTGGCACAGTGCTAAGATTGTATAGGTCGTATTCTGATCGGCGAATTAATCACGTGATAATTATCCGGGTTTAAAGTCACAACACTTATAGTATCTTTAACCGAATGTATTGATTCACCCCCTCAACTAGTACCATTTTATTCCATGTGACACAGTTTGAAACCTGTCTTAATTCACGTAATTTCTAGGGGTATTTACAGCTCATACATTCCCTTATTGTTAGACCGTCAGTAAAAGGTTAAGGGTATTATTTTACTCAAAATCTTATTTACTCAACAAAAAGTTGATCCTTATTTGTTGGTGTAATAAACACAGTACGACACAGCACGATTTGTAGTTCATATTATTATTTTGCAGTAAATCGCTAATTAGGGTACTATATTAATAGGAGATACAGCATTTGTCAAGTTAGGTATTTTCTTACATAGCTTTTCCACAAAAGATCAAAATCATGCTAATATTTCGGTCTCTATTTATCATTTAACATTCTTCTATAATTTGTTAGTCATTTAAGTGGCTGTTAAACATAAATAAACCTGTTCAGACAATAGTATCAAAGGTCTCGAAACCTGAAACCTGAACTAAGAAGGTAGAGTCTTTTAAAAAATTATCAGCTATTCCTTTTTTGTGCACAGATTTCTTCAATACAAAGAGGACATATGTTGAAACTTGACAGGAAAAGTGAAAACTTACAGTTATCGTTCAGCATATCATTTTCTGGGGAAACTGAAGATATCTGACAAAATTTCCTTAATAATCCAATCAATGGCCAAAGTAATAATTTTTTACCAATATTATTATTATCATCATCATTAATTTTAGATTTCTGGCATAAATCATGCACAGTTTTTATGGCAACATTATAAAAGAAAGAAGCAACAGCTAATGAATCCGTTTGAGTATTTGACATGGTATTATTCTTGGCATTAATTATTTCTAACAACTTTATAGACCAAAACAAAACAACAAACATAAACAAATGGTTGAAAAAAAGCAAGGGAGAGAATCAGTTATCTTATAATACAATACGAATTAATGAGCTTACATAAAATTTAATTATTCACTAATGTAACTCACTAACCAACAACAGACTTATACACTCGACTTTGTGCCGGTGATGATACAACTCAGATGTATAAACCTCATAGAGTTAGAACATGAGACTGACAATCCTCTGTGTATGAGAGGAAGTTCAACGAAATTTATAGTAAGTACTTAATTCATATCATACTACTACCTAATCACAGTAGGTGAGATGAAAACCTCATAAAAAGCATAGGATGCATAACTAGTTACTGGTACATGTAATTATCCTTTGTTTTGAACAAGTTGTAAGTTAGCACTACGAGGAACACGATTAGATAAAATGCTCAAAAAATCCCAAGTATTGTAATGGACGATGTATTTTGTTAGCTACCAGTCAGTCAGCGACAACGTAGGACCAAGCACATATATGCATCGGTCCAAGTTGCCATACCTCGTTAGCACAACAAGATGAACACCGGATTCATAGAAGTAATTAATTTAGTGGTGGTAGTATATAAAGAAAGGTTGTATACAAGGATATAGTATAGAAAGGAAAAAAGTTATGAAGCAATTTTAATCTCAAGGTTTAAGGGAGGACAAAGAGTGTATACACCTACGCCATTGTGATCCATTTGTTAGCTATGATAATCCGACGTTACTGTACATGAATTCAATTATTCGATTTTCAACACAGATGTAGCAAAGACGTTTAGACAGTATGTTATGGATGACTTAATGATTAATAGAAAATGAATGCACGATGTGTAAACTGTTAAAATGAATGAAAAGAATGCTAATGGACAGATAATATGTAATGATAAAACTTGGCTAAGTAATGGATGCTCAAGAGACAATGTAACTAACTAAAAACATCGAATAAATTGACCTCAAAGACAAAACTACCAACAAGAATAGATCTTTGTTCTAATGAAACAACATGATTATATGAACGAAAAAAAGTACTGACGCAGATGTCGCAAACAACAGAAGGGTATCAGTTGTGTAGACCACTTGCTTGCCACTGAATTAAAATCTGCTTTTAAGGCTTAAGTCTTGCTCATATTATCACAGTATCATTGATTTTTATACAATAAGTACGGTCCACAACTTAGTACTAAACTTTATGCATTATCCTATTTACCTTATTACGAGTAAAAATAGTAATCAAGCGACTAAAATGATTCAAGTGTAGCTGTATCTGAAACTACAACTATACGAAACTGACAAAACCCTACAAAAGTTACTAGGAGTGAAGGATCAAAATAGATGCTAATTAGCGTCTTTTTTCCTATTAACACAAACAACGTTCATAGATATAGCAGATACCTGAACAGAAACCAATGAAAAATATTTTTCATAACTTGATTCACTGGCCAAAGCATTCGAGGAATTATGAACAAATTCGGGGACTGTTGTTAAAATATTCGCCAATGTTAAAATCATTTTTGGTTGAATACGTGGATCAATCGAAGTGATTGGACCAGTCGAAGGTAATATCCCAGGACAAAGAGACAGAGAAGCTAGTAACAAGCTTCTAACACCTAAATTTTGGGCGTTTTCTGATTTTTCAGCATTCGTATTACTAATAACAACTGGATGGACCAACAAACGGGATAGTAAACGACCACAAGATTTACGTAACCAGACTGGTGCTTTGGGTAACTGAACAGCTCCCTTAATTTGAACAACAAAGGAATACATTAACAGATACTGCGGTTAATATACAGTAGATTAGTTATTAATTGACAGTTTATCTGCCAAACAATCATAAATAATCTAATGAAAACGTGATAAACTGTAATGCGTTAAAACATTTATACCAGGAGATAACGTGAAGCGAAAAATCACTTGGAAGAGTTCATCAAATAACATTAAGAAAAACCAACAAGGTAATGAGAAAATGTTGGGGAGTTCAAAAGCTGGGTAGTAAATAGTTGAGAGAGACTAGGTAACCACTCACTCCTTTACTTACTAAAAAACAAACAATTGTGCAAATAGGCATAAAAATAAATAAACTCCATACAAATAATTACATGAAATTGTGAAATATATGATGAGGAGTTATCAATAAAAATAAATAAATAAATGAGAATAGTTTGTGGTAAGAAAAGACAGTCCGGTTCATTAAAAAAATACAACCAAGAAGAATTTGTCCAGTTAAAGTAATCCTTCTTATTATCACGAATACAGAAGAATCGCTATTGTTTTTATTCAGAGATAAATATGGCAACGTCTCAAGCCATCATTTTTAAAACTTCAACCACACAATCGTGATAGATCGGCGGGTGTCAGTGATATACAACTTTTTTCCATAGTACGGCACCATATCGTAAACGGTGGTTTAGTGATAAATGCGCTTGACTTCTCATCAAGCCCACTTCACCTACTACAGTTTGAACAACCGAGTATTTTCATTCGCCCGTACCCTTTGAGTGTAGCTCATGCCCAAACATCTAGCGAATGAGTTAAATAACTTGTTTTTTTATACGTTATAAACTGACTACTGTTTTTTCCATCTCATCTTAGTACCCACAAACAATGCACGACGTAGAAGTCAGCAGAATGACATCCTTAACGCATGTCCAAACCGGAAAAGCCCATGTTTCAAGATGATGACAAGCAGCACAGTTGTACTACTATTATATCCTAGAGAGAATTATAAGTGGTACCTTTTAAGAACTATGTATGGACCAATACTATGCGTATATTTTTATCGTATATTTGTTAAACAACTGAACTATTCATATTCATGTCCCTCTTATTATAAGCTTTGTTTTGACCTATGAACTATTATTATAGGATATACCATTCTTGAAACATGCCCTATCTATCATTTACTATCTCCCTTATTCACAGCCATATTTGGTTAAATGTTGTTTTCTATTTTATGGTATGATGTGGTCTGTCTGGTTGGTATGTAGACCCAGTATATTTGAAATAAATGATTCATACTGCAAAAGCTGAGATTGGTGTTCTGAACTTAACTGGTTGGGCTAGGCAGAAAGCAGGACCGATAAGTACTCTAGACTGCTCGTACGGGTTTTGTGTGTCATTGGTCCAATCGATAATTCACTGCTCTCTCATCGGTGGCATTATCACGTTATACATTAATAGGGCATCCAGGTGACAAGTTATAACAAATATCTTGGTTGAATATTTTGTATATTAATGATAGCTCTAATACTACGTTAGCTGCCAAATAGTCCTAACTCCCGGTAGCGATTTAATGAAGGCTTCGGGATAGGTCTTGTTATCAAGTTATTAGTTCGATCACCTTAATTATTCCCATATTTGATCAAGTTGATCAAAATTTTGTAATAACTCACTGAAACTAAGAGTGAACGCAAGAGGTGAAACAGTAATTTTATGATAACTGGAAACTGAAAAGTGGATATGCTACGTCAAAATCTACTGGTGCATTAAGTCACCTTGGGCACAACCAATAAAATCGTAAGACTTTAAGGCTAAAAGAGTTTGCAGTTATTGTTTAAAAATGAAATGACCAGTGATCACCACAATTATGTTGTCCAATATAAATAATCAAGGAAAGGTAATATTATTGTGGTGTGGGTTGCTTATATCCACATAAGTAGTATATGGTGATGGTCAGGTATAGAATGCATTGCGGCAGAAGATCGATAAGGAAAGAACAAGAACGAAGCGCAGTCGGTATGACAATGCATGAAAAATGAAATCAAAGAAGATAGACTGATATTTGCAAAACGAACAGTCAAGTTTGAAACAATTGATTGTTATTTTGCAAGTTAACTATTTACTGTATGGTTATCAGATTTTAGTGAGATAGTCTGTAATTTGTGCTTAAATACATTCGTTTTCCCCCACCCGTGTTCTGTTCACTATATTATACACGGTATTATCGATTTTATTTCTACCTTATAGTTGCCTTTTTCCTGACCCATTCCAACTAATTCATTATTATTTCTTGTTCTTTGACATCCATATGATTGTCTTATTTAATGCAGCGAATTCTTTTACAACCAGATTTCCTGAATTAATACTTTTGTTAAATAAGTATGATGAAGAAATTAATAAAAAAATTCAAACTGTATTAGAATAAAGGAAAAAAATAGTTGTATATATTACAGTTAAGGAATAAACTAACCTTAACACGAATATGTGTACCACCTTGAAGAATCATTAATTCTTTCATTGCAATGTGACGTGGTAGCTCAAGTAACAGTTTCCAAAGAACTTTTCGAGACTCACGAATGTATGCCATTAACGAAGAAACTCTCTCAGGAGTGAAATCGTTACTACGCAAATATGAATCCATTCCGAAAGCAGATTGAAATAAACTTGCAATTAAATCACCCAAAAATGAAGTGGTGCTGACTAATCGTTGTAACTGGAAAGATTTAGACTCTTTCAAGCAAAGCAGACACTTGATAATCTATATAATAAATAATAATGTGATAAAATGTAACAAACAGTTGTTTTGTATGAAGACAAGGATATTCAGAAGTGTAATAGTGTTATTCAAAGCGAGAAAATAAGTTTGGTGTATCGCACTGGTAAATTTATTATTGTTTTTTTCACTGACCTTACTTTAACCTGCTTTTAGAAGTAATTGTACCTTATGAAGCTCTAAGTTAAATCATTTATTTGAATATACAGAATTAGCCATAGTCCAGTTAGTTCCAAAAATGAACTGATCAGCTGACTGGTTACGAGCCACACTCCAAGTGCGAGAGCTAATGATACTACACAGTTGGCCAAACCTTAGTAGGTGGAGCAAGATTCGAACCTGGAACTGAGTGGCTAAAAGTCGGACACCTTAACCATCAAATCATCACTCCGTTATTCTGGCTCGTCTGCCAATCATTTTGTTAATTTTATCTTGTCATGCTGTAGTCTAAGAGGTGGTGCTATTTTATTGAAGTAAAATGCGTTTTTAGTCACTCATGTGACCACGTGATCAAGTACAGATTTGTGTATTCAAATTCGAGCAAAACCATTTGTGTGAAGGGCTAGTAATACAGACTGGCAGCTAAAACTGAGGTGAGATGGGGTTTGATCTAGTAATGAATTGGTTGAAAGCCGAGTGCACCAATTTTTAAGCCATTGTTGTGTAGAAAGCAAACTTGGAAAATGAGCCGTGCTTTTTAATTACCTTATTTGTTTAGATGAGTATTCAAATAGCTTGATCAACCCACGTTAAATACATTTTTAATGTTTCAAGACTACTTAATGGTTGAGCATGAGTTGTAGCTACAATTCTGGCTACTAGTAAATGATTATCATTACATTGACAGTGTTTAAATAAATGACGAGTTGGTAAAAAATGCTGAAGAATATATGATATTAGGAGTGCAAACCACAGTATCTGGTGATGAATATTTAACTAATCACTTAGTTGATTCAAGCTTCAACGATATATGATATCCTAAATAAGGCACTTATAATACTTAAAATACAGAACGGCAAAAGAATAAGGTGCTGACTCCCTATACCAATTAAAACGAGTTACTAGTTTTCATGATGAAATACAAACAGTATTACGTAATAATCTATGGATCGACAATATATGTGCATAAAACGAAAAAGATGGAAATTAGCTTATTCTAGTCAGATATTGTATTTTCATTTTACAATTAAACTTATATATACTTTGCATATTATTTACGTTCAAGATATTTCTAGCATGAATCGACTACTAATAAAAACATTCATAGACTACTCAAAATTACCTTCATCAGTTTTTCAATTCTTTCTCCATCCTTTTCCTTCCGAGGACAGATGAACTTGTCGATATTTTCTAAACGCATACTTAAGGGTAAAGAAACTCCGGTTTCTAAAAGCGGATAAATGCCAAATGCTACAACAAACTGAAGGCATGAGGACAACTGTTTTTCCTGAAACACACTGAAAATAGGAATGTCAGCGCTACTGTTGGTTGCATTGCTTTTACATAGGTCATTACAAGCGTACAGAAAATTAAGGCAGCACAAATAAAATGCTTCATGAACTTCTGTGCCATTAAGATCAAACAGTAAGTTCTCATCATTAGACTTTTGTATGTACGCTTCAACTCCTTCACGAAGTCGAATACAAGGATCCGCATCGCAGAAATCAGATGATGGGAGGAGGGATGTAAGCCGGCTAAAAAATAATCGCAATTTATCCATAACGAGATTAAAGGTAGCCACCTATATGAAAATTAAAAGAGCACACACTAGACACTGTAGAAGTTTTAAAACTAATATAAAATACAAAGGATTACATAGCTTTTCACAAGAATGTTAAATATTCAGCCACAGTCAAACATATTTTGAGTTCATGGACCATTACAAAACCGCTATTTTTATCAGTGGGTTAACTTTGGCAATCATGTTATTTATTTTCCAGATATTTGGGATCCATCTGTTACTCAGAGATTTAATAGCCATATAGTTAGCACACACCATACACCTTTCAGACAGAGAACAAAAACTCTTGAGACAATAAACCGACCAAACAGAGTACATGGTTAACAAACATGAAACGAAAGTCACCTGTACTAGCACTAAGTTAATGGGCAAGAAGTAGTGCCCGAATGTGAAAAATACGTCTGAGTCGAGTATAGACATTAAAAAATGAAAACATAAATCTGGATAAATACTCGTAACTTGGTAATTTATCACATGTTAGCTACCATCTACCTTAAAGGTTAAACTGGATGCACCAAAGACAGAACATGAAATAAAAACACAATGTACTGAGAGAGCAATAATAAATAAAATCAAATATGTGTAACCCACGACCTCATCTTACGAACAATGGAAAGTCCTAGTACAATATACTGAATAAAATTCATGGAAAAGCAATTCCAAACCTCAAAATTAAGACTAAGCTGAAGTTTGTCTTCCAACTAAATTGAAATCTAGGAGTAACATATAAAACGTTGTGACTTTTGCGGTTGTTCCCAGTATTTCCACACAAGTTACCTAATCAAATTCACTGCAAAACTACGACGATTTCCAATAATCTAGGAGAAAACCATAAATTATTTATAGATTACAGGTAAATCCTGTAGTATTCATCTTCAGATAACCCACAATACAATGGACTGGGGAAATTCCCTAAATCTCCACTGGAAAGAGACGTCTATTCTCCCCTATTCGCAAACCTAACACTTAGAAAAACACTTGCTTACTACCAATGCAACTTCAAAGATGATTAGTTCTTCATGTATTTTTAATGGAAATTCAAAAGGAAAACAATCTCCAGAACAAGTGGTCTTGTCCTTTACAACGATAGATGAGCTCCTAAAGTATGGATTCAGTTTACTGATATGGTTCGACAGATCACTTAAGGTCCTTTAAACATGTGGAAAGCTGATATTACAAGTATGTGACCTGTCGGCGTAAAAATAGGCTTAGTGATCCAGAGGTCAAGCGTTCGTGATGAAGATCGAAGTCCTGGTTTCGAATCCCACGTGCGCGACCGTGGATGCCCACTTATGAGGAGTTCCATACAAGGACGAAACGGCCGTTCAGTGTTTCCAGGTTTTCAATGGTGGCTTAACAATGGCCGATTCATGATTTTATTCAAAGTAAAAATAGATGTTAGCGGAACTTACTCGTTAACAACACCGCGAGAAATATATGAAAGTCAGTCATAACGTAGGACCAGGCATATACATGCATCGGTCCAAGTTGCCATACCTCATTAGCACAACAAGATGAACACCGGATTCATAGAAATAGTTAATTTAGTGGTGGTAATATATATAAAAAAAGATTGTATATAAGAATATAGTATAGGAAGGAAGACAGATATGAAGCAATTTTAATCTCAAGGTTTAAAGGAAGATAAAGAGTGTATACACCTGCGCTATCGTCATCGATTCTGAGCCATCTCACTCAGAATCTCTAACCATTGGTTACGATAGTCACGCGGACCCCAATCAGGTAATCTGCATCTACCAACATGGCTCGGACTAGAAGTTAGTGACTTCAAGCTCTGATGCCACGTTTTGGTTTAGCCACCCCTAACTCTTTTCCAACCATCCCCTACACTAGTCAGCATTGCGCGTCGTGGTAATCGGTGTTCAGGCATTCGTAACATGTGGCCCAATCATCACAATTGATGAAGATTTACAACCTCATCAACTGATTCACCATCATTCCCTAATACCCTATGTCTAGCCTCACTATTACTTACACAGTGATCCCAACAGATGCTAGCAATACTTCTAAGGCATCTGTGGTCAAATACTAGTAACTTACGAGTATCTTCTACTCCTATTGGCCACGTTTCATAGCCGTCAAATAGAACAGAGCAAACTGCTGCGCAGTATACTCGTCACTTAATTGATAGACGGATATCTCGTCTTCGCCATATGTGACGTAAGTTAGCAAAAGCCAAACGAGCCTTTTGAATCCGTGTTGAGATTTCGTCAGACACCAACCCATTAGGGCTGATCAGACTTCTAAGATAAGTGAATTGGTTGACGCGTTCGACTACTTCACGCTATCCTTTGTTCATGTGTTGACTAAGGCCAGTCCAGGAGTAACAACTTGCATTTAGAGGGGGAGAAACGCATTCCAAATATCCTGGCATTATTACTCAGTTCTAACAGAAGACTCTGCATTTTGTCAGCGTCTTCACCAAACAGGACTATGTCATCTACGTATTCTAAGTCAACAATTGGACCCCCTGGTAGGAGATCAATGCCCTGGAAAATTCAGTCGACGAAAGTGTTATTTCCAGCAATATGTCCATAATAAAGTTAAACAAAAATAGGATGGATGACAGCCTTGTGGGACACCACTTGAGGTTGTAAAAACAGATGACACTTTGCCATAAACTCTCACTCGACTGGCAGTGTTCGAGTAAAGAACCTTCACATGGCCTATGTACTTCTGAAGTACACCTTTCAATGACAGACACTGTCACAGAACCTCTCGGTCTAGAGTCAAATGGTGCTTTTATGTCAAGAAAACATAGCATTGTCTGACGCGGGTAAGCATGTCTGTGTTCTAAAACCTGACGAATAGTGAATATGTGATCGATACAGCCACGACCAGGTCTGAAGACAAGCATGATTTTCTCGTGTTTGCAGTTCATGAGTCTTAGTTAGGCACCCGATAATTAGTGAGGCTAGTATCTTAGATACTATATTAGTTAAACTAATCCCTCTATGGTTATCACAGGATGATTTCGACTCCTTCATATATTGGGACAATCAGCTATTGTGACCAGTCGGAAAGGATTATGTCCAACTCTCAGATTTTAGCTAGAACATTATTCAACCTAATCGCTAAAATTGGACCACCATGTTTAAAGACCTCGATTATTGTGAGTAGTTTGCTATAAACAATCGATTCAAAAATTAGACACGTACATGATTTGGAAAAGACTGGAGAATATATTTATAGCACCTTCCCAAATAACTCGGCAGGAATTCAAATCAAAACGTCGATAAGAATGGGTAAGGTGACCAGAGAAAATGTTGAACCCCGACCATGCAGACTGTTTAAGGTAATCTTAGGACTAGAAAAACAACGAAATATCTTGTTAGCTAGCGCTCGGAAAAAAGATAATGCCGATATTCGAGAAAGACCCAACATGCCTCTAGAAGATAGAATAAAAAGGAAGGCGACACTAGCTGGACAAGATCTTCGCTTGATGGGTTCTTAAGTAGTCACTTATCGGAAGCGAATGTTACCAAAACCTGCATGGATAAGTCGTTGCCTTTAGAAGTTTTATCTACAAATGCTCGTAGTCTGGGAAATAAATTTCACGAACTAAAAGTATTAGTGGACCAACTGAAGGCACTTATAGTAGCTTTGACAGAAACTTGGATAGTCCACAACTTGGACGTCACTCCGTAATCATTGGAATAAAACTACCAAAGAAGGAATAGGTAGGAAATAAACATAGGAAACTGGCTGGAGTCCGTAAAGATATGACTAATAGTAAACGTCCGTTCCTTTATTTGTAAATCTCATGACAGTAGATTTTGTAAAGTCACTAGCTGTGAACTGACGTTGAAGGTTGTACATTTATACTCATTATCATCTATCGTAGCTCAATCTACTTATCTGACGACTTTATTTTGAAACACAATCAGCTATGAAGTGAAAATAATAGATGCCTGATATTAGATTTCGATGCACCTGATATTATTTGGACTGAGATGGCCACCGTAGGATCTGCAAACTTTGATAGTAGGTTTCTGATAACGGTGATGAAGCATGCTTTAATACAGCATGATTCCGAACCCACACGTTTCGGTTCAAACCAAGGATCTTGTTTGTTAGACTAGTAATCACTCATGCGACTGGGGATATTACCTACCTAAATATTCTTTTACCGTTAGCAAATAGCGATCACGCTGTTTTGGCATCCATGCTTAGAACTTTTGACATAATATACGATCAGGTTAAACCTCGCCCAAACGTATGGAGCAAATATATCGGCTATTCACGAGTGCGCTGCAACAACGGATCGGTAGATACTAGCTCATCAATTGAAGCATGGTCTGTATTTAAAGGTGTGTTCAATTTAGTTACGTCCCTATTTATACCATGCCTGGTACCATGTAGACCACATAACTGTCCACCATGGATAAGTGAAGAGGTCAAGAAACTTATTAGACGCGGGAAAAGACACTGGAGTATGTTTATATCTATAGGCTTAGAACAGTATACATCGAGTTACTGTAAGACTAGGTATGCTTGTAAAGCGTTGATAAGTAAAACTAGTCAGTCATATGAAAAACAACTGGATAGGAATCGTGAAAATAGTCCGAAAAGGTTACTCTCGTATATGAAGAGGCAAACTCACAGAATCGATAGGATCCTACGACTTTTGGTAGAAGACAGTCTGTTGATGTTGGCAAGAGATGATGCCGAGAAAGCTGGAACTTTATCGGAGTATTTTAGTGAAGTGTTTTCTGTCAGCAATGAGGAACGACCAATGATTGTGGTTGAGACGGCCTATCGATGAATCCTGTAGTTACCGATAAAGGTACTGCCTTAAGGATACTTTAACATCACAAACCTCATAATTCCAGTGGTCCTGATGAATTTTATTCTAGGATTACGAAAGCCCTGTTGGATTTAATTGCTGAACTTATGACCTAACTGTTTGATATGTCTCTGCGGCAATCCGGACTGTCAAGAGACTAGAAAGACGCAATAATTAGTCCGATGTATGAGGCGGAGAGCAGAGAATTAGTAACTGTCGATCCGTTAGTCGTCAAACCAATGGAAAAGATTATTGGGATGACTATTTTAAACTATATGAAAGGACACAAGGTTTTATCTACGGAACAGCCCCCAAAAGCCCTGGTACGGCCGAGAATGGGGAGAGTCCGCTCTCCCTCTCGAAATGCTCTAACATAGCCACGCGTATATAGCCTCTGCCAGGGAAGTCCTACTCACTGCCTTCTCGCGACGGGGGTGTTGTTCACGAAAGTGAGAAAAGGAAAAGCGAGTGTCCGGTGCTTTAACCGGGTTAGTGGACACGGCGAGTCCACCTACGAAGTTGGAAAACCCTGATTCCAAACCAATGGTGCACATAGGCTCCAGTGTCCTGGGGGAACAAATGGCATATGAACCGATTGTTGGTCACCGGCTACCATGGGACTGCATCTCCTCACGATGCTCCACAGCCTTGCGGGTTAGACCTTTAGGTCAAAGGCTCCAGGTGTGGGCCACTAAGCAAACCACCTGCTTCAGTTTGGGCACCTGGGCAGTATCACAGCCCTCACGCATATCGAATGAGATTTGTGCTTCCTTGTACCAAATAAATAAATAAAAAATTCAGGGAATAACGCGACTTTAGGAAAGGCCTATCATACCTGATAAATCTGCTCATTGCAAGAGAAGATTGGGCTGCAGCGAAGGATAGAAGTTTTGTGGTAGATATAACATTTATAGATCTAAGCCAAGCCTTTAACAAGGTCTCTCACTTGATATTCAAATTAAAACGGGAAAGTTTTGGGATCTACTATGAAATCGTGAGCTGGATAAGTAACTCTCGCAATCATAAAAGACAAAAGGTACGGATAAATGGGGCTTTATCAATATGGAAACAAGTAAAATGTGGAATTCCGCACGGAACAATCCAGTCCTTTTATTTTTACTTTATGTAAATGGTCGGTCAGCTACAACGTAGGACCAGGCACATATATGCATCGGTCCAAGTTGCCATACCTCGTTAGCACAAGAGGAAATGTAAATGACTTACCGACTGCAGTAATCATCTGTTCTACTCCTTGCGGATGAAAAAAAAAGATTTGGAGACCCATACAGTATGTCAGATAGAATAATATTGCAGGGTGACCTAAATTCATTGGTGGCATGGATGGGCGGTTTGTCACTAGAAGTGAATCCCAACAAGAGTGTGGTGATGCAATTTATTTATTTATATAAACACATAAATATTGGTACAAAGGCGTACCAGATATGTATGCGCCACACACATATATATGCAATTAAGTAACGATGATGATTCATATGGCTACACAACACACGGAGTTGTTACCCTAAGTAATAAAACACGAAGATTTGGAAGTCATAATCAACAGCGACCTCAAGTAACTGTATGGCTGTTGCTGCAAAAGGCTTTGGGGTTTCATGTGATATTTGTACGTCTTTTGAGTACTTGGACAAACAAATGTTTAGAGTATGACGCCCGACTTTCGTGAGACCGTATTTGGAATATAGGATACAAGCTGCAAGCCCTTGTTTAGGTTTGAAGTGGATATGCTAGAACAAGTTCAACAACGAGGGACTAATATGTTAAAATGTGTTTCTAGCCTATCTTATGAAGATAGAGGCACCTCAACTTAATTCCGTTATCCTCCCGCAGATCACGGGGTTATCTGCAGATAATGAAATTGGCTTATCGTGTATAGACCTTGGTATTAAAGTCTTATCTTTTCCTCTCGCCTTGATATGATCATCTGAGACGACATTCTAAGTAAGTTCATAAGATAACGGAATTAACTTCAGACAAAGATAAGAGACTGGAATTTATGCCATATGATTGCCTGTCATGCTTACTTTTTAAATGCTCACATGCTCAACTGGAGTGCTTTACAAGAGAAAATATGTTGAACGACTCCGTTTTGCAGGCTGCAAGCTGTTTTATTTAATTATGCTGTTATTTGATTGCTCTTATTCGCTTTGTTAACTGGTTTACGGCACGGTAAAAAAAAAGTCAGCGAATTTTAAGGCCGCCCGCTGTTTTGTTTCAACGACCTTCAACGGTCTTATAAGGGGCGGTCATTCCGTACTTCAATCGCATAGAGACTGTTGGATGTCCTTCTGGTTGCACGAATATCAGGTTTCTAATGTGTAAATGGTCTTCTGCTGAGGCAGTTTATATAATATCCATATAAAGTTCAATGCTCAATTGCTTCAAACTACATTTGATAAACAACAAACAACACTTATGTTCATCACCACCATAATTAGGGAGGTGAGTCATATGCAAATGATTTTATAGCTCAGTTTTGCTTGAAACTCTGACTTTGCTCTATTTTTGACTTGATAAACAATGAATTTCTTTTTCATGAGTTTGCATTTTTACAAATAACCAAATTAGGCTTACTAAACATTCACCCATGTTGTGCCCATTAAACACATCAAACTACTAATAGATTGGAATAAACGCTATGTAACAAGCACAAAGATTACGTAAACTGATGTGTGACGAAAAAAATGTTGGTAGCTGATAAATAGTGATGTCCAAAATCCTCGACAACATGTAACATGTGAGCGAGAACCCACGGCATGACTTTTTGACCGTACCCTGGTTTACACATGCTGCCACTCTAATGTAGCAGACTTATTAAAATCGCAAAATAACTGATTCTTATGTTTCCGACATTTACGCCGACCTCGATAATCTTACCGGACACATGCTAGCTGAAGGCGTTCGGTCACGCATGCGCATAAGGTCACTAGTGGGTACGGCGTGCCATACATCTCTCGTAACCTCTAGACAGCTTAGACCGGCGCTGCTCAACATATAGTCAGCTTTCCAAATATATGTACGAACTCCCTCAGTTCTAACTTCTGATTTGAATGAGTAGGTATACTCCCTTAATAAAGGTGTTGTCCAACCTCGAACACCTGTGGCATTTTTAATAGCAAGTCCGACGTGAACCGGCACACCAACACAGTCAACTGTGAGTCTAATCCTTGTTGTAAATCAATCCATCATTTAAAACTTTTATTTTTGCATATAGTGATATTTTTCTATGTTCGGGATATTTTTTCGCCCTTTTGTATATCGCATCTTCATTATGACGAAATAAACACCTAAGTTGTTAAATATTAGGTCTCTTTCACCCTCTGCCTTTCGAATAAGCCGTTCTGGCACAACAGTATTGAAGCCTAGTTCTGCTATGTAAAAACTGACTTTCACGAGCACAGTGTGCACAATTACTAGCAGTAGTGAAGGCACTACCTAGCACATGAAAATCTTGGAAAGTATCCGGTCACTGAACTGACCACTGGTATCTCCATTGTACATGATCTCTAAAATGGACAGAGACAACCTAACAGCTCCCTTATAAGGTGCAACTGTTTCCTCGAAAATCAGTCTGGTTAATGTATATGACCCAATTCACATGGCTGCAGAAGATATTCCTAAAATTTCTATCCTTACCTTCTTCAGAATTTTACCTTTACGAATTTTCGCGCATTCTTTTGAATTTAAGAAAAGCTTCACAAACTTTCAAAAAATTTGTGAATGACTCAATAAGTGGTCTCAACTTCGTGCACGCGAATGCAGAAGACTACTTGATCGCAAGTCAAGTCGAAGAACCTCATTTTCAGCACCTGAACCTTAATTTTGAACGACTGAAAAAGCACCGTTTTACTGTAAACATTCAGAAGTGTTAAATCGGAGCCGACTCTCTGAACCTTCTCAGACACAGTATTGACTCTCAACGTGGTCGGAAAGTGGCGGCCATTCTGGATTACCCAGAACCGACTACGGTCAAGCGGCTACATACTTTCAGCGACATGGTTTATTTCTAATTACACGTCTTTCTTGAGACCCCGTAACCAACTAACTTCATGGAAATGGGTAACTCATCAAGTAGACTATATTTCACAGTCTCCTTCACATATACAACATAGTCCTAAAGCAAACAATGTAGTTGCGCTTTAATTGTTTCTTATAATTTCCTTGAACAGTTTTCAAGGAATCGACCTTCTTAGACTCGCTAAGCTTCAGCACGAAATATCTTCGATAATCCCGAAACCACGGACCAAGAAAATGGGAACAGATACAGAAGCTTTACTATGCGACAAAACTACAGGTAGGGGTCGTCCAATAGTGCCGTAACGACTCCAATACATTGCACAAGCCTTCTAATCCAGGTGTCCGTACAATCACCAAGCTTATAGCAGAACGATTTTGCTGACCTAGTATAAATAAAGAAATGAGGGATAGCGGCACGCTCCCATGTGAACTGTTGAAATCATAAGGTGATTAGACAAAATAAACGTCCTTAAAGCTCTTTCTCAACTTCGACTATGTTTATTTGGATTTGGTAGGACACTTACCATATTCAAATGGATACTCTTATATTTTAACTTATGCAGACGGTTAACACGATGTTCAGAAGCAGTACGCATCAAGGACACTACTTCTAAAACAGTGACCCGCACCTTAGTCAAATGGTGAACGACAAAATTAGTCTGTCCTTTATCTATCATCATTGATCGTGGACGCCTGAAATTTTCCATCGCCTGACATCATTTATTAGGAATCACACGATCTTCAGAACGACAGCCTACCACACACAAGCAAATGGGTTGGTAGGACGATTTCATTGGCAACTACACTTCTACTCTCAGCTGCAAACATTTCACAGTAGACTGACTCTACTCCACACGTTTTACTCGGTATTAACAAAGCAGTGAAAGCTGGATACACTTCAACATAACTCCTTTACGGAACGACGCTCCTACTACCAGACGTTTTTGTGAATCCTTCATCTTCTTCAGTGATCATGGAAATAAACTCTTACGCGAGTGAGCTTACAAACGCCATGAGTCTAATTAAACACGGTTACACTCAATCGCAGACAACTGATGTTTTTGTACACTCTGTTTTTCGACAAAGTACGTCGCCACTCATTACGATGACCTCTCGGAATGGAATACAAACGACTCTTCGAAATCCTTCATCGCAAACCTAAAGCCTAGCATTTAGGAGGAAACCTAAATAATTTTTTGTTGCTCCTATACAATCAACTGGTAAGAGCCTCACAATTATGATGTCTCCCTTAATAACCAACTATCGTGAAGAACATCGTTTGACTTCATCTCTCACGACGACGGCACACCATGAGTACTAAATTGTCACTCACTGAGGCTAGAGAAACAAACATCAAAACTTATGGAGAGCAGTCTTTCATTTTAAACCTTAGATTCCGAAGAACATTCACGTGAGTTTTTATGGTTGCCCAAGTCAAACAATCTATTCTCGGGGCGGATTTTCTTAGCGCCTACGACCTTTTAGTGGATATGAATAAAAAGAAGCTGATCGACAAGCATACGCTTTTACAGGTGAATGGTACAATTAATACTAACTACGAACCTCACATTGTCCAATTAATAAAACTTGTGAATAAAATTTCCACCGGCATCTTTTCGAAGTACGAGTGCATCACAAAAGTTGATTATCAAAACAAATGCACCTTATATCATATACAACACCATATAACTACTACTGGTAACTACCTCCATCCAAAATACATACTGCTAAAAGAGAATTCGAACACAGAATTCGTACACACTAGGTACCATCAGACAATCTAGTAACCCATTGGCTCCGCCTTTACATATGATTCCCAAGAAAGATCACGACTGTAGCGCATGCAGAGCTTGTTGATATGTAAATAATCAAACGACTACAGATAAATATCCAATCCCATATCCCCATTACTTTTCTCCAAACCTACACGGAAAGCAGATCTTTTCGAAGCTCGAACTTGTAAGAGCATATCATCAAAATTCCGATGGCACTAGAAGATATTGGAAAAAAAGCCATAATCACACCTCTTGGTTTGTTTAGATTCTTAAGAATGCTTTTCAGACTAAAAAATGCCGCTCAGTCTTTTCAGACGAAGTTATCAGAGGTTCAGACTTCGTGTTCGTTTATGTTGATGATGTTTCAATTACCAGCTCAATCATTTTAGAGCACGAACAAAATTTACAGATCCTCTTCGACCGCTTCAAAAAGCATGACGTCGTGATCAGCCCTTCTAAATGCATATTCGGCGTCCCAGCTTCAGAGTTTCTGGGATATCACATCGACTCTCAGGGAATCAAACCTTTGCCAGAAAAAGTGAAAGCCATCACCAACTACTCTGAGCTGAATTTGGTAAAATCATTACGTCGATTCCTCGCGATGTGCAATTTTTATCGACACTTTCTACCTAATTGTGCAGATACATCACAACCCTTGACAGATTTACTGAGGCTGGATAAGAAGGAAGCAAAGCCGAAAAAGACGACATCTTCACATTACTTCCTGATTCCAAACAGGCATTCATGAAAGCAAAATCTGCGATATCCAACGCTACTATTCTACAGCACCTAACTACTCACCCCAAGACTCATCATAATCTCTGCACTGATGCATCTTAGAAAGCTGTAGGGGCAGTATTGCAACAGAATGTAAACGACAAGATTACACCTATAACGTTCTTCTCTAAACGACTATCGCCAACCCAAGAACGTTATAGCGAATTCGGACGCGAGCTGCTAGCTATGTATTTAGCACTAAAGCATTTGAACTTTCTATTACACGAGCGCGGTTTTACTATAATGACTGATCATAAACCTTTGTGCTACTCTCTCAACGCGTCGTATGACAGATACTCACCACGCTAAGCAAGACAACTGGACTACATTTCGCAATTCACCACAGATATCTAGTTCATCAAATGACATTCCAACACCGTCTCAGACGCTTTACCCAGAAAGAAAATCAAGAAGCTGGTACACAAACACGACAGTAGTCTCGAAAGTATCGCGAAACTACAAGTAGAGGATGCAGACCTGAAAGTAAAAGTCAAACTTCATTCTTAAGCCTGTACCTATTCCTTTCTCAGACTGACCCATTATTCGCGACACTTCCACTGGCAATAACCGCGCCTTTATACTAAAAGACAGATTTCTCAACAATCACACGGACTTTCACACCCAAGAATTTGAGCCATCACGAAATTCATCAAGGGACTTTTCGTGTGGCTAAAATCAACTCTGATGTAAGAAGGTGGACACGAAGCTGCATACAATGTAAACGCAGTAAAATTCAAGGACACACGATTAGTCCTCTTGGAAAGTTTCCATTGCCTGATAAAGGATTTTAACATATTTATTTAAAATAAATTTGGTCCCCTACCACCGTCGAAATCTTTCACGCATATTCTTACCACGGTGGACAGATTTACAAGGTGGACGACAACATGCCCTATTAGAGATACATCAGCAGAGACTGTAGCAGCCGTATTCATTGATCAATGGATATCAAACTATCGAGTAACCTCAATCGTTACTACAGACCGTGGAACCTAGTTTTAATTCGTACTATTCCAGGAATTTACCAAACATCAAGGTGCAAACTACATCAAAACAGCAGCTTATCATCCACTAGCTACTGGTCTGGTCAAAAGATTTCACCGCCTATTGAAAAGCTCTCTGATGACACAAGCTGATACGTCGAAGTGACGCACTATCACCCGTACTCCTTGGAATTCATTCAAGAATCAATGAAGATATAGGCTTCACATCCTTCAAACTAGTTTACGGTACAACTCTGATATCACCAGGTCAACTAGTAGGCCCAGACACAACGATATCAAGTGGTCCAGATCGTTTAATGAGTCGTCTACAGCAAACAATACAAAATATTAAAAACCAATACCACCGCACGAACATAATAATCGCGCACAAAGTGACAAACGCCTGGAAACATGTGAATTTGTCTTTGTCTATGCAAAAACTTCATCATCTATATATGCGGAAAGAAGGAAACTACTCTAAAAATAGAATAAAACCAGCCTTCTGTGAAGTTCAACAAGACAAAGAGGATAGCAATACAGATAAACAACCCTCTCACTAACCACTACAAGATTAGAGGAGAATGGAAAACCGAGCATCAAGCCTAATTGATTGACGCGTTCAGGAAGAACCGTAAAGAAACCTAAGCGTGTAGTGAACAGAACACTAGTTGGGGACAATCGAATGTATTTAAGCAAAGATTACAGACTATCTCAGTAAATTCTGAAAACCATACAATGTACAGTCAATTTGCAAATTAACAACCAATTGTTTCAATCTTCACTGTTTCTTCTCTTAATCCATTGCTCATGCATTTTTCAGACGATTGCGCTTCATTTCAGTTCTTTCCTCATCGGTCTTCTGCCAAAATACATTCTATGTCTGACACACCATATACTACTTATATAGATATAAGTAGACCACACCACAAGCGTTGTGTCCATTTTTCTGAGTAATTAATCAAAACAAACAATCAGTGATATATATTACACTGCTCAATTCACTAAATTTTCCAATAACAATTATTTTTTTTACACAACCTGTATGTAATTACATTTTCACACAATTACTTCCTTTGCCACATACTTTTTAAACGAGTAAATTCTAGATAATTATTTATTAATTTTACATAAAAATAAGCAGTCCAGTCTTTATTTTATGAATTTACCAACAGTTCTGTACTTTATTATCACTAGCAAACTAAGACACTGATTGACCGTATTTTCATTCTTTTTGTTGTGCTGTGCTACATCCATGTCACTCTGTACACTAACACATTGTATATTACTAGTGTGCGTCATATCCCGTAAGTTACATGCACCTTTTGAAAAACGTTTTCCTTTGTAACATGTTATCACAAACTCATTTTTACTTTCTTTCGTTATTACTGCACTTATTATTTTGCATTCTTTTGTTACAACTCAGTGTTACCTCGGGACACTCTGGAGGAGCTATGTAGATACAGGTAGGGCGGACTTACTTTGTACATAGTATTTGATATTATTTGCATTTATTTTGTTAATTTTTACAGTCGTTTAAGTGTATGACCCTGAAAATACTTTCTTCCGCTTTGTAACACTCATAGCATGACAGACGTTGTTTTGTAGTGCCGCGATTCGTTAATCGTTTACTTCGATAACCGTTATAATTCTAATCTTAACGGTGCGTAAAATCAGAAGACAAAGGATAGCAGCAACTACAGTTTATTGTCGAATAACTCAGGTTAGAAAGCTAACAACACGTGAGCGAATATGAACGAGCGAGTGAACAGGCGAATAAGCGAACGAGGAGCAAGCGAGCGAATCAAAGATGATGCATAGTGGAGATGGCTGGGAAGCCAACTGGAGAGCGAAGCGAAAACAATGCGTATTGGAGATGGCGGAGAAGCCAAATCCTATGAGCAAGCGTTACTCAACATTTATAGTCAAAAATGAATGACAGACATATGATGAATAGGATACGAGAGGTACACATATACGCTCATATAAAAATATAGTCAAAGTTAATAAGCGAATAATTAACAAGATCAAAATATGACTCATAATGGATGGGTGAATTAGCTTGGCCAGTAGCTAGAATAAAGTATATGGGCTTAACATATAAACCGATACTACAGTTTTCTGCTCGTAAATACACTACTATACACACGTTTCTTGTTTTCCGTTGATTGTGGTTATAATAACTGAACTATGAAATATCTATCATCTACATTTATAGACTGCAGTCACATTTCCATTATATTCCACGTCTGGTAATATGACTGGAACTATAGCAACGTCATTGGAACTATTAATTATCTATAATTGTGAATTGTGGTACCGAACGCAATTCGAACACGCACAAGCCTGACGATTTAAGTAACACCCCTTAACTTTTATTTGTGTTTATATCTTGTAATTGATATATTATAACATAAACATTTGGACGTAACAACTCTATTTTTTTGGTCCACCACAAAGTTACCATTTTAAATAAAAATGTGTATTGTTGAATTTGATGACTGCGCTTACCAAGTCTTTTATGAATGTATCATTCAAACAGTTCATGAATAAATCACCAGCTGACTCATACTAAATTTTTGTAAGCATAAAATGTAAACACGAATTTTTGGCATTTCAGTATTCACTAACCTTCACGCAGACGACTGAGCATCCTATTACCCTAAGAAAATATATTGTCTTTCTAGACGAGGTTAGAGTAACCTAAGTACACCAAACTGTACTATATTTCCCAACCTATTTAAATGCAATGACGATGAATGTTAATTATCAGTAATGGTATTTAAAACTCAGTGTTTTGATAAAAACTTACCTGTTAAGGTTTTACGTCATAAAATAATTAATGATCTTGATTCATCATAAAATAATAAAATAGTTAAATATGAAGCAATAGTAACGTTAAATTAAGTCATTACATTTAAATATATTTATTTAAGAAAAATCAAAATAATAATGACAATTGGTATAAAGGCATATATCTATGACAGAAATGAAGCGGATAAAACTACATAAAATTATTTTAAAATAAAAGAATCAAGTTAAAACATATCTTATACGACAAAGATTTAAGTTCTCTTTTGTTGCATTTAAAAATTTGTACGGTATACCTGAAACAAAAAATATAATTGATCAGAGAATGAAAATTAACAAAATTGATAAAAAAAATTTTTAGCTTTTGAAAACTACATAATTAAAGTCCAAAAATAATCTTATCAAATTGTATATAGGATAACTTTGAATAGACTAGTAAATAGACATTTACGTAGACAAGAAGTGTGGAAAACAAATGGATAACCTATTATTTCAGTATAGTTGTGAATTAATACAACTTAAGTCATTCTCATAATGTGTACTTCATTATTTGATGAGTTTTCATTATGATCAAGTTATGTATACCTTATCAGTGGAATGTAATGTATAACGAATGTATAGTTATTTTTAATTTAAGGAAATTATTAAATAAGCAAGGAGAAATGATTCATCTTAAAGTAATTAATACATTTTAACCATGATCTATAATATAAAATTAAACAGAATAATATTCAAAATTGCCAACAAAATTATTCAAAACTCATATTTAAAAGATACGAAAATAGCAGAATAATACATGATAATTTTTATGATCAGAACTTACCCTTTGGAATATATACAATACAAGGTTTTGTTAAAGGAATTGCAAATTTCGCAATCTGTACAGCATAAACACTGCAAGAACTATTATTATTCATAAGAACAGGAGGACTTGACATCATTTTGAATACATTTATAGCATTTGGATCATAATGAAGTTGACGTCTTTCTTGTTCTTTACTTACAATCCTAGTGAGATTTGCATCCACTTCAAAACAAGGTATACGAGTTTTAGTTCTACTTGGAAAAGCACCAGATAAAGCTGGAACCACGTAACTCGAGTATTCCATGGTAGAAAATTTGAATGGCGAAAATTGTGCATTTTCTGGATATATCACCTCTATAATTAGGGATAAAATTATTACTCAATACCACTTGCTGCTTACATCAGATTTAAAACAGTTATTACGAAAATGAACAGATATTTTGTTTTGAGAATGAAAATCAGAGAGAAGTGAGATAGCCCATTACCATACATTAAGATGACATTCAGGTAACCGAAGCTAGGTGTGCTCAACAGGCTAAGCAGATATACCGAACTACATGTAAATAATAAATTATTAATTTCATAATGATCGCTGAATGCTGATACTCACTATAGTAAGAATATGAGGCGATATCTTCATGTAATTCACCATAATATCTTCAAGACAGTTCTCCAAACATCAAAATAAGTAGGGATAATTCAATGCATCTTAATTACTGGTTTCACAACTTAAGAAAATATAGTAAATTCGAAGACTAAATAATTCACCGATTAGTTCAAGAATGACGAAATATTCAAATACAGATAATATCAGTTTTAGTTATGTTTCTATTCAGTTTATTTTTCTCTAAACAACTCTGTCCATTTAATATTCTTCCTATGTACTCTTTTGTCGCTCACCTTGTGAATCAGATCTATGTTTATTTTTATCTCTATCTGTGATTTACACGCTTTTCGTCTCATAGACGGATTGACATGCTCTGTACTCACTGATTTTAGATAAATATCCATATCTTCACATGCACACCTGAAATATACGTATCTTCAGTACAATTTGCATTTGACTTTTATTGTTTACGTTGTGTTAAGTTGATTAGTTAACGAAATGTATATGAAACTGAATATAAGATATACATTTCATTAGTATTACGCAATTACCTCCGTCACTTTAATGAAGTCCGTTCGGTGCTTATTCCTTTATGATCTATATTTCATAGCTTCAAAATAGTGCTTTTCGTATGAAACCTTATTACAAAGTACCTTCCTCTTTGATACTATCAAATACACTATCCTTTGATTAACTTGTTAGTGCCTGAATGATGCACTTTTCCACCTCCCTTTTGCTAATATAATAGAAAATACGCTTAAATGGTATTTCTATTTATCCAAGTGGTCTTTGGCGAATATAGCCAAATCCTCCAGCTAAGTTTAAGGTAAAAAAAAAACAAAGAAGGAATTTGTCTGCACTAATTGATGTGTAGGCGAGGAAAGTAAGGATTGGTTATTTGTTTAGTTCAACTAGTAGATAGTCTGACAGGTATTCGATGAATTACATATTTTTCTACCGTTATTATTATTGTGATTGTTGTCGGTTTTTGGTGTGGGGATATAAATACGTTCCAGTCAGGCTAGTCAGATGTTCTTGATCTGAGGTATGTTGAAGTCCAGTAGAATAGACACTGGAAGGGTACCTAGTATAGATATTTGTCTAAGGTAAATTATCATCCCATTAGTGTAGACGGAAAAACCGAGCGTTATAACATTCATTAATTAATGTGGTTGAGTATCCGTCCTTACCATTGTTAATTACTTTTTTAAAAGTAGGTCATTATTATAATTAAACGAAGCATATTTAAAATAATCTCAGTCAATCGAATTTTAATCAAAATCTGATTGGATACGAAAAAAATAAGACTAAAACATATTATTCAATACTTAGTCTATTATTTGACATACGTTGAAAAGGAGATGCATTATTGGTCCCGATAGGTAGCTGTGTTTCTGTGTGTGATGTCCATTCAACATCTGGATCCAATTGAATTCGCATACATGGATCGGTTTCACATTTTTGTGCACCTTTTTAAAGAAAAACAGAAGTAGTAGCATAGCTGTTAATATATTTTGGGTTAAAATATTTAAAGTTATGAGCACCTAAAACTTTATGGTAAAAGCCACCCAAAAAACCAGGAAGATTCGGTAATTAAAAATGTTTTAAAGACATAGGTTGTTTTCGGAAATCCAAATTAGTGAGAATATTGATGTTACTGTCAACTAACTATCATGCTTAGCATCCTAGCTACCACCAAAGACTAGCTACACTTTACCTGACATGCTAGTAGCCAGTGACTGTGAGAAAAAATACAACCATAAGTTCAAAACGAACAGAAACTTCAGGGTCCCTCAATGCGTACAAAGTATAATAAAATATTTTATAGTTAAGATCATGAGTCAATTGAAGCGAGACCACCGTGAAAAACCTGGAAGCACTGGACGGCCGCTGCGTCCTATTATGGGACTCCTCAGCAGTGCGCATCCACGACCTCGCACTCGCGAGATTCGAACCCAGGACCTACCAGTCTCGAGCCAGAGCCCTTAACCGATAGACCACTGAGCTGCTATCTAACTGTGTTAATGTCTAACATATGATCATATGCTCACTAATGACTGGCTCCGTGAGGTAATTCCTGTAGTTCTAGTCAGGTAGAGACAGGTATCTACCTCAGTACATTGGAAGTTGGTCGCGCAATTTCGTGGATTGATTGAAGTTAGACATTAACACCGTTGGATAGCAGCTCAGTGGTCTATCGGTTAAGGGCTCTGGCTCGAGACTGGTAGGTCCTGGGTTCGAATCTCGCGAGTGCGAGGTCGTGGATGCGCACTGCTGAGGAGTCCCATAATAGGACGCAACGGCCGTCCAGTGCTTCCAGGTTTTCGATGGTGGTCTCGCTTCAATTGACTCATGATCTTAACTATAAAATTACTAAATCTCCACAAAAACCCCCTTGTTATAATAAAACATGGTTACCTAATAATGTGTACTTCATAAAGAAAGCGATATTTCAGAATAAATTTACTGAATAGATCTTTGATTTAGTACATATATAATAAATAAGGCAACATATAAACTGTGAGGAATTTAGAATACAGGCAATATGAAAATAGTTGAAAGTGGAAATAACTGAAAATATTTTTAAAAAAGTAACATGACATAGAAAATACAACAACAGATAAGTCAGTAACCTAAATATAATTGTTTTTGGCTCTTACAGTCGCTTACCTTTCAATGATCTGTAACGTTTGGCCAATTTTTGAAGCCGTTTTGCTCGATTAATTCTTTCATTCTTTAAAAACTGAGTTCGGTTGTTTTGACAATGTTTTAAACGATTGAGAAATTTTTGACGCCTCTTCATCTCATCTGGGTCAGGTAATATAGCTAGTCCAATTGGTTTTTGATAAACTAAACCGTATTCATCTTTATCAGGTTCATAAACAACCACTTTATTTCTATCATGAGTAGCTGGTACACGTAGTCGTTTACTACGTCGTAATTGGCCATCACTTTGTATAAAGCTTTTAGTAGGAGGTCGTTTTGACTCTTGTAAAAAACAAAATTAACAAACAGGTTAGTGTCAACTAAAGAAAAAACAAACATCAGGAAATAGTATTTAGAAAAAGTTTGAAATAAAAATATTTCTATTCGTGAACTGATAATTACTATACTACTGTCGAAAACCGAGAAGCACTAAACAGCTGTTTCACCCCGTATGGGACCCTCGGAAGCGAGCATCTACAACCCCACCAGGGTCGATTTCAGGGTCATTAGTGTTGTGCGCAAACACGACACCTAGACCGCTAACTAAAACAATACATGTACACCAATGGATCTCAACTCAGTGGTATAGAGTTTAAGCGTTCGACCGTAAAACCAAAAGTCTAAGACTCGATACGGATAATATTATGGATGTGCATTGCGCTGAGAAGTCTCATACTGAGACGAAACGGCTGTTTAGTGCTCCCTGGTTTTCGGTGGTGGTATCGCTAAAATCATTTTGTGATTTAAATAATGAAAACTTCAGTTTCTACAACCCTTAGTTTGCTAGTACACAAATTGATAGTCTTTTATGTGGTAAAAATATAAGAAAATCTGGAGCTAAAGATTATTCATGTTAACAAGTATAATTAGGAAATTCCAAATAATATGTCAAAACAACTCGGCCTAAAGCCCTTTAAAGGTTACTGCCAGTTCCAAGACTGAATACAACAGGACGGTTGAGCATGAGGTCAGCAACCCCATCCGAAAGAAAATAACCTTGTTAATGAAAATGCTAACCAGAGAAAATCACTTAAAGTCTATCCTGAGAGTTGAAGGACCTTCATATATTATTTATTTAAACACATACATATTGGTACAAAAGGGCACCAGATAAATATGCGCCACACAAAATAATGAGAATGGGAGGAGAAAGGGGGGAAGATGCGTATACATAAGGAAGAAAACAGGATGAAAAAAAGAGAAGAGTAGTGATGGGGGAACTGTAATGTACAAGCAGAAGGACTCTCTCAGTTAACAAAGTTATAATCACTATTTATGAAGAAAGTAAAGGAGGGTTACAGCAGGCACGCCACTGGCTTTTATTCTGAGCCATATCCGATAACGTCTCTAGCCACTGTGTTGCACCATCTCTCGGACCCCAGCCAGGGAGTCGTGAAGGACCAACAGAAGCTAGCCCTTTGCAGCTTTCTTTCATACCACGACACCATGTCATACACTGACCTCCTTTCCGCTTTTTCCAACCAGTCACAGGGTCGGTAAATAATGCACGACGTGGAAGTCTCTGGGACGACATTCGTAGAACATGTCCAAGCCACCGAAGTCGGTGTTTCAAGATGGTGACACCAATTGAATTATCGTCTCTGCGCCCGAACACACAATGGCGAACCTCTGCATTACTAACATGGTGTTGCCACTGAATGTCAGCAATCCTGCGGAGACAACGATGATCGAACACAGAGTCGTCTAACATCCTCAACTCAGAGAGAACAGGTTTCAAAAGTAGAGAAAAACTGCTCTCACCGACGCGTTGTAGATCCGACCTTTTATAGCCAGACTAACATCACGAAAACGCCAAAGGTGGCCCAGATTGGCATAATCCGCTCTGTCTTTCATTATACGTGCACTTTCATATGGAAGAATTATGACGCCTCATGGTGAAAACCAAGATTCTTCGGAGATCACGAGGCTGATGTCCCTTCTAACAACTGGAGCAACAATCAACATAGGTACATGGAATATCCGGACAAGGTGGAAGACGAAAATGAGGAAATAAAACTCGGAGGTTCTCGGAATAGGTGAAGTCCATTGGAAACAATCTGGACAGAAAAGATTAGATTTGGAGGAGGTGCTGTTGTACTCTAGTTATGGAAAGGGAAATGCTTCACACACAAAGATTTGCACTGATGTTGTACAAAGAAGCTCGAAGACCACCCATGGGATGGGACCAGTTAAGAACATAAAAGGCAAACCAATCACTAGGATCCAGGAACAGTGGAATAGGTGGGTGAAACATTTTGAGGATCTCTTGAACAGAGAGTCACATTGAACTCATCGGACATCGAAGCAGTACCCACAGTCCTTCCCATAGATGTTACCCTACCAACAACCGGAGAAATCAAAATAACAATCAGATGAATCACGAGTGGGAAAGCAGCAGGACCGCACAATATAACAGCTGAGGCACTGAAGTCAAACATAGAAGTAACTGCATTCCCGTTCTTTTAGAAATAGTTTGGAAGAAAGAACAAGTTCTGATAAGCTGCAATGAAGGGCACTTCATCCAGATAACAAAGAAAGGAGATCTCAGAAAATACGAGAACTACAGAGGCATCACACTGCTACCATTACCAGGAGGAGTTTTCAACAAAGCGTTGTCAAATCGAATAAAAGATTCAGTAAACGCCCAACTTTGAGATCAACGGGCTGGATTCTGTAAGAATCGCGACACTACGGATAATTGTTTAACAACCAACCAAATAGAACTAATCACTAAACATCAACTTCTTTGACCATGAGAAGGCATTTAACAGAGTGGATAAAAGAACAGGACGGATCTGATGTATATGTTAAGGTATGGGTAGGCAAAAAAAGATGGGCATTCTTACAACTGAAGAACACCTCGAACTCGAAGCAATTGTCAGCCAACATCAAATTCAGAATCTTCAAAAGAAACGTCATGACAGCTCTCTTGTACAGAGCTGAAACTTGAAGAACTACTACAACCATCACCATATATATATATATATATATATATATATATATATATATATATATATAGCCGTCTCAGAAATGTACTCTAGATGCGTGAAACAGACACTATTAGCAACAACCTACTGTAGCAGAGAGAAATCCAACTTCCAGCTGATGAAGAGGAAATCCGGAAAACACACTGGGCATTATAGAGTTCATCACACTGCATTACGAGGCAGGCCCTAACTCTGAATCCTGAGGAAAAAAAGGGAAAGAGGACGACCAAAGCACAGATTGTGTTGGGAATCGGAAACAGACATCAAGAGAATGAACAGCAATTGTAAACAACTGGAAAGAAAATCCCAGAATGGAGTTGGTTGGGGAATTCTGGTAGGCGGTCAATGCCCCTCCGCGAGGAGTGCCAATCGTAAGTAAGTATGCCAAGATATTGAACGTATATGTATAATAATGAAGTAATATTCCGTCTTGTCACGACGAAATGTTGGAATTTCATGTGAAAGTTCTAAGTGTACAAGGATTTGGTAGTATGAAGTTGCATGATAAGGTTATTTCTAAGAGGTGGATTCCAACTAATTACCAGTAGGAGAAAACCATACCAATAAAACCTTCAGTCACTTGTTGACAGTTGGAACTTTAACTAATTCTAAGTGATCTTGAAAATACCTTTCCTAAATATGCTAACTATGATTAATTTAACCTAAACTAAGACAAGTGATTATGTACTTTGAAAGCTAGAAGTCGATGTGAATAAATTATGGTAACCTATAAAAAAAAACTTTCCAGCAATAAAATATAGAATGTAATAGAATTTATAACTAAAACTAATGATTATATATTCGGGTCACAAATGAATTAATTTAATTTTTTCTTCGAAAAGCGGTGAGCCTTATCGTAAAGATGAAATGAAGAAATATAGGAAAAATAACTAATCGACTGACTGAATGGTAAAAACTGGCAATCGTGTGGAGTACACCATGGAAGTTTAATTCTTGATAACGATAACGAGGAAGTCGATGGAGATGGATACTTTGAGTCTTGAACGCTAGATAATGCAGTTGACTCAAAAAAGGATCCAATATTCTCTTTATTTTCACTCTGAGTCTATAGTTGAAATACAAATGAAAAAAAATATATGAACAATAAATGATGATACTTCGTCAGTAAGACGAAATAAAGAGATGAAACACAAAAAATCGAACAACATACAAGAATTGTAAAGTCAGTCAGTCAGCTACAAAGTAGGACCAGGCACACATATGCATCGGTCCAAGTTATCCTACCTCGTTAGTACAACAAGATGAACACCGGATTCATAGAAATAGTTAATTTAGTGGTGGTAGTATATAAAAGATAGTTTGCTTATAAGGATATAGTATAGGAAGGAAGACAGATATGAAGCAATTTTAATCTCAAGGTTTAAGGGAAGATAAAGTGTATACACCTGCGCTATCGTCATCGATTCTGAGCCATCTCACTCAGAATCTCCAACCATTGGTTACGATAGTCACGCGGACCCCAACCAGGTAGTCTGCATCTACCAACATGGCTCAGACTAGAAGTTAGTGACTTTGTGGACTGATGCCACTTGTTTTTTTGGCGACCCCTAACTTTCTTCCAACCATCGTTAATACTAGTGAGCATAGCGCGTCGTGGTAATCGGTGTTCAGGCATACGTAACACGTGGCCTAACCATCTCAGTTGATGAAGATTTACCTCATCAACTGATTTACCATCATTCCCTAATACCCTGTGTCTAACCTCACTATTACTTACCCGGTGATCCGAGAAGATCCGAGCAGTATTTTTAAGGCATCTGTGGTCAAATACTAGTAACCTACAAGTATCTTCTACTCTTAATGGCCATGTTTCACGGCCGTAAAGCAAAACAGAGCGAACTGCTGCGCAGTATACTCGTCCCTTGATTGATAGACGGATATCTCGTCTTCGCCATAAGAATTGTAAATGGCTGATTCCATTGGGTCCAAGTTATTGATACTACATCATTCTTAATATAAGCTAGAAAAATTTAATTAGTGATTCATTTGGTCAATGTTTGATGATTATGTATACAAAAAACCGAACGAATCCAACATACTAAACATCAAATTCATCAAAAATGTACAAACTGATTATAATACGCAATGATCTGTCGTTACTATTGTTAAAACGTGAACAACAGAAATAGTCTTATAAAGAATGTCCAACGAAACCACTAACTAGTAAGGATATTCTCCTGTAGGATTGATCATAGTGAATGAAACTGATTCAACTACATGAACTACACCTTGTATCCATAAACTATCAATCCGAAGAATATCAAACATATCCGATTTGGTGACCAGTAAGTTATTTGTTGAATTCGACTTTTAAAAAAAACACAGATTGTCAAGACTAGGTCTTTTTAATAAAGTATGATCTAATCGTAGTTTTCAGTGAAATTCAATAACTTTAACTGGATAAATTCAACGAGCAATTTAAACTATTTCTGATAATTTAATTTTTTAAGAACTACATTTATCACGGAAACCATAAAGATTTTTTTAAAACTCAACAAAAAATTCATTAAGCCAGAAATATTTCATTGACAAAGATAATAAAATTAAGGAAGTATACGGCTTACCAAGGAACCCTCTTGATGAGATAGCTTTTCCGACAGTTCGCACTCAAAATGAGTAAGATCACTCTCATCATGAGCAATCGGACCAACAGATACTCTGGGTTTAGAATTATCTGAACTATCAAAGTATACTGTGAAAAAAATAAAATACAAGATAGAGGGTGCCAGATTTTCATTTGTAACTACGCAAATTAAAGTCGAGTGTTTTTATAACAACCGAAGAAGTCTTTTAAAGTAGGATTTAGCACAATTTAATTATTTCTAAGATTGAAATTCAAGAACTGAACTTCTTCACAAAGTTTTTCATTCAATAAATAAGTGAACTGACGTTAAAAACACTTTACTTTTCAAAATTTAGTGGTAATATATTTTTCCCGTTTACGTTTACATTGCTAATAAATCTTTTGGAATTTATCCAGACGTTTTTTGTCTCACATATTTGAAAAATTTAGTACAAAGACAAGAGTTTCCATGTTCAGCTTATCAGCAATCATTAAAATTCTGAAACGGCGAACAAAAAGCAAGAGAGATCACACGCGTCCAATGTTTTTACGAACACAGAAAGTCGGTATTTGTCCTTGTGGTCATCGCTACTATTGGTTTAAAAAGAGCTTTTTTGTCTACCTTGTTATCTTTATAAATTTTCTGTAATGTTTTATGAGCTTCCTCAGATTTGTTGTCAATTTTCACTAAAGTCTTAGTGGTCTAGTTCGTGCATTTATTTAAACATATGAAAAAGTGGCAATCCTTCAGTATAATTTAGTATTCATTAGAACAGTTATTCGTTGAATGTAATGTGTTAAAATTAACGATTCTCCCAGGCAAGAAAAAGAATGCTAAACGAAATTTTAAAACTTAATAGCTATTAGTCAAATGGCGAAGGTCAGTTTTCATAAAATATTTGTCTCTACAACATCCCATTGCTAAATGAAGGAAAAGAGGCGAATATTGTAAACTTATGTTTCTTTCCGGTAGTTGCTGTGGTCGAGCGAGTGTCGAATAAACTGTGACTCTTAGGACTAAATCACAGATTACTGCTATTTGTAATCTTATTGTGGTAAAAAGTTTAGTAGACAACTGTCACTTTATCTCTATAGTCTCTTTGTTGTAAGCTTCCACAAGACCAACTAGCTGTTGTGATGTGTTTCACTATTTTTCGATTATTACTAATTCACTACGTACCGTCTGCTTTGCTCTCTGCTGCTTATGGCATGATTGCATGTACATTACGATTTCGTTATTGGGGTGTGTTGGGGTCTGATGATTTATGTACATAAGCTAATAATTGTTTGATATATAACAACAGAAACTTGACTGATTTTTTTTTCTTTCTGACTCAAGGCTAGAGATAGAAGGCATGGACATCGATGGATCTATAGAGGTGAAGCTTAGGTTAGCTCAAGGTTAACTGTGTTTGTATTACTGGCTAAAACTAAGGACGATAGGTTATAGACAAAATATCACACACTGGGCAGCGAAATTCTAATCGGAATTCTGATTTGCAAGCTCATAAAGTGATATGAATTAAACACTCAGGAATAAAAGTAATGACCAGAAAATTCTATCACGTAAATGAACAAACCCCTTTTTTATTGAAACATAAAATTTCAGGTGTTTCAATATTAATACAGTCAGTAAATGGATTTATATGAACATTTTATTATGTTACATAACGTAAGTACCATTCGGCTAGTTCAAGAAATGTTGGAGAAAATAATTCAGAGCAATGTTTTGATGACAAAAACTGTCAAATCACTGAATGAGGATGAAGTTCCAAATGCAATAAAAAGGAATGACAATAATATAGTTCGGATATTATTCAGTTACTATAGTGAATACTTGAATTAATTAACTGCAAGTGTTATTCACAAATTTATGGACACAAAAGTTACAATTTCAAACAAAATAAATAGCTAATTAATTGTAAACAACACATTATAAAGTATGTGTTCATACCACGACAGAATACAGATAATCACGATGTAGCTAGCGTATTATTATAGATCAATACACTGATAAGGCACTCAAAATAAATCACTGACACAAAGTGTGCACATAAATATAACAAACTGAATGAGCCCGAATGACTTACCAACGATCGGTGCGAAAGTTACACTCGGACGACCTCTGGGGATGATAGGCAAATTTGTAAAACTTCTTGAAGATTTCTAAATAACACAAGAAGAATAATTATAAACACGCTAAGAACAGACGAAACAAAATACAAACTAACGAAAAAAAATTTTCAACTGAAAAACAAATAAAATTACCTGAAGATTATTATCATCCAGTAAACAAGAAAAAACACCTACAAAAATGATATCAAAGGAAAAAATCAGCCATAAAAAAATGTACAAAATAAAAATTGACAGTATAACATCAAAACAAAACAAACACAAAAACGACGAAGAGATATATTAATAAAAACTAGATTAAATAAGAACAAAAACTGATATTCAAAGAAAACAAGTGAGGTTGAAAAAGCTATAACTAATTTAAAGCAACACAGAACATCAGATTCAAATGGATTATCTCCGGAGATCTCTAGAGATGGTAGTCTAGTTTGGCAGTCAGATTGACTGAGATCATAATTAGAATTTAGGAATTGGACATAATCCTATCTGACTGGTCTCGATCGCTGATCATCCCAGTTTATAAGAAAGTACAGAAATCCCCTAGTCGTGACCACAAAGGAATCCGTTTGACTAATATAACAGCTAACATATTTGTCTCAATAACTAGGGCTCGTGAAGAGCGAAATTAGGACAGTCAGTCAGACTGGGTTCAGACCTGGACGTGAATGTATCAACCAAATACCCACCCTATGTCAGGTCCTGGAACATAGACATACTTTCCGACGTCCGTCTATAGTGTATTTCTTAACCTTAGACTTTAAGGCAGCGTTCGACTCTGTCGAGTGTGAGGTTCTGTGGCAGTGTTTCTCATTAAAAGGCAAACCAAAGAAGTACATCAACTTTGTAGAGGTTCTTCACTTCAACACTATTGGTCAAGTTAAAGTTTATAGAGAACTGTCAACCTCAAGTGGTGTTCCTCAGAACTGTTCACTTTCTCCATTATTATTTAACTTCGTCATAGATATCCTTTGAAAGATGATGCTCTCATAGTCTGACTTTTCAGAGGTTGGTCTTCTACCAGAAGACTCGCTTATTGACTTGGAATACTCAAGTGATATAGTACTGTTTGGTGAAGACGATGAAAAAACATTGAGAACACTGTTGCCCTAAGCAACAATGCAAGCATCTTTGAGATATGATTCTCTCCCTATAAATCAAAAATGTTAATTCAAGACTGGGCTGCGTCACTCCATTTATCTTGGAAGTTTCATCAGTCCTGATGAGTAGGTATTTGATGAAACCACGGTACGGAATCAAAAAGTCCGGTTGGCTTTTGTGTCACTTGTGGAGTGGGTGAGATATTAGTCTGTCAATCAAAGGACGAGTTTACTATTCAGCAGTTCTCTTCGTTCTACTTCATGGGTGTGAAACATAGCCACTAAGAATAGAGAATGTTCCCAGGTCACTATTTTTCGATCACAGGAGAACCGAAGCATAGCTCATGCATTTTTGTCCGCCGAGTGAGCAATGCTGAAGTTAGGCATAGGACACAAAGTAAACATTGCCAAAACGGTTGATCAGGAAGTGAATCTTCATCGGCTGAGGTGGTTCGTACATGTCTCCCTTATACCTAGTCATCGCCTAAATCAACGAGCGATGTTGTCTAGTGTACAAGCAGACCGCGAAAAAGCTAGGTGGGACCAAGAGAAGCCGTATCACTAGCCCATGAAGTCATTGATAATTAGACTGATTCATATTAAACATTGTACACTACCTATGTGTGGTCGCGTAATTATCGTAACCAATCACAAGACACTATGGGTGAAAAGCCTGAGAATGGTTTGCAATACCCCAGACGCATTCACTCACTACCTTCCCTCAGAACACCATTGACGAATTAACACTTTCAATAACCAATCACTTTTACAAGCACAGACAACGTTACTAAATCCACAACTCAAAAATCTGTAAAAAGTATTAGTGTCTAACATCGAAAAACCAATCATGTGACGCGGAAAAAACACAAACCCACGTCTAACATCAGTAAACAAACAACCAAAATAACCGATAAACAAATACATACCTTCTGGCATCCCAACATCATCTTCATAACGGTAAGGGATCGGTGACAATGCCTGAAGAGAAGACACTGGTGGCTTCAACATCACCATACCATCACTCGAAGCATGTTTTGCTCCATCTGAGGCAACAACTACAAAACCAACAATCAAACACAGTAAGCATAAACAACACGATATATCGTGATAATATCATTGAAAGACGCATATACATATACGTGCTCACACAATAACCTTCACTTTCAACCTGAAATCAATCGCACTCTCTAACACACAAACACACATGTCGAACATCGATAAACAAACAACCACAACAACTGAAAAAAAAAATAAAACACACACCTTCTGGAATCACAACATCATCTTCATAACGGTAAGGGATCGGTGACAATGCCTGAAGAGAAGATACTGGTGGCTCTAACGTCTCGCTGTTATCACTCGAATCATTCTTCACTTCATCTAAAACAACACCTACAAAATTAACAATAAAACACAGTTAGCAAAAATAAGGACATCACAATAGTAACTGCTAAGTGAATATGGTGGTTGGGCTTGCGTATTGTGGTCACCCAATCGACTTATATGGAATGTAATGCTTGGTCGTTTAGGTATTATCATAACATGCAGGTCGGTTGGAGAACGGTAATTACGAAATTAGTAACCTCAGGTCTGAACACGAAGTCGTACTGCAGATTGTACAGTCGTGTGACAACAGTAAGGTGTTTTCTTCAGAAAACCAGCATCTACAGCAATGATGCGTTCTCACAACGGAGGGAAGAAGTTAGAAAATATCGACCTTGAAATAATTGTACAACTTACATCACGGATTTACGTCTTCAGCGCTAAGGCCTTTGGAAGTAGGGAGCTAAGAGATAATAAACTTCTCAAAAAAAATCGTCATTTCAATGTCCAAGCAGGTAGTGTAAATCAAATTGAAGGGCACTTAGGTGGGTCTCACGGTATCTCTGCTCAGTGAACAGATAGTTGAAACAGGCTGTTCCAATTATGCTCACATAACCGTCTATTTCTAGCAAGCATCAACTCCAACCATAAGGGAAGACATTGTCTGACACTGCGACACCTACAATTAACTGAACAATGGATTCAAATGGATCACAGTGCCACCAGCCATCGCTAGAGAGGCTCGATAGTAGACCCCCGCTCATTATGGAGCATATATCTAGACTTTGATCATGTCCTAGTGAGAGCACATGTTTGTCTGTATCTTACTGAAAACATAAAGGCCACAGCAAAAAGATCCCTTAGAGTTCGACTTAATGGTGAAATAGTCAAGTATACATTTTAACAGCAAATAGAAAAGCAGTTACTTAACCATGAAAGTGATATCCACTCTGAGGTAGCTTGCTATGATATCTAAACAGATCTATAAACAGCAGTAATATCTACCAATAAATTAAACCAAAGCGTTGAGAAACTTCAGTGGATTTCCGTAGCGTCTACTGAACTGATAGATGTCCAGAAACTCATCCCGTCTAACTCCAAACACGATGAGGAGTTAAAACAGCTTACATGTAGACGGGTCAAAAGCCTAAGCAATGATTGTCAGCAGTGCCGGGCAGAGAAAGCAAAAGTGATGGAAAAGGCAGCAGTAGTAATTAACAGTAGACAACTATTCAGACTTATCAAGTGAACAGGTTTTAACAATCCGGCTGTTAGTGAGACTATCTCAGGACTATTATTCACTCCCAACTCATGAGATTAGATCGATATGCAGAACATTTTAGGCAACAGTTTAACTGGCCACCTGCTATCCTTCAGTTACCCGTTATCTCCAAACAGCCTGAAAGGATAATCGACATCAGTCCTCAAACTCTTAGTGAGGTTGAAAAAGCTATAACTAATTTAAAGCAACACAGAACATCAGATTCAAATGGATTATCTCCGGAGATCTCTAGAGATGGTAGTCTAGTTTGGCAGTCAGATTGACTGAGATCATAATTAGAATTTAGGAATTGGACATAATCCTATCTGACTGGTCTCGATCGCTGATCATCCCAGTTTATAAGAAAGTACAGAAATCCCCTAGTCGTGACCACAAAGGAATCCGTTTGACTAATATAACAGCTAATATATTTGTCTCAATAACTAGGGCTCGTGAAGAGCGAAATTAGGACAGTCAGTCAGACTGGGTTCAGACCTGGACGTGAATGTATCAACCAAATACCCACCCTATGTCAGGTCCTGGAACATAGACATACTTTCCGACGTCCGTCTATAGTGTATTTCTTAACCTTAGACTTTAAGGCAGCGTTCGACTCTGTCGAGTGTGAGGTTCTGTGGCAGTGTTTCTCATTAAAAGGCAAACCAAAGAAGTACATCAACTTTGTAGAGGTTCTTCACTTCAACACTATTGGTCAAGTTAAAGTTTATAGAGAACTGTCAACCTCAAGTGGTGTTCCTCAGAACTGTTCACTTTCTCCATTATTATTTAACTTCGTCATAGATATCCTTTGAAAGATGATGCTCTCATAGTCTGACTTTTCAGAGGTTGGTCTTCTACCAGAAGACTCGCTTATTGACTTGGAATACTCAAGTGATATAGTACTGTTTGGTGAAGACGATGAAAAAACATTGAGAACACTGTTGCCCTAAGCAACAATGCAAGCATCTTTGAGATATGATTCTCTCCCTATAAATCAAAAATGTTAATTCAAGACTGGGCTGCGTCACTCCATTTATCTTGGAAGTTTCATCAGTCCTGATGAGTAGGTATTTGATGAAACCACGGTACGGAATCAAAAAGTCCGGTTGGCTTTTGTGTCACTTGTGGAGTGGGTGAGATATTAGTCTGTCAATCAAAGGACGAGTTTACTATTCAGCAGTTCTCTTCGTTCTACTTCATGGGTGTGAAACATAGCCACTAAGAATAGAGAATGTTCCCAGGTCACTATTTTTCGATCACAGGAGAACCGAAGCATAGCTCATGCATTTTTGTCCGCCGAGTGAGCAATGCTGAAGTTAGGCATAGGACACAAAGTAAACATTGCCAAAACGGTTGATCAGGAAGTGAATCTTCATCGGCTGAGGTGGTTCGTACATGTCTCCCTTATACCTAGTCATCGCCTAAATCAACGAGCGATGTTGTCTAGTGTACAAGCAGACCGCGAAAAAGCTAGGTGGGACCAAGAGAAGCCGTATCACTAGCCCATGAAGTCATTGATAATTAGACTGATTCATATTAAACATTGTACACTACCTATGTGTGGTCGCGTAATTATCGTAACCAATCACAAGACACTATGGGTGAAAAGCCTGAGAATGGTTTGCAATACCCCAGACGCATTCACTCACTACCTTCCCTCAGAACACCATTGACGAATTAACACTTTCAATAACCAATCACTTTTACAAGCACAGACAACGTTACTAAATCCACAACTCAAAAATCTGTAAAAAGTATTAGTGTCTAACATCGAAAAACCAATCATGTGACGCGGAAAAAACACAAACCCACGTCTAACATCAGTAAACAAACAACCAAAATAACCGATAAACAAATACATACCTTCTGGCATCCCAACATCATCTTCATAACGGTAAGGGATCGGTGACAATGCCTGAAGAGAAGACACTGGTGGCTTCAACATCACCATACCATCACTCGAAGCATGTTTTGCTCCATCTGAGGCAACAACTACAAAACCAACAATCAAACACAGTAAGCATAAACAACACGATATATCGTGATAATATCATTGAAAGACGCATATACATATACGTGCTCACACAATAACCTTCACTTTCAACCTGAAATCAATCGCACTCTCTAACACACAAACACACATGTCGAACATCGATAAACAAACAACCACAACAACTGAAAAAAAAAATAAAACACACACCTTCTGGAATCACAACATCATCTTCATAACGGTAAGGGATCGGTGACAATGCCTGAAGAGAAGATACTGGTGGCTCTAACGTCTCGCTGTTATCACTCGAATCATTCTTCACTTCATCTAAAACAACACCTACAAAATTAACAATAAAACACAGTTAGCAAAAATAAGGACATCACAATAGTAACTGCTAAGTGAATATGGTGGTTGGGCTTGCGTATTGTGGTCACCCAATCGACTTATATGGAATGTAATGCTTGGTCGTTTAGGTATTATCATAACATGCAGGTCGGTTGGAGAACGGTAATTACGAAATTAGTAACCTCAGGTCTGAACACGAAGTCGTACTGCAGATTGTACAGTCGTGTGACAACAGTAAGGTGTTTTCTTCAGAAAACCAGCATCTACAGCAATGATGCGTTCTCACAACGGAGGGAAGAAGTTAGAAAATATCGACCTTGAAATAATTGTACAACTTACATCACGGATTTACGTCTTCAGCGCTAAGGCCTTTGGAAGTAGGGAGCTAAGAGATAATAAACTTCTCAAAAAAAATCGTCATTTCAATGTCCAAGCAGGTAGTGTAAATCAAATTGAAGGGCACTTAGGTGGGTCTCACGGTATCTCTGCTCAGTGAACAGATAGTTGAAACAGGCTGTTCCAATTATGCTCACATAACCGTCTATTTCTAGCAAGCATCAACTCCAACCATAAGGGAAGACATTGTCTGACACTGCGACACCTACAATTAACTGAACAATGGATTCAAATGGATCACAGTGCCACCAGCCATCGCTAGAGAGGCTCGATAGTAGACCCCCGCTCATTATGGAGCATATATCTAGACTTTGATCATGTCCTAGTGAGAGCACATGTTTGTCTGTATCTTACTGAAAACATAAAGGCCACAGCAAAAAGATCCCTTAGAGTTCGACTTAATGGTGAAATAGTCAAGTATACATTTTAACAGCAAATAGAAAAGCAGTTACTTAACCATGAAAGTGATATCCACTCTGAGGTAGCTTGCTATGATATCTAAACAGATCTATAAACAGCAGTAATATCTACCAATAAATTAAACCAAAGCGTTGAGAAACTTCAGTGGATTTCCGTAGCGTCTACTGAACTGATAGATGTCCAGAAACTCATCCCGTCTAACTCCAAACACGATGAGGAGTTAAAACAGCTTACATGTAGACGGGTCAAAAGCCTAAGCAATGATTGTCAGCAGTGCCGGGCAGAGAAAGCAAAAGTGATGGAAAAGGCAGCAGTAGTAATTAACAGTAGACAACTATTCAGACTTATCAAGTGAACAGGTTTTAACAATCCGGCTGTTAGTGAGACTATCTCAGGACTATTATTCACTCCCAACTCATGAGATTAGATCGATATGCAGAACATTTTAGGCAACAGTTTAACTGGCCACCTGCTATCCTTCAGTTACCCGTTATCTCCAAACAGCCTGAAAGGATAATCGACATCAGTCCTCAAACTCTTAGTGAGGTTGAAAAAGCTATAACTAATTTAAAGCAACACAGAACATCAGATTCAAATGGATTATCTCCGGAGATCTCTAGAGATGGTAGTCTAGTTTGGCAGTCAGATTGACTGAGATCATAATTAGAATTTAGGAATTGGACATAATCCTATCTGACTGGTCTCGATCGCTGATCATCCCAGTTTATAAGAAAGTACAAAAATCCCCTAGTCGTGACCACAAAGGAATCCGTTTGACTAATATAACAGCTAACATATTTGTCTCAATAACTAGGGCTCGTGAAGAGCGAAATTAGGACAGTCAGTCAGACTGGGTTCAGACCTGGACGTGAATGTATCAACCAAATACCCACCCTATGTCAGGTCCTGGAACATAGACATACTTTCCGACGTCCGTCTATAGTGTATTTCTTAACCTTAGACTTTAAGGCAGCGTTCGACTCTGTCGAGTGTGAGGTTCTGTGGCAGTGTTTCTCATTAAAAGGCAAACCAAAGAAGTACATCAACTTTGTAGAGGTTCTTCACTTCAACACTATTGGTCAAGTTAAAGTTTATAGAGAACTGTCAACCTCAAGTGGTGTTCCTCAGAACTGTTCACTTTCTCCATTATTATTTAACTTCGTCATAGATATCCTTTGAAAGATGATGCTTTCATAGTCTGACTTTTCAGAGGTTGGTCTTCTACCAGAAGACTCGCTTATTGACTTGGAATACTCAAGTGATATAGTACTGTTTGGTGAAGACGATGAAAAAACATTGAGAACACTGTTGCCCTAAGCAACAATGCAAGCATCTTTGAGATATGATTCTCTCCCTATAAATCAAAAATGTTAATTCAAGACTGGGCTGCGTCACTCCATTTATCTTGGAAGTTTCATCAGTCCTGATGAGTAGGTATTTGATGAAACCACGGTACGGAATCAAAAAGTCCGGTTGGCTTTTGTGTCACTTGTGGAGTGGGTGAGATATTAGTCTGTCAATCAAAGGACGAGTTTACTATTCAGCAGTTCTCTTCGTTCTACTTCATGGGTGTGAAACATAGCCACTAAGAATAGAGAATGTTCCCAGGTCACTATTTTTCGATCACAGGAGAACCGAAGCATAGCTCATGCATTTTTGTCCGCCGAGTGAGCAATGCTGAAGTTAGGCATAGGACACAAAGTAAACATTGCCAAAACGGTTGATCAGGAAGTGAATCTTCATCGGCTGAGGTGGTTCGTACATGTCTCCCTTATACCTAGTCATCGCCTAAATCAACGAGCGATGTTGTCTAGTGTACAAGCAGACCGCGAAAAAGCTAGGTGGGACCAAGAGAAGCCGTATCACTAGCCCATGAAGTCATTGATAATTAGACTGATTCATATTAAACATTGTACACTACCTATGTGTGGTCGCGTAATTATCGTAACCAATCACAAGACACTATGGGTGAAAAGCCTGAGAATGGTTTGCAATACCCCAGACGCATTCACTCACTACCTTCCCTCAGAACACCATTGACGAATTAACACTTTCAATAACCAATCACTTTTACAAGCACAGACAACGTTACTAAATCCACAACTCAAAAATCTGTAAAAAGTATTAGTGTCTAACATCGAAAAACCAATCATGTGACGCGGAAAAAACACAAACCCACGTCTAACATCAGTAAACAAACAACCAAAATAACCGATAAACAAATACATACCTTCTGGCATCCCAACATCATCTTCATAACGGTAAGGGATCGGTGACAATGCCTGAAGAGAAGACACTGGTGGCTTCAACATCACCATACCATCACTCGAAGCATGTTTTGCTCCATCTGAGGCAACAACTACAAAACCAACAATCAAACACAGTAAGCATAAACAACACGATATATCGTGATAATATCATTGAAAGACGCATATACATATACGTGCTCACACAATAACCTCCACTTTCAACCTGAAATCAATCGCACTCTCTAACACACAAACACACATGTCGAACATCGATAAACAAACAACCACAACAACTGAAAAAAAAAAAATAAAACACACACCTTCTGGAATCACAACATCATCTTCATAACGGTAAGGGATCGGTGACAATGCCTGAAGAGAAGATACTGGTGGCTCTAACGTCTCGCTGTTATCACTCGAATCATTCTTCACTTCATCTAAAACAACACCTACAAAATTAACAATAAAACACAGTTAGCAAAAATAAGGACATCACAATAGTAACTGCTAAGTGAATATGGTGGTTGGGCTTGCGTATTGTGGTCACCCAATCGACTTATATGGAATGTAATGCTTGGTCGTTTAGGTATTATCATAACATGCAGGTCGGTTGGAGAACGGTAATTACGAAATTAGTAACCTCAGGTCTGAACACGAAGTCGTACTGCAGATTGTACAGTCGTGTGACAACAGTAAGGTGTTTTCTTCAGAAAACCAGCATCTACAGCAATGATGCGTTCTCACAACGGAGGGAAGAAGTTAGAAAATATCGACCTTGAAATAATTGTACAACTTACATCACGGATTTACGTCTTCAGCGCTAAGGCCTTTGGAAGTAGGGAGCTAAGAGATAATAAACTTCTCAAAAAAAATCGTCATTTCAATGTCCAAGCAGGTAGTGTAAATCAAATTGAAGGGCACTTAGGTGGGTCTCACGGTATCTCTGCTCAGTGAACAGATAGTTGAAACAGGCTGTTCCAATTATGCTCACATAACCGTCTATTTCTAGCAAGCATCAACTCCAACCATAAGGGAAGACATTGTCTGACACTGCGACACCTACAATTAACTGAACAATGGATTCAAATGGATCACAGTGCCACCAGCCATCGCTAGAGAGGCTCGATAGTAGACCCCCGCTCATTATGGAGCATATATCTAGACTTTGATCATGTCCTAGTGAGAGCACATGTTTGTCTGTATCTTACTGAAAACATAAAGGCCACAGCAAAAAGATCCCTTAGAGTTCGACTTAATGGTGAAATAGTCAAGTATACATTTTAACAGCAAATAGAAAAGCAGTTACTTAACCATGAAAGTGATATCCACTCTGAGGTAGCTTGCTATGATATCTAAACAGATCTATAAACAGCAGTAATATCTACCAATAAATTAAACCAAAGCGTTGAGAAACTTCAGTGGATTTCCGTAGCGTCTACTGAACTGATAGATGTCCAGAAACTCATCCCGTCTAACTCCAAACACGATGAGGAGTTAAAACAGCTTACATGTAGACGGGTCAAAAGCCTAAGCAATGATTGTCAGCAGTGCCGGGCAGAGAAAGCAAAAGTGATGGAAAAGGCAGCAGTAGTAATTAACAGTAGACAACTATTCAGACTTATCAAGTGAACAGGTTTTAACAATCCGGCTGTTAGTGAGACTATCTCAGGACTATTATTCACTCCCAACTCATGAGATTAGATCGATATGCAGAACATTTTAGGCAACAGTTTAACTGGCCACCTGCTATCCTTCAGTTACCCGTTATCTCCAAACAGCCTGAAAGGATAATCGACATCAGTCCTCAAACTCTTAGTGAGGTTGAAAAAGCTATAACTAATTTAAAGCAACACAGAACATCAGATTCAAATGGATTATCTCCGGAGATCTCTAGAGATGGTAGTCTAGTTTGGCAGTCAGATTGACTGAGATCATAATTAGAATTTAGGAATTGGACATAATCCTATCTGACTGGTCTCGATCGCTGATCATCCCAGTTTATAAGAAAGTACAAAAATCCCCTAGTCGTGACCACAAAGGAATCCGTTTGACTAATATAACAGCTAACATATTTGTCTCAATAACTAGGGCTCGTGAAGAGCGAAATTAGGACAGTCAGTCAGACTGGGTTCAGACCTGGACGTGAATGTATCAACCAAATACCCACCCTATGTCAGGTCCTGGAACATAGACATACTTTCCGACGTCCGTCTATAGTGTATTTCTTAACCTTAGACTTTAAGGCAGCGTTCGACTCTGTCGAGTGTGAGGTTCTGTGGCAGTGTTTCTCATTAAAAGGCAAACCAAAGAAGTACATCAACTTTGTAGAGGTTCTTCACTTCAACACTATTGGTCAAGTTAAAGTTTATAGAGAACTGTCAACCTCAAGTGGTGTTCCTCAGAACTGTTCACTTTCTCCATTATTATTTAACTTCGTCATAGATATCCTTTGAAAGATGATGCTTTCATAGTCTGACTTTTCAGAGGTTGGTCTTCTACCAGAAGACTCGCTTATTGACTTGGAATACTCAAGTGATATAGTACTGTTTGGTGAAGACGATGAAAAAACATTGAGAACACTGTTGCCCTAAGCAACAATGCAAGCATCTTTGAGATATGATTCTCTCCCTATAAATCAAAAATGTTAATTCAAGACTGGGCTGCGTCACTCCATTTATCTTGGAAGTTTCATCAGTCCTGATGAGTAGGTATTTGATGAAACCACGGTACGGAATCAAAAAGTCCGGTTGGCTTTTGTGTCACTTGTGGAGTGGGTGAGATATTAGTCTGTCAATCAAAGGACGAGTTTACTATTCAGCAGTTCTCTTCGTTCTACTTCATGGGTGTGAAACATAGCCACTAAGAATAGAGAATGTTCCCAGGTCACTATTTTTCGATCACAGGAGAACCGAAGCATAGCTCATGCATTTTTGTCCGCCGAGTGAGCAATGCTGAAGTTAGGCATAGGACACAAAGTAAACATTGCCAAAACGGTTGATCAGGAAGTGAATCTTCATCGGCTGAGGTGGTTCGTACATGTCTCCCTTATACCTAGTCATCGCCTAAATCAACGAGCGATGTTGTCTAGTGTACAAGCAGACCGCGAAAAAGCTAGGTGGGACCAAGAGAAGCCGTATCACTAGCCCATGAAGTCATTGATAATTAGACTGATTCATATTAAACATTGTACACTACCTATGTGTGGTCGCGTAATTATCGTAACCAATCACAAGACACTATGGGTGAAAAGCCTGAGAATGGTTTGCAATACCCCAGACGCATTCACTCACTACCTTCCCTCAGAACACCATTGACGAATTAACACTTTCAATAACCAATCACTTTTACAAGCACAGACAACGTTACTAAATCCACAACTCAAAAATCTGTAAAAAGTATTAGTGTCTAACATCGAAAAACCAATCATGTGACGCGGAAAAAACACAAACCCACGTCTAACATCAGTAAACAAACAACCAAAATAACCGATAAACAAATACATACCTTCTGGCATCCCAACATCATCTTCATAACGGTAAGGGATCGGTGACAATGCCTGAAGAGAAGACACTGGTGGCTTCAACATCACCATACCATCACTCGAAGCATGTTTTGCTCCATCTGAGGCAACAACTACAAAACCAACAATCAAACACAGTAAGCATAAACAACACGATATATCGTGATAATATCATTGAAAGACGCATATACATATACGTGCTCACACAATAACCTCCACTTTCAACCTGAAATCAATCGCACTCTCTAACACACAAACACACATGTCGAACATCGATAAACAAACAACCACAACAACTGAAAAAAAAAAAATAAAACACACACCTTCTGGAATCACAACATCATCTTCATAACGGTAAGGGATCGGTGACAATGCCTGAAGAGAAGATACTGGTGGCTCTAACGTCTCGCTGTTATCACTCGAATCATTCTTCACTTCATCTAAAACAACACCTACAAAATTAACAATAAAACACAGTTAGCAAAAATAAGGACATCACAATAGTAACTGCTAAGTGAATATGGTGGTTGGGCTTGCGTATTGTGGTCACCCAATCGACTTATATGGAATGTAATGCTTGGTCGTTTAGGTATTATCATAACATGCAGGTCGGTTGGAGAACGGTAATTACGAAATTAGTAACCTCAGGTCTGAACACGAAGTCGTACTGCAGATTGTACAGTCGTGTGACAACAGTAAGGTGTTTTCTTCAGAAAACCAGCATCTACAGCAATGATGCGTTCTCACAACGGAGGGAAGAAGTTAGAAAATATCGACCTTGAAATAATTGTACAACTTACATCACGGATTTACGTCTTCAGCGCTAAGGCCTTTGGAAGTAGGGAGCTAAGAGATAATAAACTTCTCAAAAAAAATCGTCATTTCAATGTCCAAGCAGGTAGTGTAAATCAAATTGAAGGGCACTTAGGTGGGTCTCACGGTATCTCTGCTCAGTGAACAGATAGTTGAAACAGGCTGTTCCAATTATGCTCACATAACCGTCTATTTCTAGCAAGCATCAACTCCAACCATAAGGGAAGACATTGTCTGACACTGCGACACCTACAATTAACTGAACAATGGATTCAAATGGATCACAGTGCCACCAGCCATCGCTAGAGAGGCTCGATAGTAGACCCCCGCTCATTATGGAGCATATATCTAGACTTTGATCATGTCCTAGTGAGAGCACATGTTTGTCTGTATCTTACTGAAAACATAAAGGCCACAGCAAAAAGATCCCTTAGAGTTCGACTTAATGGTGAAATAGTCAAGTATACATTTTAACAGCAAATAGAAAAGCAGTTACTTAACCATGAAAGTGATATCCACTCTGAGGTAGCTTGCTATGATATCTAAACAGATCTATAAACAGCAGTAATATCTACCAATAAATTAAACCAAAGCGTTGAGAAACTTCAGTGGATTTCCGTAGCGTCTACTGAACTGATAGATGTCCAGAAACTCATCCCGTCTAACTCCAAACACGATGAGGAGTTAAAACAGCTTACATGTAGACGGGTCAAAAGCCTAAGCAATGATTGTCAGCAGTGCCGGGCAGAGAAAGCAAAAGTGATGGAAAAGGCAGCAGTAGTAATTAACAGTAGACAACTATTCAGACTTATCAAGTGAACAGGTTTTAACAATCCGGCTGTTAGTGAGACTATCTCAGGACTATTATTCACTCCCAACTCATGAGATTAGATCGATATGCAGAACATTTTAGGCAACAGTTTAACTGGCCACCTGCTATCCTTCAGTTACCCGTTATCTCCAAACAGCCTGAAAGGATAATCGACATCAGTCCTCAAACTCTTAGTGAGGTTGAAAAAGCTATAACTAATTTAAAGCAACACAGAACATCAGATTCAAATGGATTATCTCCGGAGATCTCTAGAGATGGTAGTCTAGTTTGGCAGTCAGATTGACTGAGATCATAATTAGAATTTAGGAATTGGACATAATCCTATCTGACTGGTCTCGATCGCTGATCATCCCAGTTTATAAGAAAGTACAGAAATCCCCTAGTCGTGACCACAAAGGAATCCGTTTGACTAATATAACAGCTAATATATTTGTCTCAATAACTAGGGCTCGTGAAGAGCGAAATTAGGACAGTCAGTCAGACTGGGTTCAGACCTGGACGTGAATGTATCAACCAAATACCCACCCTATGTCAGGTCCTGGAACATAGACATACTTTCCGACGTCCGTCTATAGTGTATTTCTTAACCTTAGACTTTAAGGCAGCGTTCGACTCTGTCGAGTGTGAGGTTCTGTGGCAGTGTTTCTCATTAAAAGGCAAACCAAAGAAGTACATCAACTTTGTAGAGGTTCTTCACTTCAACACTATTGGTCAAGTTAAAGTTTATAGAGAACTGTCAACCTCAAGTGGTGTTCCTCAGAACTGTTCACTTTCTCCATTATTATTTAACTTCGTCATAGATATCCTTTGAAAGATGATGCTCTCATAGTCTGACTTTTCAGAGGTTGGTCTTCTACCAGAAGACTCGCTTATTGACTTGGAATACTCAAGTGATATAGTACTGTTTGGTGAAGACGATGAAAAAACATTGAGAACACTGTTGCCCTAAGCAACAATGCAAGCATCTTTGAGATATGATTCTCTCCCTATAAATCAAAAATGTTAATTCAAGACTGGGCTGCGTCACTCCATTTATCTTGGAAGTTTCATCAGTCCTGATGAGTAGGTATTTGATGAAACCACGGTACGGAATCAAAAAGTCCGGTTGGCTTTTGTGTCACTTGTGGAGTGGGTGAGATATTAGTCTGTCAATCAAAGGACGAGTTTACTATTCAGCAGTTCTCTTCGTTCTACTTCATGGGTGTGAAACATAGCCACTAAGAATAGAGAATGTTCCCAGGTCACTATTTTTCGATCACAGGAGAACCGAAGCATAGCTCATGCATTTTTGTCCGCCGAGTGAGCAATGCTGAAGTTAGGCATAGGACACAAAGTAAACATTGCCAAAACGGTTGATCAGGAAGTGAATCTTCATCGGCTGAGGTGGTTCGTACATGTCTCCCTTATACCTAGTCATCGCCTAAATCAACGAGCGATGTTGTCTAGTGTACAAGCAGACCGCGAAAAAGCTAGGTGGGACCAAGAGAAGCCGTATCACTAGCCCATGAAGTCATTGATAATTAGACTGATTCATATTAAACATTGTACACTACCTATGTGTGGTCGCGTAATTATCGTAACCAATCACAAGACACTATGGGTGAAAAGCCTGAGAATGGTTTGCAATACCCCAGACGCATTCACTCACTACCTTCCCTCAGAACACCATTGACGAATTAACACTTTCAATAACCAATCACTTTTACAAGCACAGACAACGTTACTAAATCCACAACTCAAAAATCTGTAAAAAGTATTAGTGTCTAACATCGAAAAACCAATCATGTGACGCGGAAAAAACACAAACCCACGTCTAACATCAGTAAACTAACAACCAAAATAACCGATAAACAAATACATACCTTCTGGCATCCCAACATCATCTTCATAACGGTAAGGGATCGGTGACAATGCCTGAAGAGAAGACACTGGTGGCTTCAACATCACCATACCATCACTCGAAGCATGTTTTGCTCCATCTGAGGCAACAACTACAAAACCAACAATCAAACACAGTAAGCATAAACAACACGATATATCGTGATAATATCATTGAAAGACGCATATACATATACGTGCTCACACAATAACCTCCACTTTCAACCTGAAATCAATCGCACTCTCTAACACACAAACACACATGTCGAACATCGATAAACAAACAACCACAACAACTGAAAAAAAAAAAATAAAACACACACCTTCTGGAATCACAACATCATCTTCATAACGGTAAGGGATCGGTGACAATGCCTGAAGAGAAGATACTGGTGGCTCTAACGTCTCGCTGTTATCACTCGAATCATTCTTCACTTCATCTAAAACAACACCTACAAAATTAACAATAAAACACAGTTAGCAAAAATAAGGACATCACAATAGTAACTGCTAAGTGAATATGGTGGTTGGGCTTGCGTATTGTGGTCACCCAATCGACTTATATGGAATGTAATGCTTGGTCGTTTAGGTATTATCATAACATGCAGGTCGGTTGGAGAACGGTAATTACGAAATTAGTAACCTCAGGTCTGAACACGAAGTCGTACTGCAGATTGTACAGTCGTGTGACAACAGTAAGGTGTTTTCTTCAGAAAACCAGCATCTACAGCAATGATGCGTTCTCACAACGGAGGGAAGAAGTTAGAAAATATCGACCTTGAAATAATTGTACAACTTACATCACGGATTTACGTCTTCAGCGCTAAGGCCTTTGGAAGTAGGGAGCTAAGAGATAATAAACTTCTCAAAAAAAATCGTCATTTCAATGTCCAAGCAGGTAGTGTAAATCAAATTGAAGGGCACTTAGGTGGGTCTCACGGTATCTCTGCTCAGTGAACAGATAGTTGAAACAGGCTGTTCCAATTATGCTCACATAACCGTCTATTTCTAGCAAGCATCAACTCCAACCATAAGGGAAGACATTGTCTGACACTGCGACACCTACAATTAACTGAACAATGGATTCAAATGGATCACAGTGCCACCAGCCATCGCTAGAGAGGCTCGATAGTAGACCCCCGCTCATTATGGAGCATATATCTAGACTTTGATCATGTCCTAGTGAGAGCACATGTTTGTCTGTATCTTACTGAAAACATAAAGGCCACAGCAAAAAGATCCCTTAGAGTTCGACTTAATGGTGAAATAGTCAAGTATACATTTTAACAGCAAATAGAAAAGCAGTTACTTAACCATGAAAGTGATATCCACTCTGAGGTAGCTTGCTATGATATCTAAACAGATCTATAAACAGCAGTAATATCTACCAATAAATTAAACCAAAGCGTTGAGAAACTTCAGTGGATTTCCGTAGCGTCTACTGAACTGATAGATGTCCAGAAACTCATCCCGTCTAACTCCAAACACGATGAGGAGTTAAAACAGCTTACATGTAGACGGGTCAAAAGCCTAAGCAATGATTGTCAGCAGTGCCGGGCAGAGAAAGCAAAAGTGATGGAAAAGGCAGTAGTAGTAATTAACAGTAGACAACTATTCAGACTTATCAAGTGAACAGGTTTTAACAATCCGGCTGTTAGTGAGACTATCTCAGGACTATTATTCACTCCCAACTCATGAGATTAGATCGATATGCAGAACATTTTAGGCAACAGTTTAACTGGCCACCTGCTATCCTTCAGTTACCCGTTATCTCCAAACAGCCTGAAAGGATAATCGACATCAGTCCTCAAACTCTTAGTGAGGTTGAAAAAGCTATAACTAATTTAAAGCAACACAGAACATCAGATTCAAATGGATTATCTCCGGAGATCTCTAGAGATGGTAGTCTAGTTTGGCAGTCAGATTGACTGAGATCATAATTAGAATTTAGGAATTGGACATAATCCTATCTGACTGGTCTCGATCGCTGATCATCCCAGTTTATAAGAAAGTACAGAAATCCCCTAGTCGTGACCACAAAGGAATCCGTTTGACTAATATAACAGCTAATATATTTGTCTCAATAACTAGGGCTCGTGAAGAGCGAAATTAGGACAGTCAGTCAGACTGGGTTCAGACCTGGACGTGAATGTATCAACCAAATACCCACCCTATGTCAGGTCCTGGAACATAGACATACTTTCCGACGTCCGTCTATAGTGTATTTCTTAACCTTAGACTTTAAGGCAGCGTTCGACTCTGTCGAGTGTGAGGTTCTGTGGCAGTGTTTCTCATTAAAAGGCAAACCAAAGAAGTACATCAACTTTGTAGAGGTTCTTCACTTCAACACTATTGGTCAAGTTAAAGTTTATAGAGAACTGTCAACCTCAAGTGGTGTTCCTCAGAACTGTTCACTTTCTCCATTATTATTTAACTTCGTCATAGATATCCTTTGAAAGATGATGCTTTCATAGTCTGACTTTTCAGAGGTTGGTCTTCTACCAGAAGACTCGCTTATTGACTTGGAATACTCAAGTGATATAGTACTGTTTGGTGAAGACGATGAAAAAACATTGAGAACACTGTTGCCCTAAGCAACAATGCAAGCATCTTTGAGATATGATTCTCTCCCTATAAATCAAAAATGTTAATTCAAGACTGGGCTGCGTCACTCCATTTATCTTGGAAGTTTCATCAGTCCTGATGAGTAGGTATTTGATGAAACCACGGTACGGAATCAAAAAGTCCGGTTGGCTTTTGTGTCACTTGTGGAGTGGGTGAGATATTAGTCTGTCAATCAAAGGACGAGTTTACTATTCAGCAGTTCTCTTCGTTCTACTTCATGGGTGTGAAACATAGCCACTAAGAATAGAGAATGTTCCCAGGTCACTATTTTTCGATCACAGGAGAACCGAAGCATAGCTCATGCATTTTTGTCCGCCGAGTGAGCAATGCTGAAGTTAGGCATAGGACACAAAGTAAACATTGCCAAAACGGTTGATCAGGAAGTGAATCTTCATCGGCTGAGGTGGTTCGTACATGTCTCCCTTATACCTAGTCATCGCCTAAATCAACGAGCGATGTTGTCTAGTGTACAAGCAGACCGCGAAAAAGCTAGGTGGGACCAAGAGAAGCCGTATCACTAGCCCATGAAGTCATTGATAATTAGACTGATTCATATTAAACATTGTACACTACCTATGTGTGGTCGCGTAATTATCGTAACCAATCACAAGACACTATGGGTGAAAAGCCTGAGAATGGTTTGCAATACCCCAGACGCATTCACTCACTACCTTCCCTCAGAACATCATTGACGAATTAACACTTTCAATAACCAATCACTTTTACAAGCACAGACAACGTTACTAAATCCACAACTCAAAAATCTGTAAAAAGTATTAGTGTCTAACATCGAAAAACCAATCATGTGACGCGGAAAAAACACAAACCCACGTCTAACATCAGTAAACTAACAACCAAAATAACCGATAAACAAATACATACCTTCTGGCATCCCAACATCATCTTCATAACGGTAAGGGATCGGTGACAATGCCTGAAGAGAAGACACTGGTGGCTTCAACATCACCATACCATCACTCGAAGCATGTTTTGCTCCATCTGAGGCAACAACTACAAAACCAACAATCAAACACAGTAAGCATAAACAACACGATATATCGTGATAATATCATTGAAAGACGCATATACATATACGTGCTCACACAATAACCTCCACTTTCAACCTGAAATCAATCGCACTCTCTAACACACAAACACACATGTCGAACATCGATAAACAAACAACCACAACAACTGAAAAAAAAAAATAAAACACACACCTTCTGGAATCACAACATCATCTTCATAACGGTAAGGGATCGGTGACAATGCCTGAAGAGAAGATACTGGTGGCTCTAACGTCTCGCTGTTATCACTCGAATCATTCTTCACTTCATCTAAAACAACACCTACAAAATTAACAATAAAACACAGTTAGCAAAAATAAGGACATCACAATAGTAACTGCTAAGTGAATATGGTGGTTGGGCTTGCGTATTGTGGTCACCCAATCGACTTATATGGAATGTAATGCTTGGTCGTTTAGGTATTATCATAACATGCAGGTCGGTTGGAGAACGGTAATTACGAAATTAGTAACCTCAGGTCTGAACACGAAGTCGTACTGCAGATTGTACAGTCGTGTGACAACAGTAAGGTGTTTTCTTCAGAAAACCAGCATCTACAGCAATGATGCGTTCTCACAACGGAGGGAAGAAGTTAGAAAATATCGACCTTGAAATAATTGTACAACTTACATCACGGATTTACGTCTTCAGCGCTAAGGCCTTTGGAAGTAGGGAGCTAAGAGATAATAAACTTCTCAAAAAAAATCGTCATTTCAATGTCCAAGCAGGTAGTGTAAATCAAATTGAAGGGCACTTAGGTGGGTCTCACGGTATCTCTGCTCAGTGAACAGATAGTTGAAACAGGCTGTTCCAATTATGCTCACATAACCGTCTATTTCTAGCAAGCATCAACTCCAACCATAAGGGAAGACATTGTCTGACACTGCGACACCTACAATTAACTGAACAATGGATTCAAATGGATCACAGTGCCACCAGCCATCGCTAGAGAGGCTCGATAGTAGACCCCCGCTCATTATGGAGCATATATCTAGACTTTGATCATGTCCTAGTGAGAGCACATGTTTGTCTGTATCTTACTGAAAACATAAAGGCCACAGCAAAAAGATCCCTTAGAGTTCGACTTAATGGTGAAATAGTCAAGTATACATTTTAACAGCAAATAGAAAAGCAGTTACTTAACCATGAAAGTGATATCCACTCTGAGGTAGCTTGCTATGATATCTAAACAGATCTATAAACAGCAGTAATATCTACCAATAAATTAAACCAAAGCGTTGAGAAACTTCAGTGGATTTCCGTAGCGTCTACTGAACTGATAGATGTCCAGAAACTCATCCCGTCTAACTCCAAACACGATGAGGAGTTAAAACAGCTTACATGTAGACGGGTCAAAAGCCTAAGCAATGATTGTCAGCAGTGCCGGGCAGAGAAAGCAAAAGTGATGGAAAAGGCAGTAGTAGTAATTAACAGTAGACAACTATTCAGACTTATCAAGTGAACAGGTTTTAACAATCCGGCTGTTAGTGAGACTATCTCAGGACTATTATTCACTCCCAACTCATGAGATTAGATCGATATGCAGAACATTTTAGGCAACAGTTTAACTGGCTCCATGGACTGGAATTGGCTTTTCATACTGAGTAAACCGAGATGTCGATTCATTCATGTTTTTTTTTTGAATTTGACTGGTATTCCTAAATAGTCGTTCGGTTTTTTTATTTGTGTTGGTTTATTTCTTTATAGACTAGATTTTACTGAATATGTCGTTTCATGTTTTTTGATTTACGTTACGTTTTGTTACAATTTTCACTGTTTTGTTATGGTGTTTGGTTCGAATTTATTTATTTACTTATAGCCACAAGGTGTTGGCAATATGTTTATTTTGTCTCTATGCAACTTTTTACTGTTCGAAGCTAGGGAATGAAAACCGAAACGCACAATTTTTATTTTGTATTATAGTATTTGATTATGCTAGTTTCTTGTCAGAATGATTGTCCCTTCGTAACACGCTGCCAACAATAAATATTCAAAGTAGGTCTGAGTGTTTCATTAATAGTGTTGGTGTGCTGACATCAATATCAGCATCTGAGTTTTAATTAATCTGAAAACTGTTAGACACATTTTAAAAATATTCATTAATTTATGCCATTTCCGAACTTGGCTTTTCGATTTTATGAAACTGTCATAGCAATCATTTAAAATTTTCGAGATTAAATGACATGAAACCGTTAAAGATATCTGAAATATTTAAGCAATTCATGTGGTAAAAATATGATTTTTTTACTAATTTTTTAATCGCTTACTACTTTTTCGACACTTCTTCACTAAGTGCATGGAATCAACATTATCATCTTCTTCCGATTCAAGGAAACAATCTGCGATGACTATGCTAACTGGTTTGATTGACGGTAAAATAGAATCAACAGTCTCCGGATGCAATTTACTGTCACTTGAACCACGAGAATATGTCAGTCGACTTAGCTGGAAAGCATCAGTGAATATTTTAATAATGAAAAATATCAAGTGACGGACAGTTTATTTTATTGGTAGTAACAGAAACCATGTCATTCATCGTGGAGTGTTTACGTCTATTAGTATAAAATTATATGCGTTACTACAAATATCAAGGCCAACACGTTTGCTTTTACTCTGGACAATATGAAACCTTTCACAAGTAATTTGAAATGACTTTTGTTAGTAAACAATCATTTGAACAATTTTTATTATTATTTAGAGTTTGAAGAGATTGGTAAAATTGACAGTTTATATCACCAGATTGTGTTAGTTACGAAACCATTAAAAACTAGGAAGCACTAGAAGGTTGTGTTAATTTAGTAGCAAAGCTCACAACCAAACCCCACCGAAGAAAGATAGCTATCAATATCGCGTATCGACGAGTAAATAAGTGGATGATAGTTCAGTCGTTTAAAGGTTAAGAGAACCTAAAGGTCCGGGGTTCGATTTTCGAAGGAGGGTTGTGGATGTTGATTAATTTTACAGTGAGATGAAAAAGCTCTCTAATATTCCCTGGTTCTTAACTATTGTCTTACTAACGGCATTCTGTGATTTAGGTTATATATTTAGTTATATAATTTACCCTTGTGGGCCAGGGTAATTTTACACTGGTTTTTAGGAGAACCAGACACCATCCAGACATTCACGTGACATCCCAAACAGTACGGCTCAATCCCGTTTCGCAGGAGAACCAGACACTATCCCGGCTTAACCCAAGCAGCACAGCTCAATCCCGCTCCACAGGAGAACCCGACACCACATAAGCTTCAACGCTACAATCTGAATAGTACAGCTCAATCCTGTGGCGCAACCACACAGGTATCAAACACCCTGGTGGACCATTCACACCATTCATATACAAATTCACATCTGTGACTTAAACTATGAAACTAATAGTCTTCAGTTACAGTATAGTTATACAGAAGACTAATGGATCGTGATATATATGGTTTACCTCCTGAGAATTGTATGCAACCGTATCTATGTTTACCATCTATAAAGATATGACATTCAATAGTTAACTCTTGAAAAGTCACTATTTGCTGTGTCTCAGTTCATTAGTAAAGGAAAGATATTAAACTGACATAAATTTCGTGTATCAATCTGAACAATACTTTAGATTTTTGATTATTTTTTTTGTGATTGAAATAAAGTTGGAAATTCATAAGACTTAATTTTTCACATTGTCATTTAGTATCTATCTACAACTTCAACGAATACAAGTAAGTGCTTGAGATCAGTATCCTGTGCGACTTAAAAGAAACAGCTGCAAATGCATTAGGAGTGAAATAACAGAACACAGTGTTAATTTATCATCTCATGTAACTAACTTTTCTAACTATCAGTTTTGTTAGATATTTTAATTAGAATTCTTTCTTAGTTTGTGATTAAACATAAGCATTTTTACAACTTTGAGAATGAATTCATTTAGTATTGTTTGTTTGAATCTTCCCATCGATGTGTTAGGACTGCGACTGGTCAGTCTCTAATTGCCATATGTGCATACTGTGCGTATTGCATCGATATAGCTTTAATTCACAAGTATGGTAAGCAGAGATGGATAGTGGCTAGCACTGGAATCCAGGACGCGCGTTTCGTCCTATTTGGGACTCGTCAGCTGGATGTACCTGCATTTCAGAGTTGATGTCCACCCTGGGACTCGAACCCAGTACCCTCGCTTCAAACGCAATCGCGTTATCCACTCGGCCACTGAGTCCTGATAGCCACTTGCTTGTGCGATACTAAATGAATTTAAACTTCACACCATCGCACAAGCAAGTGGCTATCAGGACTCAGTGGCCGAGTGGATAACGCGATGGCGTTTGAAGCGAGGGTACTGGGTTCGAGTCCCAGGGTGGACATCAACTCTGAAATGCAGGTACATCCAGCTGACGAGTCCCAAATAGGACGAAACGCGCGTCCTGGATTCCAGTGCTAGCCACTATCCATCTCTGCTTACCATGTTTGAGAATGAATTCCTGAGAAGATATTCCACAGAAAATGTTTTTGTTAAATCATTGTCTACTGAATCAAGATTATAAACAATAAAAAAGTAACAAGTATCAAACGGTAAATAATAAAAACGATAACAAATCAAGAATATTACTAACTCGAGTTTTACTTGAAATTCGATGAGCTTCTGATTTACAATCCTCCTCTAATTCATTTACTTAACAAAAAGTAAAATAAATAATAGTAATTAATAATAATAATAATAATAATAATAATAATAATAATAATAATAATAATAAGGAAAGTCCTTATCTGTTTATCTTTGATATAACGTCAACGAAAGTATACTAATCAAAATTGTGAGATCATTGATTCATTGTATGACAATAAGAACATACAATAATCTGTAATATATATCATCGAGTACAAGATCACATTCTTGGTTTTCAGCAACACTGATTTTGTGAAGGCAGTTCAAGTGAAAGTAGAAGTGAGATATGAACCTGGAAAGTTGAATACTTTACCACTACACCACCGTCTCATATATTCTCATGAAATATTATCATATATCATTCTTGAAAGCTATTTGAGTAGTGAGTGACAAAACTATTAATCATCAAAATAGTAATCAGATTGCTTGCAAATATTTAACTATGTTTGAGGATCATTTTATGCCACGAAATGAAATCAACCGCAGAATTCACATGAAATGCTTAAATAAAACATTAACATTTCAGACTGTTGATCGATGAAGTACTAGTTACTCAATTTCGGATTTTCATTTACACGCAATTCAATAAATAATAAGGTTTTTCAAACCTTCACTATTCAATAATGATCTAAACTTAACACGGAATATACTATCTTGAAACTACAAACATTTTGACAAAATATTCAATTATCTCAGCAAAACCATTTATCGGTTAGTTTGCCAAACAGACAAGTTACATTATCAAAATAGCTTTTTCTAAGTATCGTTTCTTTATTAAGTGTAGATTGAGAATAAATCGGGCTAATTATAAAGACGAAGATCAGAAAAAAAACAGTACCCTTTGATGAAAGAAACAGTTACATAATATGAACAGATGAATATAACCAATAACATATTGTAGAAAGTTAATTTGATGTGAAAAAAAAGAAAAAAACATTTCATAAACCGATAACGATCGGAAGGAAGAGATGAAAGTACACAACAATAAGAGAAAGACGCTGGATTTCAACTAAGTAATAAAAAAGACAACTTACATGACATTAAGGCAGAAATTCTATCTTGTTCCCCAAGAAGACGACGCCTTTTACTCGCTGTACACTATAAAGAAACATTTTTTCCAATATTTGAAATGATCATTTTTATAAAGAATAATTAAAAAAATGAATATTCGTAACAATTTATCTGAGAGAAAAGGGAAACGTTTTGTTATATGATATAGCTAATTTGTAAAATCAAACGGTGTTCTGTCCAAATTTGGTATTTTTACATATATATTGCTCAAGACCTATAACATATAACATTTATAATCCACTTCAATTCTAAATAAATAGGAGGCAGAAGTTTAATGCTACTGACAATAACTAAATACTGGACAAATTGCTATAGAAAGACATGCATATCATGATAAAAATGAGCATTTCCACTAAAATGTAAAAACTAGGAAAAAACATAACTAACATCTCAGTAATTTTACATATTCGAATAATTAATGCTACCATATACATATATTTCAATTATTTCAGTAGAATGATGAGAAAAAGCACTCGGATACGTTTATTTCAACAGTTTATCAAAAAGCAGAATCACTATAAAAAATCTCATACACATAATTTCGTTTATTGAGCAAGAACAAATTTTTGTTATTAGGATGAAGCGGCAGGCTGTGTTTAAGTTGTTTGACTTTTTGTCACTAAGTTCGAGCAACAGTTCACCTACTTCGTTTGGAACAACTGGCAAGTACTATCAGCAGTCTTAGAAAGTGAGCCAAAGTAAAGTACCAAGTGAACAAATTAAGTAAAAACTTTTTCTAATACAAGAAGAGAAAACAATTCACCTTTACAGAGCACGGTTTCTGTATAGCCGATATAGATTGTGGAACGGTACTGGATGAAGCAGTAACATTTATAGGAAGAGAAGCCAGATGAAAATTTATCGCCTCATTTTCAGAAAACGATGAACCTGAAATAAAAGTCAAACAATAATAAACATAATTTCACACATAATAGACCAAAAAAGCCTTAATGCTGATAAAACATGGACAGAAAAAAAGATCTTAAATAAAGAAGGAACAAGGAATTGAACAGAACACAATGAATTCATTTCATTCTGAAGTGTTTCCATCAGCTGCTTACAACCTAAAATATTAAAAATCAGAATTATTGCAAGGTTTACATAGTTATGACAGTAAAAAATGGATATATATCATCATGGTGAAGTAGTGAGAGTGGTGACATAATGAGTGTTGCAAATTAATCAAATATATATGAGAGATTTTGGACCATCAGACATAGGACAAGAGGCCATAGAGAAATAATAATTGACTGATTATACAGTGAATTATTTGAACATAAATTGATAACAATTGGAAATAACATTAGTTGAGATCAGACAGTTAAAATAAATAAGAGGCTTATTGCCTTCGAAATAAGTGGTGCAATTAAAGTGGGAGGGGAGAATAAAAATGAAAAGGCGATGTGATAAACTGATGATAAAGTTGCTATGATAAGGAAACAATCACAACTGTTTACTTCTAGATACATAAGTCCAGCTTTGGTCGTTTAATTGCTATGGCATAACTGAATTTAAGAAAGCAAATTGCCTATCGATTGATGATGCCGGAAGGTTTTAGTCTGTCAACTTGATGCCTTGTATCACAAAGAGGTCTCAAAAAGGCACTGCTAGAAGAGAGAAATATTCACCAATTTTATTCTCCTTCTCTACTCAATTAATTTACCACACAATCAATTTATTATTTTATCGCTATGATCTCTTGTTACTATGTCTGATGATCCAGAATCTCTTATATGTATGAAATTAATTTGCAGCACTAAACATATATATCCAATCACAATGCCTCATCATGATAGCACACATCCATTTTTACTGTTAAACTATGAAAACTTTCAAATACTATTGATTTTAAATATTTGGGATTTCAGGCAGCCGATGAGAACCTTAGAAAATACAGCGCATATATGTAATATTTTTCAATAGTATGATAATGTTTAATTTAACATAAAGCCAAGAAACAAATTGAGAAAAAATCCTCACGATCTAACATCAACAAAAAAAGAAAATAAATGCAAAATAAAATCAGTGAAAACATAAGAAAGAACAAATATGGAGAAGCGAAATCGGAAGAAAAAAAACACAATGGAGGAAAAATATACAGCAAATGATGAACAACCGCTCAAACAAATGACAAAAACACAGAAAACAAAGATAACACAACAAAAATTAAAAACACAGGCAACAAAATACGGAAAGCTCAAACGAAACCAAAATCCAAAACCAAAAACGTAAAAGCGAATTACCAATCCTAAAAAACACTCACTCAAATAAACACTTTCCGTCAATTTCAAATCCATCGCCGTCAACACGCACACAGCTTTAGATTCACTCACTGGTAAAACGGAACACCCTGAAACACTGCTCGCATCTCCGTTCACTGATCCTAAAACAATACAGCCCACAATCAATATCAATAAAATAAGTCGTTCCTAACAAATAACACTCAACTGCACATCTGGGAAAACATTTCAAAATTATCCAATCTAGCTGTTCTCTCGTCGCAAAACAACACACTCGTCTTCGCACATCACCAAACACATATCACAAGTACAAAACATCCTATGTACCATAATACGCCTCAACTCGTCAAACAAACACATACACACACACAAACACACACACCATCATCATATGACTAAACAAATCCTCAAAAGCTACATAACTATCACAATAACCAACACAACATCAATAATCATGAATCACGCTCCACACTAACAACAACCAACACTAATACTAAAAGCTGTAACAACAAATAAAATGTAGAAAATCCACAATTACCTCTGTCAGGAGAACTGATCGATTGAGAAGAAACTAGTGAATTCAAATCCCCATTCATTGACATCGATTTCTCTGAAGAACAAAAAAATTCACCGATTAACAAACACACATCAGGTGAGTCTAATACTATCACGTCGAAACAATTAAAGGTTACTAAGAAAAATTTCAGATGCACATTTTCAACAAATAACATCAAAAACATAAATATATAACTTCAACTCTCCAACACAGACACACCAAACTCATCAAAACCAATACCTACACTTCCGTACAACCACATAAAACTCCATACACATTTCAATACACTCACCTTCTTCACCACCCTCCGTCAATTTCAAATCCATCGCCGTCAACACGCACACAGCTTTAGATTCACTCACTGGTAAAACGGAACACCCTGAAACACTGCTCGCATCTCCGTTCACTGATCCTAAAACAATACAGCCCACAATCAATATCAATAAAATAAGTCGTTCCTAACAAATAACACTCAACTGCACATCTGGGAAAATATCTCAAAATTACCTTTCTCAACTACGGGCTCTGCTAACACAGACTCGCTCAATCTCAGTGGGGAAAACGATTCTGAAAGTATACAAAAACCATTACAAAAAATGTTAAATACTCATCATCACATCGACAGCAAACACTCCACTGTCACACTCACAGTAACATTGAATATAATCATCAACACAAGTATCAATATGACAAGTAAAACACAACACCCACATCATCACATAGACAACTATCCAAAACAAAAAACAAATATCGACTTTCTTATTCAACCCTCCATCACATAAACACTGACTACTCACATCCACCGACAATTAAAAAAAACAACTCAATATCACACTTACCACCACTCCCCACATTCCCTCTGACCGTGCCTCTTCTCCCACGCCGTCTACCCACCATCACCTACAATAGAAACAACAACAACAATATTAATCGTAATCAAAATCATCACCGTACCAACAACATGTACAACACACTCACTTCCTTCCTACACCATCACCGAAAATACAACAGAAACACACAACTATTCCCATATAAATTGAACACTGAAAGCTTCACTAAAACCAAACTCACCGGGACAACCGCACCCACAGACTCCACTGTTCCACCTGAAATTCAAAACACAAAACTCATTATTCTACAAATCTTCAACAAAACACAACACTATACTTTCACCAAAACCACTGTGGTTCACCTCATCCAAGAAAACAGTGCTCCACGTAGCCACACACATTCACTTCACGTACCACTCACTCAACACCACAACTCACACAATACAAACACACAAATTAAACCCCATCAACACGATTACACTCACCATTCCATGTAATTACATACAACCATGAACCTATCTGCTTAACGACCTAATACCACCAAGTCACAAGTGTCGTAGCTCGAATCAGTCACTCAATTCAATCATGTACATAATAACGAAAATTATTACCCAATCTAGCTGTTCTCTCGTCGCAAAACAACACACTCGTCTTCGCACATCACCAAACACATATCACAAGTACAAAACATCCTATGTACCATAATACGCCTCAACTCGTCAAACAAACACATACACACACACAAACACACACACCATCATCATATGACTAAACAAATCCTCAAAAGCTACATAACTATCACAATAACCAACACAACATCAATAATTATGAATCACGCTCCACACTAACAACAACCAACACTAATACTAAAAGCTGTAACAACAAATAAAATGTAGAAAATCCACAATTACCTCTGTCAGGAGAACTGATCGATTGAGAAGAAACTAGTGAATTCAAATCCCCATTCATTGACATCGATTTCTCTGAAGAACAAAAAAATTCACCGATTAACAAACACACATCAGGTGAGTCTAATACTATCACGTCGAAACAATTAAAGGTTACTAAGAAAAATTTCAGATGCACATTTTCAACAAATAACATCAAAAACATAAATATATAACTTCAACTCTCCAACACAGACACACCAAACTCATCAAAACCAATACCTACACTTCCGTACAACCACATAAAACTCCATACACATTTCAATACACTCACCTTCTTCACCACCCTCCGTCAATTTCAAATCCATCGCCGTCAACACGCACACAGCTTTAGATTCACTCACTGGTAAAACGGAACACCCTGAAACACTGCTCGCATCTCCGTTCACTGATCCTAAAACAATACAGCCCACAATCAATATCAATAAAATAAGTCGTTCCTAACAAATAACACTCAACTGCACATCTGGGAAAATATCTCAAAATTACCTTTCTCAACTACGGGCTCTGCTAACACAGACTCGCTCAATCTCAGTGGGGAAAACGATTCTGAAAGTATACAAAAACCATTACAAAAAATGTTAAATACTCATCATCACATCGACAGCAAACACTCCACTGTCACACTCACAGTAACATTGAATATAATCATCAACACAAGTATCAATACGACAAGTAAAACACAACACCCACATCATCACATAGACAACTATCCAAAACAAAAAACAAATATCGACTTTCTTATTCAACCCTCCATCACATAAACACTGACTACTCACATCCACCGACAATTAAAAAAAAACAACTCAATATCACACTTACCACCACTCCCCACATTCCCTCTGACCGTGCCTCTTCTCCCACGCCGTCTACCCACCATCACCTACAATAGAAACAACAACAACAATATTAATCGTAATCAAAATCATCACCGTACCAACAACATGTACAACACACTCACTTCCTTCCTACACCATCACCGAAAATACAACAGAAACACACAACTATTCCCATATAAATTGAACACTGAAAGCTTCACTAAAACCAAACTCACCGGGACAACCGCACCCACAGACTCCACTGTTCCACCTGAAATTCAAAACACAAAACTCATTATTCTACAAATCTTCAACAAAACACAACACTATACTTTCACCAAAACCACTGTGGTTCACCTCATCCAAGAAAACAGTGCTCCACGTAGCCACACACATTCACTTCACGTACCACTCACTCAACACCACAACTCACACAATACAAACACACAAATTAAACCCCATCAACACGATTACACTCACCATTCCATGTAATTACATACAACCATGAACCTATCTGCTTAACGACCTAATACCACCAAGTCACAAGTGTCGTAGCTCGAATCAGTCACTCAATTCAATCATGTACATAATAACGAAAATTATTACCCAATCTAGCTGTTCTCTCGTCGCAAAACAACACACTCGTCTTCGCACATCACCAAACACATATCACAAGTACAAAACATCCTATGTACCATAATACGCCTCAACTCGTCAAACAAACACATACACACACACAAACACACACACCATCATCATATGACTAAACAAATCCTCAAAAGCTACATAACTATCACAATAACCAACACAACATCAATAATCATGAATCACGCTCCACACTAACAACAACCAACACTAATACTAAAAGCTGTAACAACAAATAAAATGTAGAAAATCCACAATTACCTCTGTCAGGAGAACTGATCGATTGAGAAGAAACTAGTGAATTCAAATCCCCATTCATTGACATCGATTTCTCTGAAGAACAAAAAAATTCACCGATTAACAAACACACATCAGGTGAGTCTAATACTATCACGTCGAAACAATTAAAGGTTACTAAGAAAAATTTCAGATGCACATTTTCAACAAATAACATCAAAAACATAAATATATAACTTCAACTCTCCAACACAGACACACCAAACTCATCAAAACCAATACCTACACTTCCGTACAACCACATAAAACTCCATACACATTTCAATACACTCACCTTCTTCACCACCCTCCGTCAATTTCAAATCCATCGCCGTCAACACGCACACAGCTTTAGATTCACTCACTGGTAAAACGGAACACCCTGAAACACTGCTCGCATCTCCGTTCACTGATCCTAAAACAATACAGCCCACAATCAATATCAATAAAATAAGTCGTTCCTAACAAATAACACTCAACTGCACATCTGGGAAAATATCTCAAAATTACCTTTCTCAACTACGGGCTCTGCTAACACAGACTCGCTCAATCTCAGTGGGGAAAACGATTCTGAAAGTATACAAAAACCATTACAAAAAATGTTAAATACTCATCATCACATCGACAGCAAACACTCCACTGTCACACTCACAGTAACATTGAATATAATCATCAACACAAGTATCAATATGACAAGTAAAACACAACACCCACATCATCACATAGACAACTATCCAAAACAAAAAACAAATATCGACTTTCTTATTCAACCCTCCATCACATAAACACTGACTACTCACATCCACCGACAATTAAAAAAAAACAACTCAATATCACACTTACCACCACTCCCCACATTCCCTCTGACCGTGCCTCTTCTCCCACGCCGTCTACCCACCATCACCTACAATAGAAACAACAACAACAATATTAATCGTAATCAAAATCATCACCGTACCAACAACATGTACAACACACTCACTTCCTT